GTGGTCCTTCGGAAGGTCCTTCGGCATCATTGCTTCGCTTGGAGGCGCCACATGCTGTTGTTGAGGCTGTTGTTGAGGCTGTTGTTGAGGTTGCTGCTCTGTCGTCTGGGCGTTGATGAGAGCAGAGCTCGAGAGCAAGAGGAGCACAGTGCGGAAGAGCATGTTGAGTCGAGTGGGTCGAAGCGAGGCAATCGAGATCTGAGCTCTCGTCTCGTTGACCAAAACGACGCGCAGGTCACCTCCGATCTGGCATGAGCGGTATGGAGTTTGATGGGTTGCTGACAGTCGACGACCAGCGATGGCTCTCGACCACTTCTTGGCTATGAGTTTCTATCATCACTTTGAGTTTGCACTTGCCCTGATGAAGCCGACGACGATCTTTGCGACGCTCTGTGTCCTGGCGGTTGCGGCTGCCGAGAGCAACGCGCCGCCGACGGAAGCCGAAATGTCCAAGCACAAGGAGATGCAAGACGAGTACGAAGGGTACGGCGGGCACGAGTGGTGCCGCCGCCATTGCCGCTGGCATCCGGGGTTTGGCACGCGCTGCTTTTGGCGCTGCTGGTAGTTGCATCGTAGCGTTGGTGATAACCAATTCTTGAAGAGAGAGCACCTTGGCCACTGGTCTAAATGTATGTCTTGACCAGAATGCTACCATGAGGCGAGCCAAGTAGACCGAGCTTGATGGCTATGATTGCGAGAAGCTTAAAGTGCTGAATGAGCTGAACCCAGATGCGAGAGCTCGTCGACGCTCGTGTTCGCACACGGCTCGTGTTAAAGTTGCAAACAACACTATTTCAATATCACCGATATAGTCTACGCCTGCATGGAGCTGGTTGACGCACTCACCCGACGGTACGACCATGCGCCAGCGTCGGCCCCAGTTGTCGAGCATGACGTGCTAGCGAGGGTACTTGACTTTGCGCGAGCGCATCCCGAGCTGCTGCCCATTGACCTCGCGTCGCTCCATCGGCGGCTCGCCCTGCCTGTCGCGATGGCCGACCTCGAGCGCTCGCTCGCACCCGCCGTGCGTACGTCCTGCCTCTCGCTCTGGACGGCGCTGATTCTGTCAGTAGAGAGCGGCGCCGTCACCTTGCAAGCGTTTGGGCACTGGACGTTCCTCACGCACGTCGAGTCGGCGTCGCCGGCCGTCGCGGCGCCACCGCCGCGTCGAGGCTATTGCCCGGCCACAACGCGCGCTGCGTGTCGGCGCACGTCCGCCGGCGCCGCGTGCAGCCTCGTCCACTTTGTGCCCATTGTAACCCGCAAGACGAAGGCGGCGCTCGGCGACTGCAAGTACCTCGACACGTGTCGCCGTCTCGAGAGCTGCGCGTTTGTCCACTACCAGGTCGAGGATGCATGCGCACCGGTGGCTGCTGCGGCGCCACCGACGACGGCCATTGCCATCGCATGTGACGTGACAACCTATGACGTGGCGCGCCTCGGGACGTTTGACGCGATCGTGATGGACCCGCCGTGGGAGATCAACCTCCAGCTGCCCTACACCACCTTGTCGGACGAGGCGATTGGAGCGCTGGCGATTCCGGCGCTGCAGACCGCGGGGTATTCCCCGCTGTATGAGCAAATGGGCTGATGGACAATCGGCCGTAGATGGATCTTCCTCTGGGTCGCGACGGGAAAGCTCGTGGTCGGCCGGCAGCTGCTGCGGCAATGGGGCTACACTGTCGTCGACGACATTGTGTGGGTACGACGATGACGCGCCGTGTCCACGGCGTGACGCAGCGTGTTTTTAGATCAAGATCGATCAGCTGCAGCATGTGGCCCACCAAGGCCGGACAGGCCATTGGCTCAACCACAGCCAGGAGCACTGCCTCGTGGGTCGGAAGGGGCTCGCGCCGTCGGCCGCGCGTCTCGACTGCGACGTGATCGTGGCCGCGCCGCGTGAGAACAGCCGCAAGCCCGACGAGCTCTACCACCTCGTCGAACGGTAGCCACTTGTATTCCTCTTTCTGTAGCGCTGAGGATTTTATTGTTGTAGCGTGGTGCCAGCCGGGAGGAAGCTCGAGCTCTTTGGCCGTCGGCACAACCTGCGCGACGGCTGGACAACTCTGGGCGACCAGTTATAATGTCCTTGTACTCTCTAAATGTAGTAGCTTTAGCTCTTGCCTACATGCCTCATGACGTCGTTGGACCGTTGGGCCAGCTGGCACCGACCGACGTCGGCAAAAAGGACTTGGCGTCGGGCAACGCGAGGAGCGAGAGAGCTCGGGCGCGCGGGTCGTAGCGCACTTCGTACGCCGTGTCGTCCGGCACCTTGTCCTCGAGCCACGCAAACACGAGCTTGGCAAAGCTCAGGCACACGTTGGGTTGCTACGACTTCCTCACGCATTTATCGAGATAGAAAACGAACGGTACCCAGTACTTGGCGCCAAAGGCCGGCAGCTGCGACGTGGCAAACGTCTGCTCCTTGACGAGCTTGCAGTCGGCGCTCCGGAAGCCGCAGCGGATGCGCCCGACGCCCACGAGGTACGACTGGATCCAGAACGCGAGGCACTTGTAGCGCTCGAACGAGAATCGGTCCTTGCTCGTCTGCAGTAGCTTGTACGTCTTGAGCTCCACGTAGTCGCCACGGCCGTCGACACCGTCCAATTCGGCGCCGACGAGCAGCTGCGTGGACCCCAGCAGCATGGCAAAGACACCGCAGTACTCGCCTCGCGGCCCGTGGCTCGCAATCGCCTCGTACTGTCGGCCTGCGTACGCGCCCTTGGCTTGCGCGGGATGCATGACGCCGTCGGCATCGCGCTCGTGCTGGATGTTGAGGAAGAGCGTGCGCCCGCGCCGCTGCACGTGGAACACGTACGGGCTGTTGCTGTTGTACGGCGTCTACGTCGCCATCCTGACGTCGCTGATCGATGAGGATATTGGATGATATACGCCCAAGATCTTGTTGAGGTTGTTGCGGAACGTCACTACGTCGATCGCGGCCGGGAGGCGGGGCGGCGAGAGGTGCGCGTCGGCGTGGTGCGCCTCGCGGTTCGCTGGCAGCATGGCGTCCAGGATCGGCTGCAGCGACGGCGATGCGTCCTCGCTCGGCTCGACATGATGGCTCTCAAAGCCGTCAAGGAGGTTGGCGCCAATCTATCCAGAAGCAATCGCGCAGGGTCGTCGTCGAAAGGCGTCTACTTTGGCGGGCCGCAGCTCTTTCTAGGACGATCGTCATGAGGCGCCGCAGATGAGAGCTATGGCGTCCGCACCAGGCACGCGCGGTCAAAGGTGAGGCGGCCGTCTGGATGCAAGCTGTACCCGCTCACTTGCTCGGGCTGCGCACCGCGTTAGCAGGCACGCGACCGAGGGCGTCCTACCTTGGAGAGGCGGATCTTGTCGTTGGCGAGGAGCGCGCTTGTCGATGGCACGTGCAACACATGCAGGGCGCGCGGCCGCTGCATCTGTGGGCGACGCCATGAGCCAGCGCGAGTCGCCGGGATCGTCGTACCATGGAGGCCATTCGCCAATCTCGAAAATGGACAGCAGGTGCACAACGCAGAATAACGCACCCATTCTTCCGAACGAGGTGCTTCTATCGAAGTCAAACTTCAACTTCGTCCATCGCCTCAACACCACTTCCGTCTCGTGGTAGCACATCCTGCAAGACGCAATAGACCTGTGGCCAAGGTGTTCTCTCTTCAAGAATTGGTTATCACCAACGCTACGATGCAACTACCAGCAGCGCCAAAAGCAGCGCGTGCCAAATCCCGGATGCCAGCGGCAAGTGCGTCGGCACCACTCGTGCCCGCCGTACCCTTCGTACTCGTCTTGCATCTCCTTGTGCTTGGACATTTCGGCTTCCGTCGGCGGCGCGTTGCTCTCGGCAGCCGCAACCGCCAGGACACAGAGCGTCGCAAAGATCGTCGTCGGCTTCATCAGGGCAAGTGCAAACTCAAAGTGATGATAGAAACTCATAGCCAAGAAGTGGTCGAGAGCCATCGCTGGTCGTCGACTGTCAGCAACCCATCAAACTCCATACCGCTCATGCCAGATCGGAGGTGACCTGCGCGACGTTTTGGTCAACGAGACGAGAGCTCAGATCTCGATTGCCTCGCTTCGACCCACTCGACTCAACATGCTCTTCCGCACTGTGCTCCTCTTGCTCTCGAGCTCTGCTCTCATCAACGCCCAGACGACAGAGCAGCAACCTCAACAACAGCCTCAACAACAGCATGTGGCGCCTCCAAGCGAAGCAATGATGTCCAAGGACCTTCCGAAGGACCACTCGGCTCACGAGTCGGAGCAAGAATGGGGTCGTCGTGGTGGCGTCTGGCGTGGTGGCGGTGGTGGCTGGCGTGGTGGTGGCTGGCGTGGTGGTGGTGTCTGGCGTGGCGGTGGTGGTGTCTGGCGTGGTGGCTGGGGTGGTGGCGGCTGGGGCGGCGGTGGCTGGAACGGCGCTGGCTGGGGCGGCGCTGGCTGGGGCGGTGTTGGCTGGAACACTGGTGGCAATTGCGGCTGGAACGGCGGCTGGAACCAAGGCTGCTGGTAGACATCAAGGCTGCTGGTAGACCACGTCCTAACCCAAGCTTGAAATAAAGTTGTGTTCCCGCCACGGGTGCACATTCCATGCAATCGGTGCATCTTTCCAATGCAGGTGCGTTTTGGACCTGAACGCGGTCTTCGATGCAAACTGGTTTCTTATTGTGTTTATACACTAGGCCGCAGTCGACGTGGGCGCGCCCTTGGAGAGGACGGCTGTCGTTGTTGCGCGTTGGATCGACTTGCGGCGGGCGCTCACTTCTTCGTGCGTCGAGAGGATTTGGCCGACGACAAACTTTTGGCGCCGGAGCTGCGCGCGCACGTGACGTGGCATGTCGTCGATGCTGCTGTTGATCGCATAGCGCAGCGTGAAGAGGCCGCCGGCAACGCCAAAGAAGACGCCGAGCGTACTCAAGCTCTTCTGGAGCGACGGGAACGTCTGGAGCACGAGGTCGGTGAGGTCGGACGTCGAGACAATCACCCACGCGTTCGTGACGATCGCGATCGAGACAAAGACCTCGAGCACGTGCACCCACTGGCCGATGGTCGACGCGCCGCTGGGCCGCGGGCGGCGCGCGAACCGGCTGAGCTTGCTCGCGTCAATGCGAATCTCAAAAAAGTTGTTGAAGCACGACATGATGGGCGCGAAAGGGCACGCGATGACAAAGAAGGTCGAGTAGCCAAACTGGATGATCATCTCGAGGTAGTCGTCAAACGTCCCGCGCCAGCCGTACGTGGGCATGAAGAACTGCGTCTCGACGGCCGAGATTTCCGGTTCGTCCTTGTCCTGCTTGGAGACCCACTCGTGCTGGACCTTCTCAACGCGGGCCCAGAAGAGCGGCACCACGAGCTCTTGGCAGTTGCCCATGACGAGCTGCGAGCCATAGACGTAGACGAGCGAGATCTTGAGCTCGCCCATGCAGTCGTTCTCTTGGCAGCCCTCAAAGTTCTCCTTGAGAAAGGCCACGTAGAAGAGCAGCGCAAAGTTGTTGACAAACTGGAAGACGATGGCCTTGCCGATAAAGTGGTTTTCGTACGCCGTGTCGGTCCGGTGGTTCTCGTACTCGTTGAGACTCCCACTCACATTGTTGTAGAGCTGCGAGAGCATGAAGATCTGGATGACGTTGGCCATGGCCGCGACCTCGGTGCCAATGTTGACGGTTCCAAACTGGAAGAACGGGTTGTTGTGCAAATGCATGCGCAGCCAAAAGATGATGGCGACGCAGACAAGCACGATGCAGATGAGGATCGCGAGGATGAACCACGAGTAGAGGAGGCGGAGGCGCCGCTGGCCGTCGTTAAAGTAGCGCATGCGCGCGCCCGTGATCGGATCGCGCATGAGGTCGCCTTGGAACTGCGGCCGCAGCTGCTCTTCCTCGTGGTACTCTGACATGCCCCACTGCAGCGCAAAGACCGACTGCTTCCGGACCCAGTTCTTCAGAAAGAGCGTCGCCCAAATGATGATGAACGTGCCGTACACTGGCACCGAGTAGATCTTGACCCAATCGAGCTCCGACTTGGAGATGTTGTAGTGGCTGTGCACGGCCTGGACGACGACGACGCTCAGGCCCGCGACGGACGACAACGTCAGCCACGTCGTATAGTGTCCGAGGTACGCAAAGTACAAGGCGATCTTGACGCCAAAGTACGACCGAATGTCGCCGATCGGCTGCAGCAGCGACCACTTCCAGCGCGCCCAGAGCTCGCGCTTGGCGTGCTCGTCGTGCAGCGGAAAGTGGCCCTTGATCGCCCCCGAGAGCACGAGTCGCTCCAAGTTGAGCCCCGCGCCCGTCTCCGAGTCGGTGATGATGCTCTCGAGCAGCGTGATGCGCTGCGTGCTGCTAAAGAGCTGGTGCGGCGCGCTCGCAGAGGTGGTCGCCGGGTACTGCATGTACCAGTGCTGCAGCTCGTCCTTGGCCTGGTACGACATGTGCATGTACTCGTACGGCGCGTACCGGAAGCGCTTGGCGAGGCTCCGGAAGGCCGGGTTCGGGTTCTCGACGTGGAACGGCTGAATGTCGATGAGCGGGTTGGCGATCGTCGCCTCCAAAAGCCCAGTGATGAGATGCGGCATCGGCAGCAGCGCGTCCGACGTCGTTGCGAGCGGCGTCATCTCGGCGCGGAGCTCGTTCGCGTCGGCGGCGATGTCCTGAATCGTCGCGAGGAAGATGTCGAGTTCCGACTTGAGCCACACGCTCGGGTTCGAGTATGGGAGGTCCTTGCCGTGCCGGAGGTGGTCGCTGAGACTCCAGAGCTCGGGCAGCGGCAAGCTCAGCTGCAAGAGGTGCTCCATCTTGGCCAGAAGTGGCTGCAGCTCGCCGTAGACGTTGGTGAGGTGCGTCATGGTCGTCCGGAGCTCCTTCTCGACGGCCTCGGTCTCGGCGCGCTCGGCCTTGTCCATGTTCCACTTGGGCTTGGTGATGATCGGCAAGAGCGTGAGCTGAATGCCGAGCTCGCGCGCGGCTTGCGTCAGCGTCACCGACATGTTGTGCAGCACGTAGGGCACTTTGTCGAGGACGCCTTCCATGTTGGGGTCCATCGAGAGATGCACGAGCGCCTCGAGCGCGTCTTTATGTCCCTCGAGCGTCTCGGTGGCGGCTTGCCGCTTGGTGAACTGCGTGTTCTCGATCTTAAAGTGCTGGAACCCGACCTTGATCGACTTGTCCATGTCGGCCATCGCGCCGACGACAATGTTGAGCTCGAGCAGCAGCTGCGACCACGACTCGATCGGCCGCGACACGTCGTGGTGCTTGCGCGTCGCGAGCTTCTTGAGCAGCAGCATCTCGGCGAGGAGCTTGCCGACGTGGATCGTGTCGATCTCGGCCTCGAGGCCCGAAATGTGCTTGGCGAGGCGGCCCCAGACCGTGCGCACGACGCCGGCGCGGGCTTGCGCTTCCATCTCCTGCGCGTTGAGCAGCATCGGCATCTTGATGCGGTCGGCCTCGATCTCGAGGCGCTGCCGGCTCGCGCGGACCTTGCAGAGCACCATGGACGGAATGTACGAGCTCACGATCGCGGCCGAATCAAAGAACTGCACTTGGAGCCCGGCCTTGTGGAGCTTGAGCAGCATGTCCCGCATCGAGAGCGACGACTCGAGTTTGCCCGTGAGCGGGTGGAGCTTGGGCGGGCGGCGCACCTCCGGGTTGGGGAACACGATCGCATAGTCCCAGCCGTACCCATCCTGCTCTTCCAAGTCTTCTTGGCTGCCGCCAAAGATGATGGCGTGCATCGCCTTGTCCCAGCGGTACCCAAGGTGCAGGACTTTCGACACGTAGTACTCCTGGCGCTCAAGCTGCACGCGGACTCTTGACGGAATGTCGTTGATGCAGACGCCAAAGACGGACGAGAGGCCGTAGAGCACAAGAAAGAGGAGCCCGATGCAGAGCCAGCGCGCTTGCACGTAGTACATTTCTGGCATATGGAACGTGTCGAGCGCGGCTTGCGCGAGCTTGGCTTTGGCGACGATCGCCCACGCGTTCGTGCCAATGGCCAGCGTGCAGAGGAGCTCGAGGAAGAAGGTCCAGAGCCGGATCTGCTGCGCCGAGCGCGGGCTTGGGCGCCGGAAGAGCGTCGTGAGGTGCACGCCGTGGGCGCGGATGGCCACGATGTTGTGCACGCACGCCATGAGCGGGAGGTACGGGCACGAGACGACGAAGAGCGTCGCGTAGCCAAACTGGACGACCATGTGGAAGTAGTCGTTGAAGAGCCCTTTCCAGCCGTAATCGGCCAGTTGGAACTGGACTTCGACCGCGAGCCGCTTCGTCGGGAGGCCCACCGAGCCCGAGATCGGGAGCGTCTCCAACTCGTCGTTGACGGACGAGCCGTTGAAGAGCGAATTCAGATGCCGGCGGGCTTGCCAGCGCTTCTTGGTTTTGCAAAAGAGGTGGCGGCCGTACGGCAGCAGGACAATCCAGACGTTGTGGACCACGAGCTGCGCGCCGTAGAGGTACAGCATGTACGTCTTGAGCTCGGCGACGGCCTCAATGTCGGGGCCGGCGTACTGGACGCGGACGCCTTCCACGTGCGTCTTGACAAAGGCCACGTACACGGGGCCGGCAAAGTGGTTGACGAAATGGAAAACATGGCTTTGAGGATGTACGCTTGCTGCGCGGTCGCCTCGGCGTGGTACACCTCGTAGTCGTTGAGCGTCATGTGCAGCTTGTTGAAGACGTACGTCCAGAGGTAGATCGAGACGACGTTGAGGAGCGCGACGAGGTGCAGCTCCCCGCGGAACGCAACCTCGAGCGTATAGTTGCCCGGCACGTGCCATGCCATCGCGGCCGGCGAGAGCTCGGCGTGGTACCGAAGGTAGAAGAGCCCGCCGACACTCGCCAGGACGCACGCAACCAGCAGCAGCAGCACGAACATCGAGACGACGCGGCGAAAGATGAGCGACGACGTCGAGCCCTTTGGGACGTGCCAGTTGCGCTCGTCGTCAAACGACGGCTTGTCGTGCTCGGGCGCATGGTAGTCGGCCATGCCCCACTTCATGCCGAGGACCGCGAGCTTGCGCTTCCACATTTTGAGGAAGAGCGTCGACCAGCACACCATGAAGAGCCCGAAGAGCGGTACGAGCGGCGTCTTGCCCATGAAGAGGAAGCAGAGCCCAAAGACCGACGGCAGCAGGAGCCAGCGGGTCATATGCGCGACGTACGCGAGGAAGAGCGCGACTTGGCACCCAAAATACTCGCGCGTCATTTCGATCGGCTGGTGCGTGAGCCAAAGCGACGAGTTCCACATGTCGCGGATCTCGCGGCGCGTCTCGTCTTCATGGAGCGGGTAGGCGGCTGCGATCGCGCCCGTCTTGAGGAGCAACGCGAGGTCCAAGCCGGCGCCGAATGGACTCGTCATGATGCTTTCGAGGAGCCGGATGCGCTTCGTCGTCGGGAAGAGCGGCGAGTGGTAGAGACACTGGATGTTGTCCTGGTGGTGGTAGTGCATGTGGATGAACTGGTACGGCTTGTACTTGAACTTGCGCAGCAGCAGCGTCATGCGGTCAACCCACGAGTTGCCATTGTTGTGCGACGGGTTGCGCGCCTCGCCCGTCTCCTCGGCCGCGAGGTCGTCGAGCTCGCCCGCGTCAAAGAGGTCGAAGACGTCGACGTCTTGGCCGGGCTCGTACCGCACCTTCTTGAACGTGCGGCGCGTGGTCGACCGCTTGCTTTCCGCGGGCAGCGGCTCAAAGCCCTCGCGCTGCATCTCGGCGATGCGGTCTTCTGGGCTCTCGATGTGGAAGCGCACTTCACCCTGCTTGGCCATGCGCTCGAGCTGGTTCTCGACAAGCGGCAGCGCCATGTGCACACGGGCGGCCTCGGCCTTGAGGCGATCGAGCGTCGCGCGGATCTTGCAGTACACGTACGGCGGCACGTACTTGGTCGTCGCGGCCGTCGAGGACGGCGGCGGCGTCGACTTGGAGAGCTGCGTGTCGAGGCCGGCCTGCCGCAGCTTGGTGAGCACGTCGCTCATGCTCATGACGCCGGCGCTGCCACTCGCGGGACTCGGCGGCGTCTCGCCGTTCACGGGCATGCGCAGCTCGGGGTTGGGAAACACAATGACATAGTCCCACTCGGGCGACTGGCTGCGGTACGGCGGCGGCAGCGGGCGCAATTCCGGCGCAGCCGCGTCGTGCGTCGCGCCACTCACGCCTTGGCTCGACTCGTTCCTCGGCAGACTCTTCATCGAGTGCTCGTGCAGCATCGAATCGTCGATCGACGACGGCGGCCCGTACTCGCCGTCCTCGCTAATGGGCGCCGAGAGGAAGCGCTTGAACTCGGGAATGTCGGCCGCGCGGGTCACGAGGCTCGGCTTGGCCATGTTGGGCACGGACGAGTACTTGGAGAGCTTCGGCCGTGGCGCCGGCGGCTTGGCGACGTCCCCGACCAGCGGCGTCGACTCCATCGCGCAAGCAGAGAGCGGGTTGTGACAGTCGACGAGTGGCCTCGCCTCGTATCCGGACGCCACTCAGGCACGGTATCCGGATATATCGTCCTCCTCCAAGAGCCCCAGCGCGGCCCTGGACACCACCCGTCGGTGGCAAGAAGGACCGCCGGCGACGTCAAGAACGTCGGTCGACGCAGCGCGAGCAGGGACCGTAGGGCGGCGCGAGGCCATGGAGCCATGGGCGCTCCTGCGTGGCTATGGCCAACGGGTGCGAGCTGCTCCATGTCACTGCGATGTTGCGACACGCCCGACCAGGCCGAGCTCCTCGGCCGCTCTTTGCTACAAGAACTGACGACCACGGTAGGTGCCTTCTTGGACGCTATGATACCGGTACGGTAGACGGCGAGCGTGTAAATCAACTTCGCCCAGCCCACTCGCGCCACTGCCGCGCCCATCAACGCATGGCACGATGATTGGCGTCCTGGCTTGGTCGAGGATGGCAGATGCCACGAGCCTCCCTCGGCAGGGTGCTGCTTTGTGACCGCGTCTTGCATTGTAGAGGCAGCTTGTCCAAGGCGTCGGCTGACTGGTCCATTGCATCGTTTTGACGACGAGGCTGCGAGGACGGGGCTGTGCACCCAATGCAAGCTCTTCCCATGAGAGTACAACGGCCCTCATAACGTCGTCGCTACCGCCGCTTTGGCTGCGTCGATGCCCGCAGCGATTCGTGGCTTGAGGAGCTCCGCTCGTTGGTCGGCAGGGTGTTGATAAACGTTGCAACACCAAGTGTTTTCCCATCATCGAGCACTGTACTGGTAGTGTACTACAAGCAGTCGGTCGCGCCAGACCGGTCGATTCCGCACCAGTCGAGTCCACAGGTTCAGGGCTAGAGCACTGCGGCAACCTGGTTGTTGGTGAGCGGCTATGCGTTTCTCGACGATGCTCTGTTTCGAGGCTCGTACCGTCGACGCAGTAGAGTCGTTGGACTATGTCATTTGTCCAACGGTGTTGCGCCGCCCGCGTCCAAGGCGCCAACGCACGCGACCCTCGACAGCCTGCATTCGACAGCAACAATATCCCGATCGTGTTAGTACAGACGTCGACGGCGGTACAGTGGCGACCGCGGCGACGAGCTACGCGACGATTCGTCCGACGATGACCGAGGCTCAGACCGGCCGTCGGGCGACGATGGAGGTTCGGACCGGCTGTCGGGCGACGATGGAGGCTCAGACCGGCCGTCAGGCGACGATGGAGGCTCGGACCGATCGTCATCATCGCTCGTGTCGGCCGGCGCCGACACGGGCCCAATATAAACATAGTCTGCGCCTCGCGCGACCCGGTCATAGTAGCTCAAGAGCCGCGCTCGGGCGGCTTGCATGTTGCGATGTCGGTCGTAAAACGCACGCAGCGCCTTCTCCACGGCGGTTGGCGCGTCCGACTCGAAGTTGTGCTCGCGCAGAAGAGCCCAGTAGTCTTGAGCCAGCACCACTAGTACGCGGTAGGATCAGAGGGCCATCATGAACGCAGGCAAAGACGAGACGTACCGCCGCAGAGTTTCCCAGAGCCGCGCACGGCACCGAGCTCGACCTGCTCGACAAGCCAGTCGGGCATCCCTCGGTGCGTGAGCCCGGCGCTCGTGAGGACAAAGATGCCATCGACGCTGTATCGTTGCGGACGGAAACCGAGCGAAATGAGGCGGTGGCCTCTGCAGAGCTGGGCGTGGAAGGTGTCGGGGACCTTGTCCGAGGCGGCGGCGCCGCCAGGAAAGGCCATGAGGAACGCGCCGTGCTCGCCAAAGGCCACCGTCGCGTTCGGGGCCATTTGCGACTGGAAGAACGCCGACGTGCGCTTGGACCAGCAGTGGGCGCCGGACCCGTCGGGCTTGGAGCCGCTAATGTACCACTCGTCCTTCGGGCCGAGGGCCGCGTGCGTCACGTGCCGGCCTTTTGCAATGCAGTTGTCGATCTGACGGTCCATGTCGTCCGGCAGGTGCCGCACGATGCGCTGCGTGAACGAGCCGTCCCACTGGGCTTCGTTGAGCACGAGCAGGTAGTACTCGCCTTGCAGCACAAGCAGCGCCTTCTGGCCCGCGGGCTCGGTGGCGAGCCGCGGCGGCCGCGACGTATACAAGTCGCTTCGTGGCACCGAGAACCAGCCCTTCGCGACCCGCACATGCACCGTGTTGCGAGCGTCGTCAATGGCGTAGCTCTGGCAGGCTACCACCGCGCGCGCCTCCATTGTCTCGACGATCCCGCCCACGCGCGCCAAGGCGTTGGTCGACACCTTCGTCGTCGCATCGAGCTTGAGAATGTACCGGCCCGTGGTCAGCGGGAGCTGCTGCAGCTGCGCGAGACGCACCCACTTGGTCGTGCGCTCGAGCCGCGCAAACGCTGGCCCGCTCGCTGGTCTGACCACGAGGTCCGTCGAAACGACCGTGCCGACGGCGAGAACGTCGCCGACGGTACTTGCGGTCGGCTGCGCCGAGACGCGCGTCGGCTGCAGCACCTTGTACACCTGGACGCCGCGCGCGACGTCGACGCGCGTGGCCATGACCACGCCGTGGCGCGCCTCGTAGACGTAGCGCGGCTCGCCACTGCCAAAGCCGAGCAGCCGCAAAAAGATGACATTGTCGGCGCCATACTCGCGCCGGTTGACGACGACCAGCTGCCCCGGCGGCAAGATTTGAGGCGCGCCGTTCGGCAGCATGGCGCGCTCCGTGTGCGCTGGAATGCGCGGCTGCAAGCACAAGTGGATCGGCTCGAGAAGCTGGTAGACAAAGTAGCCATCTTCCGGCAGCGTTTCGGACGGCCGCCGAAGGCTATTGCTTACAGTGCCTCTTCCGGAGCAGGCTTCCTGGATGGCTTGCTTGAGCGTGTGGTTGGGCACGACCGCCGCCGACGCGACAGGCTGGTTCGTGACCGGGCTCGTCAGCCGCTGCTGAAACCAGCGTAGGATTTCGCTGCGCTCGTACGAGTGGCCGTCGCCCGCGACCACGGGGTCTCGCATGACCTCGCGCGAGATGGGGCAGACGAACGACGTGAGGTGCATCGCGGCCAAGTGTAGTCGTCCCAACCCACTGGCCTCAGCCACCAGGGTCCCAACTGGCAATGTTCGGATATGTGTATGCATTCTCAGAGGTTTTCGGGTTGCCCGTCGCAATGGCTCGGACAGGCGTCACTGCTGCGTGCTCTATCTGCCAGTACAGGCTGTACGAATCCATCCACGCCTCCGACGCGGTCTTCCCGTGCGCAAATCGTTGCCAAGACGATGCCAGAAGTTGGTGCCGGCTGCTCTGCCAGCATGCCACGTCATAGGCGGCATAGTGGAACACAATGTATGCAGGCCGAAAACCTGGAGCGGCAACCCAACGTAGCCAAGGAAGTACCAACGGCTCGCGACTCGGTCGCCGCTTCAACCGACTGTGGCGACCTTGCACCGGTCGAAGAAAATACGGTAGCGACTAAAGATAGCCAGCACGCTGTGTGTCATTGACCCTTTGACACGGATGGACGCAGACGATTCGTTCGATAGCCCCCGCGGAAAGCTTATCGCGGGCCATCGGCGCGGCCACTCGATCGTCGTTGGCGGCGCGATGGAGCGCCACAAGCTGCAAAAGGAGCACGAGGTGCGCGCCGGCGTGGCTAGGTAGCTACAACACCGTGTCTAGGTGCAGCGGCTGCAGAGCGTGCTCGAGAAGCAGACCAAGGCGCTCGAAGAGTCCCAAGAAGAGACGCAGCTGGCCGCTCGCATTGGTCAATCGCTCTTGCTTCAGAAGCAGCAACTCGACTATGAGATCGAAGACCGCGTCGGCAGTGTGCGTTCCATTGCGCATTCGATGACGCAGTCTTCATACTTCCAACTTCTGTAGCTTACGCAGCGCTGCGAGGAGGCCGAGACCCACGTCAAGGTACTCTCCTTCTTGCGCTTGCACGCTTTGCAATAGCACTAGAGCCTGAACGCCAAAGTCGCCGAACTTACGGCCAAGTACCGAGCCCTCGACCTCCAGCACGCCACGGCTCTCCACGAGCTCAGCGCGGCAGACGCCGGAGCTGCTACTGCAAGGTTCACCGCCCCGCTTCGAATCGAGGAGGACGCATACTCCTGCTGCCGTAGATGCGCAGCCAAGGCCCTTCGCGACGAGTTGGCGTCGGCCAAAGACGACACAAGATCCCTGCGACGCGCGCAGGACGACTTGCTCGAAGAGATTGCCGGGCTTCGCGAGCGCAACATCGCACTTGTGGCCGAGACCAAGCAGCTCCACGCGAACCGCGTCGCGCTGGAACAGCACTGCGACGACGTACGATTCTTGCATCCTATGCCAGCGCTGCAACGGATCGTGTAGCTGCGCGACGTCAACCACGAGCAAGCACAGCGCGTGCGTCAGCTGGAGGAAGCACATGCGATGGCACTGGAAGCGCTCATGGACGTGCAGCCCAAGTTCAAGGCGCTTCAAGCCGACCACGCGCAATCCGTCTCCGAGTTGCGGCTGCTCGTACGGAGGATGCGCTGTCACGGATCTCGACTCTTCACTCGTCGCGTAGACAGAGCAATTCGAGACGACACGGGACGACGCCGAGTCGGCGGCGGCGCAGGTGCATGCGCTGCGCGATGACCTCGCCACGCTCACGGAGCAGCTCGAGCAAGAGAAGCGATTGGCGCACGATCTGCTGCTAAAAACGAGGTTGGACATATTGTCTGTCGTGTGCAAGACAGACCGTACACCGGTGCTTAGGAGCTGGTGGACACCATTGCGACCGTTCCAACCCCAAAGCACTCGCGCCAGCCGAGCGAGCTGTCGTCGCCGCGTGGCCACACGCGACAACTGAGTGGCGCGCACAGCCGGCAATTGAGCGACTTTGATCTGAGCACGATGCTGCACCAAGAATCGGCGCTCGAGCGACGCCGGGCCGAGATTCTCAAGCGCGGGTCGCTCTTCCACGAGCTCTCGATTGAGCTCGAGAAGGAGTTTGTGAGGGCCAAGCAGTCGCCTGCCAAACTATTACCCCCCACAGCAAATCCGATGTCGGCCTGTGCCACGTGTCCCCTGCTCATGCAGCGCGAAGCCGCGCAGACGCAAAAGGCAACCAAAGCGGCGAGAAATGGCTTTTTTCACGACCACGATAGGTGGCCTCGTTGTCGCTCGAGGTGCAGCACCTCAAGCAGCGACTGGCGACGACCTTGCCACCACCAGCGACCGTAAAGGCCAAGGACGACGATCTTGTCGACGACATTCTCAAAGAGGTCGGGTGCAGCATGGTCGCGTTGGTTGGTTCATTTTCGACTCTTAGTTTTTCGTGCTCACGGCCGCCGCCATCAAGATGAACGGCGCGGGCTTGGAGAACGACCGCTGCAACATCAGCAACGAAGTACGTACTGGTGTCGATGACATGGCGTGACTCTTCGACGGACAAACTAGGTCTTGTACGAGAAGGCGATCCAAGCTGGCGTGACGTTTGAGCGCTACTACGCGTGGATCCAGCACGAGCTGGAAGGCAAGAACGTCCCGACGCGCTATCCTCGCCGACGAGTCTAGTGCGCCTGTCTTCAACACAGATGGATAATCCTTTGCAACTGCGATGCGAGAATCCGAGAGTAGACAGACGGCGTTGACGGTACAGAGGCAGAGAAGACTGAGCGAGTGAGCACTCGAACAATCGATGCCGATGCATCTGAGTCGCATCGCACAAGCTACTGCAAGGTAGCAGAATCTCGGCGCGTCGCATTGGGGTGCGTGGTGTCGTAATAGGCCTACCGTCCAAGAAGTCAATAAGAACTTATCGGTGGCCTTTCCAGTACTCGCGCAGCATGTTGTTGAACACTCTCTGATCTCATCGAGATAAGGAGGCAGAGATCTCATAGACCCTTCCTTCCACTAGAATGTGTGCCAAGGTACCAGACGCAAAGGGGCGGTGGTACAGTACGTGTGAAGGGCGGCCCTACCCCTGGAATCACATGCAGGCAAAAGAAAGGTTATGGGTGCACGTGCAACGACCTTTGAATCTCGTCGAATCAGACTGGTGCATCCGGTATGGATCTAGGTGGGAACCGCACAGCAGAAGGCGAGGACCAGACGGCGAGAATCTGAGATTTCAATCGCCTGTCTGCATGCACGATCGCATACACGTCTTCACCCACGAGAGGTATGCCTGCATACAGCGTGATACTGAATCGAGACGACGTCTCGTACGGCTTAAACCTTGATAGTTAGTAGGTGTTTGGGGGTTGACCGAGCCGCTCGTCGAGACAAATGGTCGACAGGCGCCAAACGAATCTTGATGTTCTGGCACACAAAGACGGAGGCATCGGTTGTTCACGTGAACGTGGGGTAGCCAGCCTGCGCTTGTCTGCATATCGATGAGGGAATCCAACTCAGACGCCAGCACTGGCCTGGACGCTGCGTGAGCTCATTCTCGCATTGACCACCAAACCAGCATGATGGCAAACAACCCTGCTGCCTCCGTGCACACGCCCACGAACGACGAAGCGCTCATCACGGACGCGCCCGTGGCTCGCCACTCGACGCGCCGCCGCGGCTGGCTGCTCCTGGCCTCGCTCGTGATCGTCGGTGCCGTCGTTGGCGCCGTCGTGTACGTGGCCTCGCCGTCGTCGTCGACGACGACGTCGACGTCGGCCACGCAGCTCTTGGCGGCGGACGAGCACTCGACCGCGGTCAACCTCCCGCAAGTCATCATTGCGGCGCTTGAGGAAAACAAGCCCAACCTCGCGCAGCTCGTCAAGGACAACGTTCCGGCGTCCGCGGGCAAGTGCAACGAGAAGAACCCACCAAGCCGTGCAAGGAGATGGGGTACCTCTACAACGAGAAGGGCTCCAACTACAAGGCGCTCGCGCGCTGGATCTCGGGCCTCAACGTCATCCGCTTCGAGCAAGTCGAGCTCACGACGTCGGCCAACGGCACGTTGAGTCTGCGCTTGAAGGCGACGTTCCCGGCGCTCCCCGCGAGCCTCCGCATTGACGGCTGCCTCGGGTCGCTCTGCTCCAACATCGCCGACGACACCAAGACGTGCTGCGGCACGGAGAAGACTGTGACGCTTGTCGCGTCGATTGGCTGCAGCGAATCGTTCCCGTTCCTGCGCAACGTCCAGTTTACGACGGCGACGATCACACCGATCATCGTGACGGTCAAGGCGCTCGGGCAGACGATCACCAAGGACCTGACGCCGTCGATCGAAGCCAAGTTCAAGGAGGTCGTGACCGGCCAGGGCTTGGAGTACGCCAACACCAAGCTCAAGGAGCTCTTCGGCGACGCTGTCCAGTGTGCGCAGTAAGCATCCCCTCCGTATGTGTGTTGCGTGAAACGTCCAACGCAAGTCCCAAGTGCAATGTCAAGTTCCATCTCGTACACCTCGTACAATAAGAACACCAATTTGACTGTCCTGAGTGCACACGTCTCGACTCTCTGCAGCGCGTCCCTGCATCCAGAGCTCATGGACACGACGCCTCGCGCGTCGCCCTGACAAGAGCCGCGTATCTATCCACCACCAGTGATCCACCACATCGGTTTCCACGAACCGAAAACAAAGAATTCTTAGAGCCGCATCGAGGGAACGTCCATGACCTGTTCTGGGGATGGATGATGATGACACAGTGATGACGCACGCGCCTTGCGTGTCGACGACACGAGACCCATCCCGGGATGGGTGCCATCCGTTTGCAAGTTGGCAATGAATGCCTAGTATGGTACCTGGATAGGATGCGGCCGATGGTCTACTATGGTTTGCTAGAAAATGTGGACATGATTTGACCAAGGAAACCGACGGCCTTTCTTGCGCGCGAGGGATATGCACGTTGGTTGAAGGCAACCGAGCGCGTATCGACTACGCTTTAGTATAGCGTCCCCTTGTGCGAGAGACCTGCGCAAAAGGTCCACAAGAGAGACGAGGTGCGCGGTCCGCGTCGCTGGCACCGCAGGGCGGGGCATACAAATTGCCAGTGAGCGTGGCGCGACAGAAACGTGGGCTGGAGCCTTGCATGTGATTGGTCAAAATTCGAGCGTAGGTGGGGCAACTGTCTCTCGACCATCCTTCATCGCGGGCGCTGATTGGCCATTATTGATGATATATAGCCAATGCATACGCGTGGGATGGACACGAGCGGTCTTTTCGGCCAATCGGTGGCCCGCTAGTGTAAACAGCGCGTCCGCTCGCCATGTTTTTCCATCCGGCGACGAAGAAGAGAGGAGGATGATGACGAAGGCAGCGTACGAGGTCGACACGATGGTCCACCGCGACTCGCTCGGGGACCTCCACGCTGTACAGGCCTGCCCCAGCGGCCGCATGAAGATGGAGGAGCTCTTCCGGCAATGGCTCTCGCTGGAGGCGACCAAGGACATGATCTGTGGCCTCGTCGACGACGTCAAGAGCGGCCGCGAGGTCGTCGTGCCCACAGCCCACACCAATGTATCTATCATCGGCGGCCTCGCCCAGACGACGAGCAACCCCGCAGACCCGTGCCGGTCGCCGAAGCGGCCGCCGAACCACAGCCCGGCCATGGGCCCGAGCCGGCGAAAAGGCTCGGCCGGCTCGGTCGAAGACATCAACATGGGCATGCCAGAGCCGCTGCAGCTGTCGCTGCCCGAAGACGCAGAGGTATGATCCGCGGACCCCAAATGAGCACATGGGCAACGCGTGTTGTAGAGTGACATGTCGGCCATGATCCCGAGATTCTACTTTCCCAAGGAGGGCGGTCGCGGCCGTGGCCGCGCCTACTCACGCGACCGACTGGACCGAAAGGAGCGCGATATTGAAGAGCGCTTCCGACAGGCCGGCGCTGGCCCCGATGGCATCACCGTCGACAGCTTCGTCTCAATCACAAAGGATCTCTGCGGCTTCCCGAGCTTCTTCAACCTCCCGCTCTTCCAGCGGATCCGCAAACTCATGCTGAACCTCGATGCACCCGAGGACGATCTGTCGGGCCGACTCTTGACGCTCGAGATGTTCCAGACGTACTGGGCGAAGGAGATCCAGCCCTTTGACAACATTGAGCGCTTCTTCCGCCTCGTCAAGCAGCCCCAGAACGACTACATTGAACACAGTGACTTTGCTCCGTTCCTTCACGGTACACTTGTCTTGCGTCTCGCATCTCATACGTGGAGCTAGAGCTCCTCAAGTACCACCCGGGCCTCGAGTTCCTCTCGGGTACCCCCGAATTTCAAGAAAAATACGGTAAGCGCCCGTCAAACTCGGTCAAACCGCTCACGTGTCGGTAGCGGCCACCGTCGCCGTGCGCATCTTCTACATGGTCGACAAGGACAGCAGCGGCCGGATCACGCTCCGAAAGCTGCGGCGGTCCAACCTCGTCGAAGCGTTCAACGTGGTCGACGAAGAGGAAGATATCAACAAGGTGCGAAGCCGCCATGCGCCTCGTAGCTCATGGGACTCCTAGGTCAACGCGTACTTTTCTTACGAGCACTTTTACGTTCTCTACTGCAAGTTTTGGGAGCTCGACACGGACCACGATTTCCTCCTCTCGCGGGACGACCTCATGCGCTACGGCGGCCACGCGCTCACGCGCATCATCGTCGACCGCATCTTTGAGTTTGGACGCCGACCCTTTGCGCGCATGCAGACGCTGTCGCCGGACGAGAAGCAAAAACTGAGCTACGAAGACTTCATTTGTCCGTCCATCTCGTCCGCTCCATCTCGCTCGCTCATGCTCTGTCTTGTGATTAGATTTCATGCTCTCGGAAGAAGACAAGGGCAACCCCGTGAGCTTGCGCTACTGGTTTGAGCTCATCGACATTATCGGCGACAACGTCATCCGCGCCGACGAGATGCGCGTCTACTATGACCACCAGATCCACCGCATGGAGTGCTTGGGCCAGGAAGTCGTGCCGTTTGAAGACATTATGTGCCAAATGTATGGAGCCGTGGCGATAAGAATGCGATCTGATTGCTCGATAATCGTCGTAGGTCGGACCTCCTGCACCCGGCGATCGAAGGCGACTTTCGCTTTACGGACTTTACGCGGCCCGACAAGATTCGGCTCTCGGGCGTCTTCTTCAACGTGCTCTTCAATTTGAGCAAGTTCATCGAGTTTGAGCAGCGCGACCCGTTCCTCTTGCGGCAGCAGATGGCCGAGCCCGAGCTCACGGACTGGGACCGGTACGCGCGCGCCGAGTACGCGCGACTGGCCATGGAAGAGGAAGGTCGCGAGAACGACACGGCCATGGAGATTGACACGATGGACGGCTGGTACGGCAGCGACGACGACGTCGACGTCATGGGCAGCACCGAGGCGCGGGCATCGGCCGAAGCGCCGTTTTAGACACGACACCATAGAGACGACGGTTATTCTACTATATAAACAAGCAGGCTACTAGTACTGCTTCTTGTTGCGCGTCTCGTTGCACTCGCGCAAGAGCTTGACGACCGCTTGGCACTTGGACCAGTTGCGGTCGTACTCGGCGAGGCAGTCTTCGAGCTTGTAGTACTCCTTGGCGCACTTGTTGCGCTCAATCAGATCTAAGACTGAAGGTGGCATTGGCCAGGATCAAAGCGTCGACTACCTTCGATGTCGTCAAAGTCGCTCTTGCTACCGAGATGCTGCGGCGGCGGCAACACGGTCGGCGGGCGGTCGGCCATCGTGACGCTTCTTTGGCCAACGTCAAAAAAGGCAAACTGAGGCGGAAATCGGTGCCGTCGCTTCAATTCGGACATGTCCTGAAATACACTATTTCCGTACAAAGGCAGCTGGTCCGCTCGCGTCGCACGCGCAGGCCGGCGCAACGGCATGCAGAGGTGTGCGATGCTTCTTCGTCGGGTCTTGACCCGCGCCAATCTTTGCGGCCGACGCACTGAAGCTTGCCCTTCTCTGCACACCGCCTATCACCCGGTATCTTTACACTATTTACGTATCTATCTTCTCGCCCGTCCGGGGCATCGCTGCGACGCAAGCCCGCGCGACGCTGGAGGCAGCACGCAGCAGGAGCAGGCGCCTCGCCGTAGCTTCCTCGGCTGCGAAAGACGGGGGCCGAACTCGGCGCCGGGCATGTCCCACGATGCGTTCAAAGACACACTATTTCCCGTCGTATCCGGATCGAATGAAGGGTTGGAGTATACTGAATCCAAGAGAAATCTGTGGGATTGTGTTGTCAGTGACTGACTTGACGGCGATGGAAGCGCGGAAATCGCCGACGTCCGCAAGCACGTCGTCGTCGTCGACGCGGGAGGAGCGCGAGCCGCTCGTGCCCCCCGAGCCGAGCGAGGAGCCGACGCCCCCATCGAGCTACGGCTCGCATGAAGCGCTGCCCGTGACCTGCGACGACGAGGACTACGACTATGTGATGGCCTTCCCGCACGAGCCGCCGGCCATCGGATCGCTGACGAAGCAAGACATTCTGCACCGGCTGCATCAGGCAGGCTTGAGCTACGAAGAGGTGCCATCGACGTCGGCGATCTTTTGCAAGCTGCGCGCCGACACGGAGCGGCTACAGAAGGAGGCCGCGCGCGTGCACCTGCCATTGCTGCTCGACGCGACCGAGCTCGCGCAGGTGGCGACCTCGGGCTTGGCGAGCCATCACATTGAACCGTTCGCGGTCGAGAACCCGCCGCTGACGTTCATTGACCACTTCAAGCGGCCGCGGTACCCGCCATACGACTGCATCTACATGCCGTACGCCAAGCACGAGCCGCCGTCGATCTACGCGCCCCACGACGGCGAGTTCTTCTCGGTCATCCACCGCATGCAGCTCATGGAGAGCATCTTGACGAACGTGCATGGCGGCGGCGCGGGCCTCGACCTCGAGAACCTCTTGACGCAGGGCGTCATTGTCGCGTGCTACCCGCTGCACAACCGCCCGCAAAAGGCCGCGCTGCAGCGGTCGTTGCTCTCGTGGTGCCGCCGGCCGTGGAAGCAGCCGCTCGTTCAGATCCGCGACTACTATGGGCCCAAGATTGCGCTCTACTTTGCCTACTCGGGCCACTACGCGACGTGGCTCCTCGGGCCGGCGCTCCTCGGCCTCGCGATCACGCTCTGGCAGCTGTACCCTGTCTCGATCCCCGCGCCTTACGCCGACTGGACCGTGCTCCATTACGTGCTGCCGATCTACGGCGTCCTCATGCTCGGGTGGGGCTCCTTCTTCCTCAAGCACTGGTCGCGCCGCAACGCGGTGCTCGCCATGGAGTGGGGCATGTCGGACTTTGACCGCGTCCGTAAGACGGTCCTCCTTCCGCAGGTTCCGACCAAGCTCTACCAGCGCCTCCTGCGGTACTCGCTCAGCTGGGGCGCGGTGCTGCTGCTCATCACTGGCGCGGCCGTCGTCGGCGGCACGATGGTCGATTTGTACGCAACCTCGTCGTCGACGTGGATCCAAGGCAACACGACGCTGCTCGCGCTCTTGATTCTGGCGCAGGTGGCGTCGTTCCAGCACGTGTACCACCTCGTTAGCGTCCGGCTCAACGACTACGAGAACCACTCGACCGAGGCCACGTACGAGCTCGCGTTCCTCCTCAAGTCGGTGGTCGTCGGGCTCGTCAACGCCTTTGCGGCCATTTTGTACGCTGCGTTTGTCGCGCCGATCCCGATCGCCGACCTGCCGTGGCTCATCTACCGCGTGTACGGGCTCCTCATTCTACTGCACCACGGCATGTCGCTCTACAACGCACGGACCCTCGCAGTGCAAGCCAAGGCCGGCGACGCCGTCTCGAGCTTTGCCGCGTCGCCCGAGATGGAGAAGCAGTTTGCTTTGGCCGGCTACGGCGCGTTTGAGAGCGCGCGCGACCACTGTACGCTCGTGCTGCACTTTGCCTTTGCGACGCTCCTCGCGGTGGTCACGCCGTTTGTGCCCGTGCTCGCGCTCCTGCATCAGTTTCTCGAGATGCGCCTCAACAGCTCCAAACTGCTCTTTTTCAGCCGCCGCCCGCGCCCGCGCGAAGCCGCGACGCTCGGTCCGTGGCTCGTCGTGCTCCACGTCGTGCTCACGATCGCACTCTGCACGAACGCGGCGCTCCTCGTCCAGATCAACCGCGCGAGCCGCACGATCAACGGGACGGCGACCGGCGACGACGACGCGTCGTCGCTCACGTGGTCGCTGATTGCGGCGTTTGTGTGTTTCCGCCTCGTCATCACGGTCGCGTACCAGAACGTCCCGTCGCGTATCCGCCTCCAGCTCGAGCGCCAAGCGTACTACGTCGCCAAGCTCTACTACAAGGCGTTTGGGTGGCCTGCGCACATGGAGAAGAGCCACAAATCGTCGTCCACCTCGCATCGGTTCGACTATGGGCTCGTGTTTCCCAACCCCGAAGGCCCCACCTGCCGCGATCCGCTCGCGATGAACGCCGTCCTCGCGCAGCTCGATGCGGCCGGCTTGCAGTACAAGGTGTATCCCTCGACCGAGAAGCAGTCGACGTACATGGCGTCGCACGTCTTCTGCGAAGTCCGCGCCACCGAAGGGCAATTGGCCGCCGAAGCCGCGCGCATCCGGCTGCCCATGCTGCTCGACGAGATGGTGCTCAAGGACAAGGCGCACGAAGGTGTGTTTGACTCGCTCCACGGCCGGCTCGTCGACATGGTCGACCGTCTCCGGTCCGAGGCGCAGCGCGTGCACCTGGTGCTCTTACTTCAAAACATGCTCACGCAGCCCGCGTTCCTCGGCGACCTCGAACACGACTCGATGCACGGCACGACGAGCCTGATGGCCGAGAAGCTCGAGTCGTTCATGGCGGCGCTCGACCACCGGGACGTCCGCGCCGACCAGCGCTTGACGCTCGAGGCGCTTCTGCACGAGTTCAAGGAGCGCCTCGACGTGGACATTGAAGGCGAGCAGTTTCGCGACGACGACAATGCGCTCGAGAGCTGCCTGTACCGCATGGAGAGCTGGCTCGGCGGCGCCGCGCCCATTTTGCGCAGCGTCCGGCACTTGGACGCGCCGGTCGAGCCAGGCACCGCGTCGACGATCTCGCAAGAACGCATCATGCGTCACATGGTCCAAGAACTCGAGTGGCTCCGCGCCCAAGCGCCGCTCAACGCGCTGTACCAGCAGCAGCACGTGTGGAAGTTCAACCTCGGGCACTGCGTGTGGTTCATGGAGCAGCTTTTGCTGCACTGCGACGTCTCGCCGCTGCAGCTCGTGGCGCGCAACGCCGACTCGCCGCTGAAGTGGTTCCACATGCACGACTACGTGGCCGAGTTTGACTCGGACAAGCTCTTCCCGAACGTCACACTGCTTCTGGAAGAGTGCCAGTGGCTACTAGCGATCCCCGCAAGCACGCCGTACAAGGCGTACCAAGAGTTTCGCGCGCGCCACCCGTCGTCGCTCGTGCTGCCGCTGGTCGATGCGCTCGAGCGCTTCATCATTGCGACGCCGGACGTGGACATTGTACCGTTCTACCTCGGGACGCCGGACCCGCGCTACAATCTCTTGGCGAAGCGCTTTAAGTACCGGCCGTACCAGTATCTGCACATGCCGTATACGCCGCTGCGGCTCTCCAAGTGGCAAGACATTTACGCGCCGACCAATTCGCACTCGGCGTTCTTCCCGCAGCAGCGCGCCGTCCTCCTCGACAGCCTCCTCTCGCAACATATTGCGCTCGACGATCTGCTGGCGTCGAACGTGCTCGTTGCCGCGTACCCGCTCCATGACGAACCCGAGCTGCGCCGACTGGAGACGACGTGGCGGGGCTGGAGCATTGCCCAGCCCCTCGAGGCCATCAAGAATTACTTTGGCCCGGCCGTCGGCATGTACTTTGGCTACCTCGGTCACGCGACCAAGTGGCTCGCGGTCGCGGCCGTCGGTGGCATCGCACTCGTCATCGCCGAAGCCTTTGACGCGTCGCCGCTCGTCGATGCGATTGGTCTGCCCGTCTACGGCGTCGCGATGGTCATCTGGGCGACCTTGTACGTCAAGCACTGGACGCGCGCCAAGGTGATTCTCGAGCTGCAGTGGGGCCTCACGACCGACGACGGCGCGACCAAGCCGCAAGTGCCGGTCGTTCGCGCCGCGTACGCCGGCGACTTTATCCGCAACCCGGTCACGGGCCAAAAGATGAAGTACTTTCGCAAGAACGCGCGGCTCGCGCGTCTCGCGCTGAGTTGGTCGGCGCTGCTCGCAGTCATCGCGATCAACGCGGGCGGTGTCTATGGCCTCTTTTATGCGGGCGACAACGGGCTTCTTGTGCAGAAGACGCTCAGCGTGCCGCTCCTCCAAGGTCTCTGGCTGCTCTTGATGGACGCTTGCTTTGGCCCGATCTGCGCCGCGCTCACGACGTACGAAAACCACCGGACCGACCTCTCGCACGAAGACGCGTATGTGCTCAAGGCGGCGATCTTTCTGCTCCTCAACTGCTTTGGGAGCCTCGGCGCGCTCTTTGCCCTCGTGCCCGACCCGCTCCTTTTGCCCACGCTGCGCACGGCCTTGTACGTCCTCTACGGCGTCCAGGTCGTGTACCGGATTGCCTCGAGCGTGCTGGCGTTTGCCTTGCCGGCCGCGCCGTCGCGGTCGACGGAAGCGCAGTTTTCACAAGGCGAGCTCGACGGCACGTTGCTCGTCCACGCGCACCTCCAGCGCGTCGTACATTTCGGCTACGTGCTCCTCTTCGTCGTTGCGTGCCCGCTCGCGCCGCTCCTCGGCTTTGGCCACCACTTTGTCGAGATGCGGCTCCAGGCGCTGACGCTGACGGCCTATGTGCGCCGCCCGCGGCCGCGCCCGATCGCGCGCCAGTGGTACCTGACCATGCTGCAGTGGGTGCTCACGCTGGCCATTGGCGCCAACGCGTATCTGGTCGTGTACACGAGCCACATTCTGGACACGCACGACCAGCTGACCGTGCTCCAGTCGATGGACGGCTTTTGCGGCCTCCTTATCGTCTTGCTCTTGCTGCGGTCGGCGATCAACCTCCTCTTCTCCGACTTGCCGCTGCGCGTCACGTCGCAGCTGGAGCGGCAGTCGTTTGTCGTCGAGCGCATTTTGCTGGACCAGCCCATGTACCTCGCCGACCCGGCGCCGAAGAACAGTGGCATGCTCTTGCTGCGTCGTGGCAGCAGCATGAGCAGCGAGCGCGTCAGCGACGTCCACGTCCAAGACCCCGTCTCGGACGACGAAGAGGAAGAAGGCTTTGTCTAGGCAGCGATTGCTTTATATATATATTAACGCAGACCGAGTCCGACGATGCAGCGTGTCGAACGACTTGAAGACGAGGCGGCGATGGCAGCATATGTTGCCGCTCATGCTTGCTGGAGACGTCCAGGCTCCTGAATGACGTGGCCGCTGTTGGTGGCAACTCCCCTGGACACGGCTTCGCGTCTTCCGCTCCTGCGTACAGTGATAGGCGTCATGGTCGAGGCGCAAGGTGGCTCATGCGTCCAGCTGGTCGAGTGGCCTTCAGCTACTGCAGCGTGGCCACTGGCGAACTGCCGCCGTTGGCTAGTACGTCCAGGTATCAGACTCGCATGGAGCAATGCTACATGATGGACGATGCTCTATACCTTCAATGCGGCCTAGCCAGAGATCGCCGCCAGAGATCGCGTCGAGCGAACAGTCCAGTTGCAGCACCGTGGCAACGTCGTGGACCGTTGGAAGGCTTTTCAGACTAGTATGCTCGGTCCGCACCATTCCACTGCACGTCGAAGCCGGTGCGTCTCGTGCGCGCTCGAGGATGCGAATAAAGATGTGCGGGTATCTTTGGCTAATGATCCTTCCTTCGTGGGCTCGCAGGGCGGTGTCGCCTGGCGTAGCAGCTTGCAACGGGACGCAGTCTTCTGGAGCTGGCACAAAACGCGTGGCTGGCAGGCTGCCGGTACATCTTGACGAGGTGGTCGAGCTTCTGCGTCGACTCTGGTGCGCACGTGGCCGGTCCACTGCTGGCTGCACGCCACTGCGAGTTGCTGGCCGATGATCTCGCCTGTGACGATTGTGAATCTCCGGAATGAACAGACTTCACCATGCAATGTGGAGCCACAGACTCTCGGTCCGTGACGGGACAACTTCGTCACGAACGACGGCACTCCCCATCCAGCGAGCCGTCTACGGACGGCCCGATCGGTCGTGGCAGCGGATTCCGACGCACCGAGAGCTTTGAGCCCCCGGGATCCGCGGCGATGTGTCTTCTTGGTGGTCGCAGAACGTCTGCGAGCCTGAATGTCCAGCGCCTACTCGCTGAAGAAAACGCGTGGCTGAAGGAAGCGGACAAGTCACAGTGAAGATCGCAGTCACCTTTAGGCGCTAGTCGTTATTAGTCCAACTGCTAATTGTACTTGCGTCATTATACCAACATTGTCATTTTGTATGTTTGCAACGCATGCCACAAGGGATCATGACTCATGAGCTCTCATGAATTTCATGAGAGCTAAGACGATACGACGGAAACCAGGCAGACAATTTCGGGATCTGCGTGGACAACCGCTGTATGACAACCAGAGGTATGGACGAGTGCTGCTTCCTCACTTGATGTTGGTCGACGATCCATCGTGCCATCTAGCAAGCTCAAACGACAGCAGGCCTTGCGTGACGACCATGACGTTGGCGCTTGCACGACGACGAGTTCTGTCGACCCCCAGATCCACGGCCCCTGCAGACCATGGGCGAGCGTCCGACCAGCCAATTGCTGAACTCGAGCTCTAGGTCACCAAGCTAGCTCGCTTGCCTTGGTGCGTGACGTCGCCAAGCACAGACAAGCAGCTTCGGTCTCGTCTCCGCTCCACAGCCGGCGCAAGTTGATGCACGTGCAAAAGAGATCACTCTATTTCAGCCAATGGCATCGCGCCGCTCACCTTGTACCCAATGGCCTTGCTGACATTGTCCATAAATAGACCAATCACATGTCCGTATCTTTCCAACACAAGCGACTCTTGGCCGTCAATTTGCACTTTCTCCAAGCCATGGCCGAGACGCAGCCGCTCTGCAAGCACGACCCGTGGGCCTACGCGCTCGTGTTTCCCAACGACGACGCGACCGTCGACGCGTCGACGATGACGCTCCAGCCGGCCGCGCTCGAGATCCTCGGGCGGCTCTACAGCGCGGGTATCGAGACCAAGCTCTTCCACTCGGCCAGTCTCTCGACCGCGACCAAGACACCGTCGCTTATCATCTGCAAGCTGCGCACGACGCACGAATTTCTTGCGTCCGAGGCCGCGCGCATCAACCTCCCGATGCCAATGAACGCGATCAAGCTTCGCGCGATCGCCGAGTCGGGCTTTCGAGGCACTGACGGCCGCATCATCGACTCGTTTGCGATCGCACAGCTGGCGACAGACACGTACACGCCGTACGAGCACATCCACATGAAGTACGACGTCGCGCCGCATGCGCAGGCGCTGTACGAGCCGCACAGTGCGCAGCATTTTTTCTCGTCGACCAAGCGTCTTCTGCTCCTCGAGAGCCTCATCGTCAACGTCGCGCAGCTCAATCTCGAGGCGCTCAAGACCCAGGGCGTCATCCTCGACTGCTTTCCGCTGCACGACGACGTCGAGCGACCCCTCTTGCGTGACGCGCTCACGTCGATGAGATCCATGACGTGGCACACGCCCGTGCACGCGGTCAAAAACTACTTTGGGTGCAAGGTCGGGTTCTACTTTGCGTACCTGGTGTTTTACTCCAACTGGCTCCTCGTCGCGGGGCTCGTCGGCCTCGGCGTCTTCCTCCTCGAGGCGTCCATCAAGACGCCGCTCCTGCATTTCGTGTCGGGCACTGCGAGCTTCTACCTCGTCCAAGTGTACACCGTCCCGCTCTTTGGCGCATTTGTCGTGCTCTGGTCGACGCTCTTTCTCGAGAGCTGGAAGCGCCAGACGGCGACGCTCGCTCTTCAGTGGGGTACGACCAACATCGAAGCCGTCGAGCAAGTCCGGCCGTCGTTCCAAGGGGTGCCGGCCAGCTGCTCGATCACCGGCGCCCCGATCACGTACTTTTCCGAGGCCGAGAAGCTCTGGCGCCAAGTCGTGTCGTGGGCTGTCCTCCTCGCGCTCATTCTTCTGGACATTGCCATCGTTGCGCTGGTCTTCTACCTGCGCTACTACCTCACGCAGACGCACCCGACGTGGTGCAGCATCACGATCTCGGGCCATGATCTGAGTCTGAGCTCGCCCATTTGCTCGTGCGTCAATGTGCTCCAAATGAACCTCATGTACCGAATTTACGACTTGCTGAGCCTGCGCATGAACGAGTACGAGAACCATGCGACCGACTCGGCGTACGAGAACCACTATTTGGTCAAGAGCGTCCTCTTCAACTTTGTCAACTCGTACATGGCGCTCATCTACGTCGCGATGCTCAAGAAGCCGATCGAGGGCAAGTGCTGGGAAGACGACTGCTTCTGGGAGCTCCGCTACTCGCTCATCATTATCTACGGTGTCCAAATCTTCGTCGGCAACGTCAAGGAGGTGTGGGTTCCCCGCTTGTACAACAAACTGGTCGGTCACCGCACGATCGCCCTCTGCGAAGTCGACCTCCGATCGCGTGCCGAGCAGCAGTTTCTTCAGACAGAGTATGGCTGGAAGGGCTCGTTTGATGACACGCTCGAGATGGTCCTCCAGTTTGGCTACTCGACCTTCTTTGTGATTGCCTTCCCGCTCACGCCGCTCCTCTCGTACATCAACAACGTGATTGAGATCCGCGTCGATGGGTACCGGCTCACGGTCGACTGCCGCCGCCCGGTGCCCCGCAACGCCGATGGCCTCGGGCTCTGGGTGGACGTGCTGGAGAACATGGTGACGTTCTCGATCCTCTCGAACGCGTACGTGATCTTCTACACGCACGGGTACCTCAGCGACATCATCAACGTGTATCTATGGCAAGACGTCAACCGACCGTACTGGGACCTTGCGCTCTTTGTGAGCTTTGTGACCACGGTGCTTCTCTTCCGCGCCGCCCTCGCCATGTGCATTGACGACGTGCCCGCCGCTGTCGCCAAGCAGCTCAAGCGCCAAGCGTTCCTCGTCACCAAGGTCCTCGACCAAGTCGTCGCCGACACGGACGTGGCCAAGCGCCGGGAGATCACGGCGGCGACGCTACAGACACTCGGGGTCATCCACGCCGGCGATGCAGACGGCCATGGCTACTATGGCGCATTGCACCACACCGTGTAGACGTGCTATACTTGATACACTGATACATTTGGGTGCCATTCGGGTTAGGGGTGTGCAGGATGGAACATCGTCAATTACATAAGGATAAGGTAGAGTACTAGGGCGATATCGGGCGGAAGAAGGTGAGGATGATAGGCTTCAGGCCGCTGCGAAGCTCGGCGAGGATGGCTTCGTACTCGCGATCGACCACGCTGCGGTAGTTGAGCTTGATGAGCTCGTCGCCGACCTCGATGCGCGCGCCCGGAGTTGTTGGCTGGTAGCAGACGTCGCTACTTGCCCGCGTCCGGACGACGACGGGGCTCGGATTGCGTCTTGAGAGCGCAATCTGCAGCGGCCCGACGCCGCTCCACACAATATGGTAGAGGTAGCCGGTCGCGATGCGAAGTGGCGTCGGCAGTTCGGACCGCGGCGCGAACCTCAAGAGCGCGGGCTTGGGCAAGGCCGTGAGCCGGTCGCATACGTGCGGGAACGATTGGCCGGACGTCGACACGCCGTTGATACTGCGCAAGACGCAGCCGACCGCGAGATGGCGCATGCCCGGGTTGCGGCCGTGCACGATGCGCTCGATGGCGGTGGCGTCGTCGTTGTCGGCGTGGAGCACGAGTCCGAGCGTCTGGTGCGGCAGCCAAAGCACGTCGATGCCGGCGGTCGGTGCGGATCGGTGGCGCCCCGCGGCGGTCGAAAGTTCAAAGAGAAAGGTCCTTGCCACATCGGTCGGCGGCAGACAAAACACATGGTGGCCGTCCAGCACAAGCGCAAGCGGCGAGGCTGCGAAGGGCGGCGCGTTGTTGATCGCGATAAGAACGTCGCCGGCCGCAATGGCAAAGACGTCGGACGCCCCGCTTGTCGTGGCATGGACGCTGTGCACGACGTACGCGCCATCGCGCTCTTCAAAGCAGACGCCGAGGTGCATGTGCGCGGGTAGCTCGACCATGTACGAGCGCGGCGCGCCAAAGGCAGCGTAAGCACCGAGACTCGCGCTGCGCCGATGTGATGGCTTGGACGATGCTGCGACGACGATCGGAGCGGGTCCATTGGTGGCGTCGTCGAGGTAGATGGCATCGATTAAAGGCTCGTTGTACGGACTTGTGGAGACGCCACGGCGCGCGTGCTCTGAAAGACTTGGCTCGTACGATACGCAGCGCCGATGTCGCGGCGCGGGGCTGCACGAGGGCTGTTCCGACTCGACGCTCAGCGTGGACGCCGTGAGCGTCGAGCTGCGGCGCTCGGGCAGACAGAACTTTTCAATCTGCTTGGCAAAGCCACGGCTCGACGAGGTCGCCGGGAGCTGGCGCTGCGAGCGCAAGACGATGCTGTTGCTGTTGTTGTCGACAAGGCTCGACCGACGGCTGCTGTCTGCCGGGCCCTCGGCAAGCTGCTGCTTGAACGCGGCAAACTTGACTGGCTTGGCCTTGAACCACATCGAGCGACTTGGGAAATGCTGAAACGGAGGCTGAGATCGGCCGATCAGTTGCGTGCATTTAGAATCCCATCCAACGCAAATCGGGTAGCAATCACGCCTCGGCGTCACCAGGCTGGTCAAGCCGGCAACGACACACACCACCTGGGTGCTATATGCAGTCTAATACAGGTAGATAGCTCTCTCGCCACGCAGCATCGAGCGACCTCGGGTCGAGTCGGTGTGCAGTTGAAGAAGGGCGAGATCTGGCCACTTTCCGATAAGTTTCGGACCAGTTCATTGACATGCCTTGCCTTGGATTTTGGATATGCACCGGATCCTGTCGGTGTTACTGCTGCACGCACGCTAGCGCTTGCCACAGCCGACGTAGCGAGCCGACGTAGCGAGCCGAGGTAGCGAGCCGAGGTACAATCGTTATCTCGGCCGTGCAGAAACGTTCTGTGGGGTCCGCCGTTCCCGAGACGCAACGCGCAACCGCGGCCACCAAAGTTGCGTTCCATTAGCACGCGCAGAGGTATGCGCGGTTCAGCAAGCCGCCGACAATCTCAATATTCAACGCCTCGGTACATGGCGTCGACGATTCACTTACTCGTGCGCAAGTGCAACATGGCCAAGACACGAGAAGCCGAACGAATGCAGCTGCTCTGCGATCACCATGACGCTGCTGGCGCCTCGTGCTGCCACGTCACACAGATGGTCCGGCCCGAAATAGCCGCCTAAACCAGATTTAGGAGAATGGACACCGCCGAGTCGGACGCGCCGTCCACGCCCGAGAGCCTGCCGCACGTGGCTACGAGCATCATCCAGACGCACAAGTTCAAGACCAAGTCGGATCGGAAGGTGTGCTGGTCGTGCATCTCATGCGCGTTTTAGAGTCCAGAGCCGACTTCGTCGCAAGATGGGCTGGACGCGCAAGCAAGCCCTGCTCGAGCAGCTCTCGCGGCAATGCCAGGACCACTTGGAGCACCACGGCACGCTGCCCGTCATTCCCGTCGACATCAAGGTCGACTCGCTGCGACGCGCGATACGGCGGCGCCTCACGTTCGCCTCCGAGTGGTCCTCACCACCGACGACCTTGCCGCACAACTCATCGACGCGTAGGACCGAGTATTTCTACACCAAGTTTTCTTCCAGTCGCCGCTCGCCGTGCGCTTGACGGCCGACGTCTTCTGGCACTATAGCATCTCGTTCTTCGCGATGGGCGAGCCGGACGGCCACGCCTTTCTCGAGCTCCTCCACGCCCACGCCCAAGCGTCTGTCGCAGGTACTCTCCACGCCTTGCGATGCATTTCGCGCCTGTCGTCTCTAGTGCTCTACGGAAAGCTCCTGACCAAAGTCCACAACGTGACGCTGCCCACGGGCGCCGCCGACGAGTTCCTCGATTTTTTTCCATGTGCGGATCCTCCGACGTCGCATGCACCGTCTCTCACCGTCTCTAGATCTCGTCTCCCGCACCGTGTACAAGGTGGCGCAGAAAGCCTACCCCGAGTTCCTCTTCCAGCTGCGCCGGCTGGCGCGCCAGCCCCTCATTCGCACGACCTGCGTCTGGACGACCGGCATCCTCGCGAAGAGCTCGTGCTGGAAGACGTGGCGCGTTGAAATGTACGCGACGATTCGACCACCAAATGTGTGCTAGCCGATACGTTGTAGTAAGAAGAAGAAACTCAAGCACGCGCCCAAGCCGCATCTCATGGTGCGCGAGCTCGCAGACGACGACCGCAGTGTCGCCGAAGACTTCGGGAGCGACGACAGCAACGAAGAAGACTCGCTCTCGGACGAAGACGCGGCCTTCTCGAGTGTGGCGTGTGCCGAATTCAAGACCGAGGCCGCGGCGAGCGAGAATGTGGGCGCGCCACGTCATTGCCACGTGGCAAGAAAGGATCTGTAGGCCACGAGCGCGGTCGAGGCGTTGCGGAGGATGGACATACCCCAGCGCAAGTACGCTCATGGCCACTTGGAGAAGGCGGACCTTGCCTTTAGCGCGCCCGTCCGCGCCGTAGACGAACGTTTCAACGTATCGAGCTGATGGCGTCGTAGATCATGGACAAGTACTCGTACTCGGGGCTGCAAGGCCGTCGCCTCGGTGTCGCGCTGCGCCTCTCGGACAAGGAGCACCAGACGTACAACATGCACAAAGAGCAACACAAGGCGTGGCTCGACCACCTCAGCCGACCTCTGCGACAAACGCAGAGCTTGAGCAGCTTGACGCTCGAGGCGGCAAACGAGGTACTAGTACGCGCTGCTACTGCTGCTGCTAAGGTTATAACTGCACACCAGGACAAGCAAGTGTTTGCGCCTCGATGTGAGTTTGAGCTCACGGTGGGCCTAGTCATTGGCGTCGCGGGAAGACTGATGAGTCCATTTAGAACCCGGTGGCGGAAGCCCGCGCCAAGCGGCTGCTCGAAGCCAAGCAAAAGATACTCAAGGTACGCCGTCTTCTTCCCACGCAGCCAAAAGTGATGCGGCATGTGGCAGCGGGAGCAAGAGTACGTCGGGGAGGTCATCCAGTACAAGCCCGCCATTATTGTCTTTGGCCAGCGCCTCGACCAAGTACACTCGACGTGTTGTATTAGTATCAGTGTGTCAACTGCGGCGGTTGTATTATAGCACCTCAAGATGAACCCGCTCCGGCGCAAAGCCATTCTCGCCCCGCTCAAGTCGTGAGCGCGTGTCCAGCAAACCCACAGCACGTCCATGCGATGATGGTCTTCTCGTCGCATCATGTTCAGATTCGCAGCAAAATTTAACGCCGGCAACCAACTTCAAGAAATGACGTTGCCCTCGTCTCGCTTTCCTTGCCGAGATTGACGGCTCCTGCGAGCTCAAACGCGGGCTGTCGAGCTCACGACGCCAGTGCATTTGAAGGACATGGGTGCATGGACGCTCGACTGTGTGCGGTATAGTCCATGTAGTACAGCGCATGTATCGTGGTTGGCCATTCTGGAAAGCTCCCGACTACATTTATATGCATCGTGCAACCAACAAGCCGACGACGACGACAACGCAACGGCTCGCACGACCTTCATCCTGACGCTCCCCGTCGCGCGCTGCTGCTTGTGGTTGTAAGCCGACCAGTTGGGTACGCAACTGGCTCGTCTGTTCGATTGCGAGCGTTCGCCTTGGCCATCCACTCGTGTGTCATTGACGTCGGCCTGTCTGCGGTTCAGGTGCGCGCACTTGATATGCTGCGTCACAGGAGATCAGCCAATCAGAGCACTGGAATTGCCATGCGCGTGTCGCATGCGCGCACTTGCAGGCGGCCATCCAACGCTGCCGCCGGGTTGTCGCGCCTGATCGTCCGGATACGCAGCGATCACCATCAATAGAAACCAAGTGCAATCCTCCGGATACGGACCCCGAGCAAAGTGAAACCTCCGGATACGGAACCTGGGGCCAAAAGTTGATATGCATCGTACGTCCGTTCCATGTACTGTACGCTCTATCTCTTGTCGCACGTATTGGAATGTACGTATCGTACAAAAACGCTGCATGGCGATCGGCGATACAAAGGAATTCACTTTGAGATTTGCGCCATGTCGAGCAAGGCTGCTGCCAAGAAGCGCAACGAGAAGCTCATGGCCAACTCGGCCAACTACGGCTCCGTGTACCTCAACGTGAACGACCCGAGCCAGCACTGGGACTACGCCATCGCGTTCCCGAACCCGGAGACGCGCTCGACGCCGGCGCCGGTCTCGATGCAGGAGATCCTCGAGAAGCTCCACGAGCATGGCCTCCAGTTCAAGCTCTTCTACTCGTCGACGCGCGACATGGTGCTCTGCCAGATCCGCTGCCACTACAAGCGCCTGCAGATGGAGGCCGACCGCATCGACATGCCCGTGCTCCTCGACGCGAAGGCGCTCCAGGCGACGGCCGAGCGCGGCTTCCCGGAGCTCGGCATTGCGCCGTTCGCCATCAGCGACGTCAAGCGCCTCTACGACTTCCACCCGTACGAGCACATCCACGCCGCGTACGAAGACGACGACGAGCAACAAAATCTCTTTGCGAAGCGCAACTTGGACGGCTCCGTGTTCGCGCCCGTCGAGCGCATGAAGCTCATTGAAAGCATCATTGTGTCGCACGAGTGCTGCAACTTGGACCTTGATGCGCTCTGCATGGACGGCTCGATCCTCGCGTGCTACCCGCTCCACAACGAAGACGAGATCGCGCACCTCGCCAAGGAGTGGATCCCCAAGGTCGCGGCGCCGTGGACGCAGCCCATCGAAGAGATCCGCGACTACTTTGGCGAGCGCATCGCCTTCTACTTTGGGTACCTCGGCCACTACACGACGTGGCTCATGTACGCGAGCATTGTCGCGTTGATCGTCGTCTTTATCGATATGGCCACCAAAACGGAAGAGCGCACGATCGAGGACGCGAACGGCAAATCGTACAAGTCCGAAGTCCCGTCGGTCATGACGTACGTCATCCCTGCTTTTGCCATCTTCATGTGCATCTGGTCGACGCTCTTCATGGAATCGTGGAAGCGCAAGCAGCAAGTGTACGCGATGAAGTGGGGCATGACCGAGATCGAAGGCGAAGAGAGCACGCGCCCGCAGTTCACGGGCGAGCCCGTCTTGAGCGCCATCACGGGTGCCAAGACGCGCTACTTCCCGTCCACCAAGAAGTACCAGCGCGTCGCGGTCTCGTGGGCGCTCCTCTTCTTGCTCTGCTCGGTCGTCATTGCGATCGTCGCCGGCATCTTCCGCCTTCGCTACAAACTCGTCGAAGGCCAGAACGCGTGGAAGGCCGACTTCATGGGCCTGAAGATTCCCGTCGGCATCGCCGTGTGCTCGGGCGCCAACGTCATCCAGATTATCATCATGGGCAAGATCTACTACCGCAGCTTCTACCGCCTCAACGAGTACGAGAACCACGAGACGGACGCGCAGTACGAGAACTCGCTCGTGCTCAAGACGTTCGTCTTCCAGTTCATCAACAACTTCTCCGCGCTCATCTACATTGCGTTCCTCAAGAACATCTTTGAAGAACCGAGCAACTCGCGCCTCCACGAGCTCGCGTACTCGCTTGCGATCGTCTACGGCTCGCAGCTCGTCATCGGCAACGTCAAGGAGATCCTTCTTCCTCGCGTCTGGGTCTGGCTCTCGAAGCGCTCGATCCTCAAACAAGAGGTCGTCGCCGAGCACCAGTCGGAGGCCGAGAAGGAGTTCTTCCTCGCCACGTACGAGTGGAGCGGTACCTTTGACGACTTCACCGAGATCATCACGCAGTTTGGCTTCTGCACGCTCTTCGTCGTCGCCTTCCCGCTCACGCCCGTGCTCAGTCTCCTCAACAACTACCTCGAGATCCGCGTCGACGGCTACCGTCTTCTCTTCGAGAACCGCCGCCCGCGCCCGCGCAACGCGAGCAACATTGGCCTCTGGATGGAGATTATCGAGTTCATGACGACGCTCGCGATCGTGACCAACGCGTACGTTGTTGTGTGGACGTCCAACACGCTCGACTTTCTCGAGGAAAAGTACAGCGGCCACCCGAACATGGTTCAGCTGACTCGCGTCGAGGCGTTCATGATCTTTGTCGCTGTCATGCTCGCGTTCCGCTTCTGCATCGCCAAGCTCATCTCGGACGTGCCGCCGTCGGTCGTTGCGCAGATCAAGCGCCAGCTCTTCTTCAACAACAAGGCCATCTACCGCCTTCCCGATGACATTGTGAGCAAGTACTCCCGCCGCCCCGACGACGTCTTTGACATGACGATCCAAGAGTCGGGCTAAGCTCGATGTAGTTTGCAGCGCGAGTCCGCTAAACACGGTGTTATGAATAAACCTGTCATTTGTGACCATGATGAGTGGACTAGAAGCACGGGACTGTGGTGTGCTGTCATGATTGCTTGTTGAATGAAGATTCGACCGATGCGATGGCCAACGGCGAACACTCGCAATGCGCAAGTACAATACACGTAGTGATGTCAAGACCCGTTTTCGTTGCAAGGCGCTGCTACGCGAGGCCATCAATGCTTCCTTGCAGTAGCACAATGAGCTGCTGCACGATGCGCGCCTCGAAGGCGACAAGCGCTCGAAACTCGTCCAACACGGCGCGGTCCGCTTCGTCGTTGACCTTGAGGACGTTAGGCGGTAGTTTGCGCAGCCACGCGTGCGTCTACAGTCGTTAGGTGTAGTTTGTGCTGCCGGCGTGCTACCTTGACAGATTGCTCGAGATATGTGAAGAGCTCGCTCAGGTAGATGGAGCTCGAACGCGCGACGGAATCCTTTGTGTCATCTCGAAGCTCTCGTGTCTGGACTTCGCTTGCCAAGATGTCGCTCCATGACATCGCCTCACTGGGTTGACTTCCTGAGCTCGCGAGCTATTTTCCGTAGTGGTGAAGCGTAGTACTAGCACATGATATGGACACAGAGCGTGGGATCACATACATTGATGTGCAAGAGCAATTGCTGCTTGGCCGTCCGTTCCTCATCCAGTTGGCTCTTCGCAAGATCGAGCTCATCCATGAGTGTGCCCAGCTACGCATGTGGACGGTTGGCAAATGTAACCAAACGATCATTACCACGCTTGCCAGATCATGCGCCTTTGCGGTACTCGACTCACACTCGGCGATCTAGATGTCGTTTGTGACGGATTTACGATGCACAGGTGTTGTACTTTGACTTGGAGAAAATCGGTCAGCTTGATATGGTCTTCGCACAAGAGCCGATATCGCGGCAGCATCAAGCAGTGCTTGGTTTCCAAGCTCATAAACGACGAGTTGAGCGTCGCAATATGGCGCTCATAGAGCTCGACGCGAGCATGATGCTACACTGTCAATGAATAGAGATCCATCTCGGCAACACATACCTCGTTGATTTGAGCACGACAGGAAGCAATGTCGTCGCGTAGTCTTTCGTTGTTGGTGCGCAGCTCTCGTTTTCCGTCTTGAGCTTGCCAATCTAAGAGATATTTCAGCGCGACGCCAGCGCATCCTGGAACGTACACCGAGCCCGTGCGCGGTCTCGATGATCGCACGCGAGTCGCGCTCGCTTTGCAAAATCTTGCATTCTGCGCGAAGCGTTCGATGGTCCACGCTGACGTCATGAGTGATGCATGCAAAGAGAGCAGAGCTCTCGCAGGCCATCGTACACAAGCTGGCTGTGCTCGTCTCGTAGCGTTCCGAGCTCGAGCGTCGCCTTGACATACTTGGCGTCGAGGGCCGCAAACGCTCGCTTGCTGTCCGTGTATCGCGTCTCCCATGCCTTGGCCTCCATCATAGCATCTTCGCATCGCTTCTCAAGCTATTCCATCGGTATTGGTCATGGTTCCAAGCAGGGCATCATCCGTACTTCGTAGACACGCATCTTCTCGTCGTCTTCGGCCTTCTTCTTGGAGACAAGGAGACGCTTTCCGATGCGTGCTGCCAGCTGGGCCTCTTCCCGCGACTCGTCTAGCGCGCGCCCTTGCTTCTTGAGCTCGTTCTCCAAGGTCTCGACCTCATGCAAGGATGACATCATGCTCGCAGCGGGACCATCTACCTGCATGTCGTACTTGAGCTTCGTGAGCTCATGGCCGCGGGAAGCGCCGATCGTCCGGAAGCGCTGCTTGGGGGTCATGCTGCTGCCCGGTGCTGCGTCGGTCATCGCTCTCGCTTCGTCCTGGCAAATTCGCAACTGGCGATCGCCCACGGTGCCCGCATACAAAAAGCAAGTTATTTTTATTCCACACATGAAACGGTTTCAAGGCCATCTTCCTATACAAACAGCAAGTGTAGCATACGTCATTTTTTTAATCGCGCGAAACCGTCGATCAATTTCGCGCGCGCCAAGTGCGCACATACCACATGGCGTTGCACTTGGCGAGGAAGTTTGGTACGACATCTTTTTTCTGCCGCGTCACTCGAACGACCTTATTGAGCAGTGGACTCCCTGGCCCATACGCCTGTGTCAACCTCGTCACTCGGATACCTGACGCAGCATCACATACGACCCACAATGCTAGCAAATCTCAAAAAGATCGTTTTTGAGAATACAACTATTCCACAATCTAGTCGAAGAAGAGGATGACGACGGTCGTGTCATCGTGGACACGCCGGCGCTCCTTGCCCGGCGGCAGCGCCGCAAACTCCTTGAGCGTCTTCCTACACAGTAAAGTGATGTGGTCCTGCGACCATGTTCGCCGAGCCCTACCCCTTGACCTCGGCGGCGCGGGCAATGACGCGCTCAACCAAGACGCGGCCGGCCTCCGTCTTCTTGCCCGCCGCAACGTGCGCTTGGACGATTGCAACGGCCTACTTCAGCATGAGGTCTTCTGCGCTGGCAGCTTTTTTGTACCTCTTCGTTCTCGAGAAAGTCCCAGACGCCGTCGCTGCCAAGGATGAGAAACTTGTCCGATGCGCTCAGCACGTGCGCCTTGGTCTCGGGGATCGCCATGACGTACGGTGGCGTGTACGGCGCTGCAATGTGGCGGCCGCCAGCGCGCTCGGATGCAATCGGAGACGCGTTGAACTCGGGGTACTTGAACGCAAAGTCGCCCAACGCTCTGCAGTCGCCGTGTCAGCGCCGACGTCCATTGTAGATGGATGCTGTGTACCGCGTGGGCTGCAAGCCGCCCTTGACGTAGCACGACTCGGGGTGCTTGCACACGACAATGTTGTCTTCGTTCGGGTGCTCGCGCGCCAAGCGCTCCTTCTCGACGGCGAGCTTGGCGTTGTGGTCGTTGCTGAGCGCGACGGCGCGCAACGCACCGTCGTCATCGGCGGTGGCCAAAACGGCGCGAATATCGCCCGCTGTACACGAACCTTAGGCTCCTTGTCGACAAGGTGAAAGCGGTACCGTTGGCAAGGACGAGGAGGTCGTCCTGGAGGTATGCCAGCATGGTGCAAGCGCCGACGTGGTTCACCTGGCCAAAGCCGAGCTGGAACGCGGGAAGCAGCAGCGAATGCAGTTGGCGCTCCGTGCGCAGGTAGCCATGCTTGATGGCCGACTCGACCTATGTGCAAGGTGCATTCGTCGTGTTGCAGCGGGCGAAGAAGAGACCTTGGCCGCCGTCACGTCGCGCAGCTCAGCGACTTCGGCCTTGACGTTTTCGATCAAGTGGCCGTGCGTGTACTCGGCGACTTGCCACCCACCTAGACGACGCCGATGCAATGAGGATACGCCGACCATGCATGTTGATTGCGACGCACCATGGCCGTCGATGACCGCGGCAAATACTTCCTTCTTGTTGGCTTGTACAACGAAGCGATCCTATAGCAATGACGCCTAGGTCAGCGTTGCCCATCAACTGCAAGACGACCTCGATCGGATAGTTGGCCCGGTACGAAGCACACGAGTAGCTGTGGACGTGGGCCACCGCCCGCGCGAGCTGGACGTCCACTTGGCGCTCCAGTTTTAGCGATACCTGGTCCTCCTCGACGTCGGTCATGGCCTCGCGCAGCGGGCTCTCCACGACGACGGGCGCGTCGCACAAGGCCGTTGCCGTCAGCGCGAGGCCGACAGCAGCGCCGAGCGCCATGGTAGCATCCATGCGCCACTTGCGGTCTTGGCCCATCGAGGCGACGAGAGCACGCGCCGGCGATGCGCGGGCAACAGCGCGCTGGGCCACCTTGGCCGAGTAGCGTCCGCAGATCTTGAGCATGAGGACGGGGCGAAATCGAAAATGACCCCACGCAATCTTGGCGGCGGCCTTGGGACAAACCATCGGGTAAAACCAGCCGAGCAAAGGAATATATCCTTTTCGTCTCGAATACCATATATGTATCAGAGACGTCTCAATTAGGCCCATTCTTTTATGTTGGTGTGACGATCTTGTGAAGCATGTGACCTTGATCTGATAATTTTGCCCACACCTCCTTGTGCTCGGCGACCGAGATACCAACATTCGCCAAGCCATCATGCGCCCCTGCTCCTCGGTTCTGCGCTGGTGTTCGTCAGGCCTCGCGATTGCTGTCGCTGCGACGACAGACTGCGCGTCGTCGGGCACGTGCGAGGCGCCGGCGTCTGCCGCGCTCGAGTACGACTCGATCGAGGGCCAGCACCTCCCGCACCCTATCGGCCGCGTCGTCGGGCACTATGCCGCTTCGTACCGTGCCAACTTTCCGAACGAGGTGCACATCTTGATTACTATATGACCGAATGGAGCGTATGGCTGCAATAGGATCGATGGAACGTCCATGTGGATGCGACTGACGGCGTTCTCGCGGCTGTCATGGACGGCCACGGTCTCGTGATGATTTTACCACCCGACGCAACAACTCATTCGAGCGTGTCCTAGGCGGCTGGCAGGTGGCCGAGTTTGTGCAAACGCACTTGGTCAACCACACGCGTCGCGCGCTGCAGAGCGCGGCGCCGGCGCAAGCCCTCGCCAAAGCCTTTTACGACACGGACACGCAGCTCAAGGCCCATTTGCGTCCGTCGTTGGAGCTCGGCTTTGGCGTCGTGAACCGCGTCGGGGCGTGCGGACTCGTCGCCTACACCCACGGCGACGCTCTCTATATTGCCAACGGTAGGCCATGTGCCACGACAGCTCGAGTCATCGCCGGTCGAGTAGCTGGCGACGTGCGAGCGGTACTCGGCCGTGTCGGTACCAAAGGAACGGTGCGCGCCACGCCGCTTAGCCGCGACCACAACGCCAAGTACGCGCGCGAGCAAGAAAAGCTACTTGAGGCCCACCCTGGTGAAGACGACATCGTCGTGTGCCGCAGCCAGGACGCGTGCTACGTTAAGGGCGGCCTCCAGCCCACGAGGTGTGCTACTTCAGCGTTGCATCGCCTTTCCGACCTCGATTGGATAGAGCGTTTGGGGACTTTGTCTTTAAAGACGCGACGTTCAACGGGTCGCCGTATCCCGAACGTCGCGGCGGCGGTCGCTACATGGCGCCGCCGTACACGCCGCCGTACATTTCCAGCGTGCCCGATGTGCACCTGCACAACTTGACGGCCGCCGACAAGTTTCTCATCCTCGGTATCATTCCGTCTCGTCATCCAGACCAACCGAGGCGATGACGATGCTATCATTGCAGGCAGCGACGGTGTGTGGGACTTTGTGACCAACCAACAAGTATGTACATATACAAAACCTCAAGGAGGTCACTGCGGGAGACAAAAATGCGTGTCAATAGGCAGTCGACCTCGTACAGCACTATGTTTCCATCGGAGAGCACGCGCTGGCGAGCCAAGGGCTTGTGCACCACGTCATCTCGCGCGCAGCCGCCGAGTACAAGTCTGCGCCCCCACACGGAGAGACCTATCGACTCACATCGTGGTAGGCAGACGATCGATGCACTTGCGGCGCTGCCGCCCGGGCGCGACCGGCGCCGGCTCCACGACGACACGACCGTGGTCATTCTCTTCTTTGGCTAGCTAGCCATGGCGATGGCCAAGTCGCGGTTAAAATGCGCCAAGTACATGCTGGCGCGGGCGTGCATCTCGTCCCAGCCATCTCGGTCGTCGTCGTCTTCGTTCAAGCGTGGCCGCGTATTCCAAAAGAGTTTGGTTTCGAGGACGCAGCCGTCGTCGAGGGCTTGGACGAGGATCCTACCCACCATGTTGGCAGAGAGACATCTATCGAGGCGGCAGTGTAAAGGTATTTAGTACCACGCGGTCTTGTTGCGCGACGGCTCGGCGCTGGTCGGGTACATGTGGTCGTCGTGGATGGTCTGGCTCACATGCACAAACTCGAGCGCCGACGGAAACGACCGGTATACGATGTTTTCGTGGGCGTCGCGGCTGTAGATGGTACCTGGCAGCTAATATTGTAGCGTGCATGAACAGTGGGTTGACCACGTCGTTGCAGTACCGCGTTGTCGAGGATGCGGCGCCCCGAGAGACCAAAGTGGAACGAGTTGCGCTCGTAGAGACGGTGATACGCGCCGGCGACGACGGCCACTGTCGTGTTGGTCCAGATCCGGCGCTGGACGAGGCGAAAGACAACATTAGCGCCGGCCAAAGTGACGTCAAAGCTCTGGACGTTGTCGATTGGGAGGCGCAAGCCGTCCATGACGGCGTACCGGTGCACGTACAGCTGCTTGGTGACCCAGTCGAGGCCCAGCTGCCGCGCCTCGGGGTCCTTGTCGAGCGAGATGGGCGTGAACGACGGCGGCGCCGAGAGCGACGGCTACGCAAAAGACCGAACGCTTTACACGAAGAAGGACGACGCTTCTACCGGTACGGCGTCCACCCAGCGAGCCATAAGGAGGGCGACGTGCTGCTGCCGTGCGAGCTGCTGTCGAAGGGCGCGCTGGGTAGCGTAGCCGTCCGTGACGTCGTCGCGAAGGGCGCGCGCGACCTCGGCCCATGGCAGCACTGTTGACGCGAGGCACGCTCTGAGGTCGGCTTCGAGCTCAATGACGCGGCGCCGAAGAAAATCAAGCTGCTGCTGGACCTTGATGCGGAACGCGCGCTTCTTGTCGCGGTTCACGCGGCGCTTGAGCGTTGCGACGTCGTCCATCATCACACCGACACTGAATGCTTGTCCTGTCTGTACCGGGACAGGCGCAAAGCCAGGGCGTCAATGGAGTGTAATGTACTGTACTTGGCCACAGCTCGCGACCACAGAGAGGGCGGTTGGAGGGCGTGTAGCTTTGGACCACGTAGCACATGTAATAGTCTTCTGGTGACACGTCGCCGGCTTTGTCCTAAGCGTGGTGCTGCGGTGCGTGTGCGACTCTAACATGACCGTCCACCTAATATATCGCACTATGGTATACAATGTACACATTGTCTATCAATGGGTAGAGTCTAATTGAAACGCTCGGTGTAATCGTGTGCTCAATCATGCGCGATCGCTGAGGTCCAGGAGCAGCAAGGACGTCTGTAGCTCTTCGTTGACGGTCTCCATAAGCGTTGAGAACGCTTCGCCGAGATGCTCCTTTAAAATGACGTCGACGGGCCGCGACGCTTGCCGCATTTGCTCGGCGTGGTGCTCGCACACGCTCAACTTGGCTTCCTCGAGGAGCGAGAGGTACCCACTCTCTTTGGTCCACGTCTGCGATTTCTGAAACACCTTGGTCTCCATGACCACGTTGGGGCCGATCACATCCAGTACGATCCTACACAGCAGTCCAGCCTCTCGACGACGGACGGAGCGTACCAGTTGGCCTTGTGCCGGTGCAGCGGCGTCAGCGGGTGCTTGGGTCGTCGTGGATGCTGTGCTGGACAAAGACGACGCGGTTCTCCGAGACAAACTCGCGGTGCACGAGGTTGTCGTTGACCGCATGGTGGCGGCTGTAGATGAACTCGTCGCCCAGGATCTACGCTCAGGCTCGAAATCGAGACGTGGAGTCGTCCAGGTACTACCGAGGCGTCGAGGCGCTGCCGGTTGGCGGCCACAAACGGCATCGTGCTCGTGTGGCAGAGGCGCCGGTAGGCCTCGAGGACGCGGTCGAGGCTCGCGTAATGAATGCACCGATCCCGGTAGATGTACTCGATGTAGCCCTTGGACGTGTCAAAGACGAATTCTTGCATCGGCGACTGGTCGCTCGGGTGGAAGCCCATGCGCTGCAGCACCGAGTCGGTGTGGTAGTACATGTGCTGCGTGATCCAGTCGCACACGGCGCGCCGCGCCTCGTCGTTGTCGCAGAGCCCGGCGCGGAACCATGTCGGTAACTCGTTCGGCCCGCGCTAGGAACACTCGGATGAGAAACTACGTAGCACGGAAGGTCCCGTACCTCGATGGGCTGGTAGATGGATTGGAGCCACTTGGTCATGGCATGCGTGAGTGCGACGCGAGCGCGGACGGTCGCGTTCAAGTCCGTATTCGTGGCTTGGCACTCGGCGAGGTCGTGCCGCAGTGCCTGCTCGACGTGGCTCCACGGCAATAGCATTGAACGGCCCTTCTTGCGCATCTCGAGCTCGGCCTCGAGCTCGGCCACGCGCCGACGAAGGAACTCGAGCTGCTGGTTGACCTTGCGCCGAAAGTCGCGCTGCTGGTTGCGCTTCAAGAGCCGCTTGGCGTCCATGGCCTTGGCCGTCTCCTCCACTGGACTCTCCGAGTCGGTCGAGTCCCGCGGGCTATCGTTGCTCGTCGTTGTCGTCGTCGTTGTCGCTGCCTTGGTTGCCATCGCCGTCGTCCTGCGCGTGGTAAAATTACCGCCTGGTTCGAAAAGGTTGGGACGGTACAAATCTGATCTGTCGACCAGATAATGGCTGATGCTGTCCTTCCTGCCAGTTGCCTGCTGCTGCTTGGCCCACACGTCGTTGCTGCCACACAAGGCGACGAGCGCACACGGCCACCATACCAGCGCGGCTGCGATGTAGCGATGCGGCAGATGCGACGCTGGCGGCCGCGCGTCGACGTGATTACCCGACCAGCACTCACTCTGGGCCCGCGATGTTGGTCGATCACCCGGGTGTCTCAACTCACTGCGGCCGCAGCGCATCCAGTCGCTACCGCTCCAGTACAGTACCCGTACCGGTTGTGCATCGACCTCACTCTGACCTGGCTTGCGGGGTAATCAACGCCAACGTCCATCCAAGAAACCAACCGTCAAGCCTGCATCAACGCCGTCGATGCAGGCTTGATTCGTGTCTTGGATGGACGGTTGGCTTCCAGTGTATGCATATTCTGTTATTCTGTTTGCACACGTTCTTGTGGTACGGCTATCCTGGACATGCTCAGTCAAATGCGGCGGCGGCTACGTGGCAGCCTACCAGATGGTTCTGGTCGCATCTTGACAAATCGACGGGAGAGCAGTATACGTAGACGCAGTAGCATGTCGAGCCCCGTGACCTCGGACGAGTCGTGCGACGATGCGCAGCGCGTGCGCAAGCGCGAGAAGCAGCGGGACTTCCGGCGCAAGGTGCACCACCAGCTCGAGTTTCTCCGCGGCCGCGTCGCCCACCTCGAGACGCAGCTCCGGGCGGCGCGCGCTCGGAAGGCCATGGTCCCGCTGTCGTGGTGCGAGGTCGCGCGCGCCCTCAAGGCCGACGTCGTCGCGACCAAAGGCGTGCGCAAGTCGCTCCTCGCGCAAGCCGAGGACCACGCCGAGTTTCTCGAGGCCATGGTCAAGTGGGTCCAGTCGCTCTCGCCCGAGGTAGCTCGACCGCAATGCGACCTCAATTGTTGTCATCATACTCACTCCTATCATGGCTAGCGACCGCCGTCGCGGTTCCCGCTCTGGTACAATGTCGGCCTCTGCGGCTCGAACGCGTCGCGCCGCGCAGCGTTGGACTGGATCACACAGCACATGTACCACCACACGCCCATGGTGCTCCAGCACATGGGCTTCCACCCGACCGATACGACGCCGTCGCAGGCGTTCATCTTTGACAACTCGAAAGGCTACATCGAGTACATTTACACGGACCGGCGCATTCACTGCGCCGCGACGCTGGCCCAGGTGCTCGCGGCGTACCAGCGGCTCTACTACGCCAACTCGGTCGACTTTGTCGTTGCGGGACGCCAAGTGATGGACCAAGATGTAAGACGATCTTTGCCGCGGCGTCTGCGATATGCATGGAGTGTAGGAGCTCGGAAAGGACTTCATCTACAGTCGGCGCGAATTCAAAAATGAAAATGTCGTCCACCGCGAGTTTGTCTCGGAGCACCAAATCGTGCACGTCCAGCACAGCATCCACGACGACAGCAAGCACCCGCTGGGCGCGATCCACCGCCACCGCATGGCCTGGTACGATCGGACGCCAAGCAGATCGTTCACGCTTGGATAGGATCGTGCTGGAAGCCGTGTCGCCCACCATGGTGGTTGAGACCAAAGTGTTTCAAAAGTCGCAGAGCTGGACCGAAGCCGCGGGGTACGTCTCGGTCGACGAAGAAGCGCGCATCGTGGGGGTGTTTGAGGAGCCGCACATGGACCAAGACGACTATGACATGCTGCCGCCGTCGGTTCAAGAGGCGCAGCTCCGCCAGCACGTCACATCGACGCTCTCGCGCTGCATGCAAACCCTCAACGGCGAGCTCGAAATGGCGCTGCAGCAACTCGACCTCGAGGAAGCGCAAGCGGCGATCGAGGCGCTGCCTCGGGACGCGTCGTGCTGCCTGTACTAATACCAGACCCCTATTGATGTATCTGTCGCTCTTGGATATTGAGAAAGGAATGAGGAAAAATGGCGTTCACACCAAATGGTCTTAGCTCTTCTTTCCTACTTTAATATGTAAAGCACTAAATTCTAGTTGGTGGAGTCCTTCTTGTGTAGAAATCTGGCAACACCACTCAATCTTTTACTCACTCGATCAATAGATCCTCGTTTTAGACGAGCTCGATCGACGTGGCTTGGCGCGCGGCGTGCTCCCGCAGCACTTGGTCGAGCTCGTAGTTGAGGGTCTTCATGCAGCGTGGATAAGTCTTGGCCATGTGGCTTCGCAGCTGGTCTTCTTGCACCGAGAGTGGCAGCATGGCAAAGTCGTCGCGGTCCACAGCTGCCTTGTACTCGTCAAAGTACCCCGTGAGGTCGGCCTCGACCTCGATCGGAACGTAGCCAGTCCCCCGCATCCACGCTTGCGACTTGTGAAAATAGCGCGTCTCCATGACCACATCAGGTGCGATCGCGTCCAGAACGATCCTACGCGATGGGATTGCAATCATTAAAACATCAAAAGATGAGGCGAACCAGGTTGTGCGGTGGCGGTGGATCGAGCCCAGGGGGTGCTTGCTGTCGTCGTGGATGCTGTGCTGGACGTGCACGATCTGGTGCTCCGAGACAAACTCGCGGTGCACCCTGCAGTCCTTCTTGGACTTGCGCCGACTGTAGATAAAGTCGTCGCCAAGAAGCTACGCAAATGATTGTCTCTCGAACTATATATGCGAGGAACAGGTTATGACTACCTTTCGATCAAGGACCTTGCACCCCGCGATGACAAACTCGACCGAGTTGGTGTGGTAGAGGTGCTTATACGCGGCAAAGACGCGCGCCAAGCTCGCAGGAATGAAGCGCCGGTCCGTGTAAATGTACTCGTTGTATCCTTTGGACGTGTCGAACACAAACTGTTGGCTCGGGAACCGGTCGGTCGGGTGGAAGCCGGCGGCGCGGAGCACGGTGGGCGTGTGGTAGTACATGTGCTGCGTGATCCAGTCCAAGGCCGCTCGGCGCGTTGTGTCGCTGCCGCCGAGACCAACGTTGAACCAGAGCGGGTACGCCGACGGCGGTCGCTACGACAACAACATTGGTACAGCGACGGCCTACAGTATTAGTACCTCGACGGCCGGGTAGAGCGAGTGGACCCAGCGTAACATTGCCTCGAGAAAGGCGGCTTGGTCGGCCACGGACGCCTGGAGCTTCTTGGTTGCGCGCTGCTCGACCTTGACGTCGTTGCGCATGGCCCGTGCGATGTCGACCCACGAGAGCCCGAGCGCCTTGTCGCGCTTGAGCGTCTGGAGCTCGCTCTCGAGGGTCGCGACGCGGCCGCGGAGAAAGCTGAGCTGGTGCTGGACCTTGGCGCGGAACTCGCGCTGCTTGTTGCGCTGGAGCTCGCGCTTGGCCGCGTCGCCTGGCATTCTTATTTTGAGGGTTGCGTCAGCCAATCACGTGATTGCGTCGTTGCAAGGGCAACGCCATCGCAACACGTGGCGCGTGCTATGCGTTTTTCGGCCGGCGAAAAGGAGATCCAATGAACAGTCTATGTACCCTCGAAAGGACGTAGATAGAGCATCTCCAACCTCAATCTCCAACCTCAATCTCCAACCTCCAACCTCCAACGGTATACGTGGACGGAATGACCACTTGGATCTTTTTTGGTACGACTTCTCGAGGTGGCACTCGGACCCGTGGACCGGACGTAGGGACACACAGGGTCACCGGGAGAAAGCTTGTCCCGTCGCTGCCCTGTCTTCAATCGAGTGTCCATGCCGGACAAGCCGAGCGTGGTTTGACCAAAACCCACGAATACCGTTGTCTGGTGTTGTCTCGTGCATACACTGTATATAAGGGAAACCAACTCGTTCTCATTGGGCTTCGCCGCTGTATCCAGCGCGGTTCCTCGATTGCGTCCAACGTGGTGCGACTCGGGTGCGCCTACTTGTACCTCTTGTCGTGGACCCGTTTTGGTGGCGCGGGCTCACGAGTAGTAGGGCGAGAACTCGCGCTGGGTCAGAGCCATTTCGTCCAAGTACTTGTAGCTCGATCGGTGCAAAATGCGATTCTTTTCGATCGCGACGATGCGAATGGATCCAATCGCGCGGCTAAAGATCGTCCGAAGCCAGGTTGTCGGAAGGAAGCGGTAGAGAAGCTCGTACTGGACGTTCGACGTGCGCGTGAGCGCTGCGTCTGAGACTTGCAGCATGTTCTTGACCAAGAGGACGCCATTGTCGACGCCCACCCTGCCGTCCTCTGTCGTCACGAGGACACCGTACGGCGACGTGAGGACGCTGGAAAAGTCGGGGATCTCGAGGTACTCGAGCACCGAGTTGGTCATGGGCACGACATCGGAGCTGTGCACGCTGGCAGCGTACGCCGAATGCGCATAGACGCAGAGTATCGCTAGAAAGACGACACCGCTGGCCGCGACGCCCGAGAGATACGACGTGCGGGCGATCGCGTCAAAGCTAAAGCAGTTGCTCGACGTCGCATGCCCGCACGGTCCCGGCACCGTCTTGCTCATGTCTGGAAACACAAAGGCTTCGAGTACAAAGACGAGCATCCAGTTGCCGACGCTACACACCAAAAGCAGCCACGTCTGCGTGACCAGTCGCGGGTTGAACCACATCTGGATGAGCGGTCCCGTCGTGATGCCGACGATGGATGCGAGCTGCGCGGGGCCGAGCCACTTGTAGTACGCGGGCGTCTCGGCGCTCGGCCGTTTGATCAAGTACGTCGTCAGCGTCTGGAGGTTGGCGTTGCCGTAGAAGCTGACAAAGACGATCGCGAGGTCGACGACCGTCTTGGACATGTAGACTGGTACGCAGCAGACCACGCTGTGCCGCAGAAAGACAAGCTGCAGCGCCACGAGGTACACGGTGAGCAGCCAGAGCACAACGCTGTTGGTGAGCATGAGCGCGTCGCTCTCCCAGACCATCGTCACCAATCCCTGCGTATGCAGCAGCCAGCCAAGACCCGTGTCGAGGTTCAGCGTGGCGCAACTGGCCGCGGGCAGCACGTCCCATGGCGCAAGCGTCCGAAGAATACCGCGTTCGTACTCGTCAAAGAACGTCAAGGTGGTGAGCCGCATCGTCGACGCACCGTTTCGGAACGTGGCGAGGTAGCCTGGGTTCAAGTAGACGTCACTGCGTGGCGCGACACCCAAGTACGTGGCCTTGCCGTGGCTGGCGCGGATTGCGTACGTGTTGGCGTCCAAGTCGGCGTCGTTTTCGCAGACCCAGTTGGAATCGTACTTGCGCAGCGAGCAAAACGCGATCGAGTCCACCTCGGCCGTCGACGGTGGCGCCGACGCGAGGTAGAAGGTCGCTCGCTTCACCATGCACGTGATGGCCATGTCGTGTCCCGCAATCGAGATCTGCGCGGTCGGTTTGTTCCACCCGCTCATGTTGTTGATGTGCTGGATCGTGACGGTCTGGGTCGGGTCCTGGAAACGCGGGTCGTCGAAGCGTGGAACGAGCGCCAGCGCTTTCGCCACGTGGCCCCACAGCTGATTGCTCGTGCTCTGAAACCCGTTGGCACATGTGGTGTTGCGCTTTCCACACTGCGCGTAGACGAGCGTGCTCAGCGAGAGCTTGGCGTCAAATGGAAGCGATGCCGAGAGCGCCAGGTTCGTCGAGCCTTGCAGTAGCACGGTGATTGGTATCGAAAACTTGTTGCTAGTGTACGTCGCTATGTTGAGGCCCATAAAGATGGTCGTGTTGGCTAGCGAGCTTAGCTTGTACGAGCTGACTGCTACGAGTGTCGCAAAGACCAAGTAGAGCAGTGCCAGCGCAAGTCCTTGGCGACATCGCTGCCGAGGCCGCGACGCGATGAGGAGGTCGGGCGTCGGTGCGATCTTCTGGACCATCGTTGTTGTGTTTCGCAAGGCAGTATGGACAGGTGATGCGATCGCTAAAAGTAGCCCCTCGGCATCCGTCTCCTCTATTTTGGGTCCGACCTCTGGAAGAAACAACGCACGTAGCTCCAATTGGTTGTGCCACGTCAATCAACCCGGGCTGCGTACACCGTCCTGCATGTTGTCTCCAGCGTCAGGACGGAGGCTTCGCTGATATCGGTAGAAAGGTCGCAGCAACACGCAACAGAGGGCGGTCATTACGTCGTCCTTGGATGGTGGAAATCGAGAGGCGATACTTGGTGCACGCACGTGTGCTCGTAGCACATGTACGACGGCTGTGCACAACCTGGTCGGTATGCACCACAGGACGTATCCGCTGGCGGTCGACGATCGCACTGCCTTGCCGCCTCTCGGTGGCGCATGAAACGGTCCATTCAAATTGGAACACCATGGACGGGCCTTCCCGCCGTTCCAAACCCGGCAAGATGCAACCCGCGCTGTCGTCGCCCAACCTCTTGATGCCACCGAGCCGCGAAGAAGTCGTGCTCGAGTTCTACAACCCGCACCTCCGCGTCGGGCGCGAAGGCGGCGGCTTGAGCGTACACCTCTCTAGCGCTCCCGCGTCTCCCTTCACCCGCCGTGTGAATAGGAGTCGATGAAGCGCGCGCTCGTCGGGCTCGACCGCATTGGCCCGACGTCGCCACAAACCAAGTGTGTGTCGTTTGTCGATCCGCTCGAAGATGCGACGAAGCGAGATCTGCGCAAGAGCCACCTCCTGCACCCGCTGCCGTCGGTGGCGTCACCCAAGAAGCCGACACCAACGCGCTGTCAGCGCTGCTTCTCGTCCAACGTCGTGTATGTGCCGTCTTGCGCGTACTGCGAGAAGCTCCAGCTCCTCTCCAACGCCAACACGCTGGCCAAGCGGTTTGCGTTCAACCTCCTCGAACGCGAGCCGACAATTCCGCCGCAGCAGGTGCCAGCTTCTTCTTGTCGTCAAGCATGCTTCCCTACTGCCATGTAGCTTCTCGACTCGGTCTTTGGCTACCTCTACGAGCTGCAAGACCCAGTGACTGCGAATCGAGACGTGCTCGCGATGTAAGATGCATTGCGCTGGTCCTGTCGATGCAAGCCGCACTGCGTAGACGCAGCGATGTCGTCGCACTCGAGGCCAACAATGGTTCCGGCGTCTCGAAAGACGAAGCCGCGCACATGATCCGCAGTGCCGAGGCCGCGCCCTCTGCGCTGGCGGCGACGCGTGACGCGATCCTCGAGCTCAAGCAGGCGCGCGCCTCCATCGTCACCAGCAAGGTGGTCTTGTCGCAGCCGACCAAGGTGTCGCTCGTGCAGTACTTGCTCGACACGTTTGCCCAACCGAGCGGCGCGGGCGCCGACTGGACTCGCGAACAGCGCTGGGACCACCAAGACATGTGCGTCGAGATGCTTAAACTCCTCTCGACCGACGACGTCGACGACGTGCTGCGGACATACAATGCGTGGAAGCATGTGAACGAGGTCAACCAAAAGCAGCGTGCGATGGAGCGCGCATGGAAGCAGCGGCTCTTCCAGACGACGGTGCCCGTACCGCTCGAGGATGAGCCCGTCGAGACTGGTTGGTATGTAGGAGAAGCCTCGTAACGTGCAGACGCCAGGGGACGACGACGAGGACGACGACTGCGAGACGACTCGTCAGAACGTTGACCGACCACTCACCCTGCGCCAAAAAAAGGCCAATCGTGTGAGCGTCTCGGAAGAACACCGGCGTACGCTCATCGCACAGCACCATTCCGGTCAACGCGGCCGTCTCCCGATCAAGACCGCAAGCGCAACTGCGAGCTCGGCACCGCTTGCGGCTCTCAAGGAGCTGCCACCGTCCAGCCCCACAAAAGAGAGCGATGCGGAATCCAACCTTCAGCAGCTCTTCTTGACCGCCGAGCGGTACCGATCCGCATCGAGCAATGGAATGTTCCACATTGACCACCTCGGCCTCCTCGAACAAGCGGGGCTTTCGATGCACGAGTTAGCGACGGTCGCCAAGTTTGGTAGAGGACAATGTTTTCCATACTCCCGTCTGTACCCAATATTGTCGCATAGACCGACGCACGCAAATGGTGTACCTCTTGGCCGACGAGAACGACCGCGCGACACTGCTGCACCTCTCATCGCTCGGGCGTGTCAACCGTGTCGCCGAGTGGCTTGAGCGTAACGTCGACAACGAGACGCTTCTCATTGCGGCGACATCGGCGAAAGGCCAGCTCCTCAGTACGGAGGAGCGCCGCCTCATTTTAGCTATGGACGACATTGATCTCCGGTACCACCTCAGCTTTTGGAAGCAGCTGCAGCAGACGCGCGCGCACAAGAAGGCGCCGGCGACGTCGGTGCATTTTCTGCACCTCAACCTGCCGCACCACGAGCGCGACTCGTTCTTCCGCGTGCCGCGCTACTGGCAAAAGCTCATCAAGGCCCGCGATCCGAGTGTGCAGCCGATGCCGATTGCAGTCATTCGGCCGTTCGTGCTGCAGCTCTACATCCGCTGTGCCCAAGAAACCGTCGATGAGTACGACTTGGCCGAGTTTGTCGTCGAGCACATGACACTGTCGTTTGGTGCGGCGACGCACGTGCGGCTGCAAGGCTTCATCACAGCGCTCGAGCAGTACCACACCAAAGATTCGTGGCTCTACACCTTTTTGCCGTTTTTGCCACGTACTGCTTTCAAACCGTCTCTATCTTGAAAGATTGAAACATTGATAGATTACCGAGCGATTGCCCGCGGGCTGCTTTCGGTTCTACCTCTCGGCGGTGCTCTGCCTGCGCTTTAGCACGCCGAATCGATCGCAGATCGCCGACTACATTGTGCCAAAAGAGCTCTTCCATCCGCTCCTCGCGACCAAAGCCAAGATGGCGCTGCAAGCGATCGCGCGGGATGCCCACGTCCGCGACGAGCACTGGCTAGCGACGTTCACCGAGATGCGGACTGTCTGCCCGCGCACCAAGGGCGTCGTGAGCAACCATCTGCACGTCGTGGGCCTCTCGGTTTTCATGGACCTCGTGCTCGGCATTTGGGAGGCCAACCGCGAGAGCATGACCAAGGAAATGCGCGCGCTCTTTGAGCAGTTTGACACGGACCACAGCAAGAGCTTGAGCTACGCCGAGTTCAAGGCCTTCATCACGCACTGCAGCGCAACCCTCGAGGCCAAGACGCGCCCGCACTCACCTTTACGCGGGGCGTCGCTGAGCTCTCTCCTCGAACCCAAAAACACCCCGGAACGCCGCCACGCCACGTCGTCGCCCAAGGACGAGAAGGATATCATCAAGCTCTACGCCAAGTGCCTCATGCAGTCCGATAAGGACGAAGTCAACGTCGAGTCGTTCGTGCTCGGTGGCCTCGACAGTACGTTGGCGCTCTTGTCTGTATGCTCGTGGCTACCAGTCGCGTAGACCCGCTCATTTTGACACTGCTGGGGTTTCCCGTGCCACCGACGCACACGTCGGCAGCAGGCGTCATGGCGCTGCAGCTCGTCACGCGCGCTGTCCGCGCCTACATTCACCGAAAGCGAAGTCGTGCCGCGGCCATGGCCAAGGCTAGAATTAGCTGATCGAACGTTGTCGTGTGCTTGTTGTGTGCTGCCGTGCAGTGGTTCAAGCGCCTACCTACGTGGCCAGTGCGTATTCCGTGGGACGCTGGCCAGGTTGAAGTAGCTTACTCCCACGATCCGCCCATGCTTGCTTGCTCCAGTTCGTAGTGCTCGGGGTCCACGCATGAGGTACTTCACGTTGGCTAGCGAGCGCGCGTGGCCATGCATCGCATCGCAGCAACTTCCACAGCTGGGCCATGATTACCATGGACTGTGGCATCAAGATCCAAGGAGTGGGATCGCGGATCGCGATGGCTTCGCCCAGCCCCATCAAGATCTTCCTCGCATGGACCAGGCGACTTCATGTCGCCATTGCCGTCTGACGAGATCACCATGGCCCAGTGCTGAAGCATGGTGGCATGCACGCTGCTCGCGTCGTTGGCGGCGTGCACTGGTTGGCGGTGTGTCCCTTCCGCCCCACTCAAATCGGATCTGGTCGTGACCGGATACGATAAAGCTATCCGGACTGCAGGTTGATCTTCAATGCATTATTCCTTTCGCCAAGAAGCAGCAGCGCAGCGGTACGAGGACGAGGACGACCGCGCCTCATGGAAGCTGCCTCGTAGGTAGAGATGCCCAAAATAAAGACGCGATCGAGGTCCCGGAACGTCGACGCCATCGTCTTCCTCCTCGACGACGTCCTCTACGACCACACGGGGACCTTGAGCTTCCTCGCGGTCGAGCGCGCGGCCAAGCAGCTCGTCGAGGTAGGTGGAAGGGACACGGAAGGACGACAAGGAAGACGAAGACAATGACATGTAGGAAGGTGCGTTCGAGTCGTGGGATGACGCCCATATCGCCCTGCGCAAGTTCCGCGAAGCGTTCGGCTACCGACAGAACTTCCAGCGCTTCATTGAGGACCTTGTCTCGGCGGGGCAATTGACCCAGGGCGCAGGGACTCGCGTCCTCACCGCGTACAATGCGCGCGCTTTCGTCCTCGGCGCTCCACACATCCTTCCGTTCCCGCACACAGTCGACACGCTGGACGAGCTGCAAGCTATGGGGTACTCTAATGCACCTGTATCGATGCTGCATGCATCCATACTCATGGAACACGTAGGTACAAGCTGGGCTTGCTATGCTCAGGAACGATGGAAGCTCAGTGGGAGAAGATCCATGCGCTCGGAATCGCCTCCTGCTTTGATCACGTCATGGTCGTGCCTTCGGGCAACCTATCGGGCGATGGCAACACAGCGAAAGTGCTTCCTGTACGTCTACAATTCTAGAGCGTTCAAGAGAGGCTCATGCAGTATTGAAGGTGATCCGAGCGATGGCCAAAGAGCTCAAGGTCGCAATCTCCAAGATGGCGCTCGTCGGTCGTCGCGTCTTTGCCGAGCTCAAGGCCGCCAAACAACTAGGCATGATCACGATTCGCATGGTGCGTACTGGAGCTGCTCTTGGCGTACCATTCGTTTCGGTGGATAGAAATACGGCAAGTACTCGCGAACCATGCCGGCGGACGACATGGAGCAGCCCGACTACCAAATGTCCACGATCGAGCAGCTCTTGGCCATCTTGAAACTCATCGAAGAGCGGCGTCCACGACCCAACATCGTTGCTCTTGGAGGCGGCACGGGCCTCGCTGTCCTTTTGAAAGCACTGCGCGATTATCCCGCCGACCTCACGGCCATCGTCACAGGTACCAACGCCACAATTGAGCTCGATTATTCTCATTCGCTCGTCCAGTCTTTGACTCGGGGCGTCACTCGGGGACGCTACGCAAGTCCCTGGGTATTCTGCCACCCGGCGACATCCGCAACTGTCTCGTAGCTCTTTCCGATGCGGGTACCATCGAATTCTTCTCCAAAAGCATCCTGGACTTACGCCATTCCTGGCACAGACCAGCTCATGCACCAGCTCATGAACTACCGGTTCCAGGAAAACTACCTCGAAGGCGCGAGCTTGGGCAACCTCCTCTTAGCCGCCCTCACCGACATCCACCAAGGATCCTTTGACAAGGCCGTTGCATCCGTCTCGGAAATCCTCAACATTCGCGGTCAAGTCTTACCGGCGACGCTCGACCAGTCGGAGATTTGCGCGACACTCCAAGACGGCTCGACCGTTGTCTCGGAAGTCAACGTCCGCGACCCCAACAAGTCGGCGCCGATCGAGCGCGTGTACCTGGAGAACGCCGAGAACGTCCACGCCTACCCTGCAGCCGTCCAGGCGATCGAAGACGCCGACATCATCTTGATTGCACCTGGCGGTTTCTACACGTCCATCATTGCGACGCTTCTCGTGCCCGGTACAGTCCAATCATCAAAGTAGAGACCACTCACGACGACATGCATAGGCATCAAGGAAGCGATCGCCCGGTCCTCGGGCGCCGTCGTCTACATTAGCAATGTCGCGACGCAGAATGGGCAGTCGGACGGGTACACGCTGCCACAGACGCTCGACATTTTGAACGAGTACCTCGGGACCGACGTCATCGACTATGTCATTGCCAACAACGCGGTGCCCGAGACCTCTGTGTTTGAGAATGGCGAGACGCTGCTTTTGCCGACGCAAGCGATGGAAGACGCCGAGCGACCGATCCTTGTCCAAGGCCGCGCCTTCCAGGACATGTCCAACTTTACGATCGAGTGGAAGAAGGTGCCCATGATCAAGCACTGCGGCAAGATGATCCTCAGCATGCTCTATCGCATCATCGAGAAGGAGATGGATGGTACGATGCAGCTCCGGTCACGCAGCCACTTGTTCGGAGCCCATCGGGTTTTACGCCTCGATACGCACGGCTACAAGGTGCGCAGCTCTCGTACGACCAGCCGCTCTCGCCCAAGCGGCGCGTGCGCCGCCACCGCGCCGACGAGAGTACCAGTCACCTCTGGAAGCTGGCGCTGGGCCTGGCGTTTGGGGCTGTCGTCGTCCTCCAGCATATGCGCCCTCCACGAGCGTAGCCATCCTCCTCGTAACGTTAATGACAACAATGCGATTCAGCAACGTATTTCCTATCGTCGTGCATCTCGTGGCCTGCTCGAGGAACTCGATCGAAGCAAATCGATCGACGATCCATGCTCGTTGCTAGCGTCTTGTTGACCATCGCCTTCCACGTGCGCCGTCGTCGTCGTACCGTTGGACCCATCTGGCGCTGCTTCCCATCGCCCACATCTGCTTGCGCTGACGCCAGCATGCACAAGCGCTCGAAGCGGCTCGTCGGCGCCGTCTCATTCGAGAAGCGTCTTCCTCGCACCGTCTACCTCGCATCGTCTACCTCGCATCTGCTGCCATTCTCGTCGTCGTCTTCAAGCATCGGCCATAAACCCGACCGACCGTGCGCGTTTTCTAGAACGAGATCGCGCGCCGTGTCTCTCGCCGGATAGTTGTATCCGGCGGCGAGCTTCGCTCCACCCGGCGAATCCGGATGGGGAGGGTATCCGGATACGGAGGCCCGTTTTGTGGAAGCTCATTCGCCAAAAGCAAGTCGCTAGGAGAGGTACCATGTCGACGGCCGCCCGACGAAGATTGATGCGCGACTTCCGGAAGCTCCAGAACGACCCGCCGTCGGGCGTCTCGGGCGCGCCGCTGGACAACAACATCATGGTGTGGCAGGCGGTCATCTTTGGCCCGGACGACACGCCATGGGAGGGCGGGACCTTCAACCTCCTCCTCGAGTTCAGCGAAGACTACCCGAACAAGGCGCCGTCGGTCAAGTTTGTGACCAAGATGTTCCACCCCAACATTTACAACGACGGCCAGATCTGCCTCGACATTTTGCAAAACCAGTGGAGCCCCATTTACGACATTTCCGCGATCCTGACCTCGATCCAGTCGCTGCTCTGCGACCCGAACCCGAACTCGCCCGCCAACTCGGAGGCCGCGCGCCTCTTCCAAGAGAACCGCCGCGAGTACAACCGCCGCGTGCGCGAGATTGTAGAGCAGAGCTGGGCCGCCATGTCGTAAGCCTGCTTTGTCGATAGATTTATACATTGCGAAAAATGCTACACCAGTACTATGCCATTCTCGTTCCACAGCTACTGCGACATTGGGAAGGGCGCCCGCGCGTTGGCGGCGACCGACGACTGCAGCATGTTGCTCGTGTCCATGGTCGGGTTGAAGTTGCAAGAGCCTTGCTGCGTAATCGCGGCGAGCGGGATATCGCAACCCAGGTCGCGCAGCGCCGCATATGCCTCGTCACCACACCCGCGCAGTGGCATGGCGTGGCGCAGCATGAGTTCGACCTGCGGCTCTTCTAGCACGAGCGGCCGAAGCTCCTCGTTTCGAACGACCATGTTGCGAAGAGCCAGACTGGCTTGTCTACACACATCGGTGGCCTGAACTAGACGCAGCCCGCAAGCAAGGCACGTACCGCAGCAGCGACGGAAGTCCGGGAAAAGACGCCATGGCCGTGGCGACCCAGACGTGGGCGCGGAGACTGACGACCTTCTGGCAGTTGACAGGCGAGCGCAGGCACACGGCCGCGATCGTCGCGCAGGCTATGCTCTGGATACCAGCGTCACGTGCATGCTCCTGCATCGTCGCTAGAATGCTCGGCACCATGGTCGTGACCACGTGCTTGTACTCGTCGACGCCGGCAATGTTGCGCAAGAGCCCGAGGCTGTGCTTGATGACGCCGCGGTGCTACCGACATCGTTGGCTTCACACACATGTGTAATGCATCGAAGGTACCGTGGCATGGGTCGCCTGGAGGTTGGGCACAAGGTCCAGCGCGCCGCTGTCGACAATCTTGCGGCAGTTGTCTTCGGTCACTGCAAGTTGCTTGAGCACGGCGAGCCAGACCGCGACCGTATCGGCGTCCGAGGCGACGACGCTGATGTGCTCGAACGTCATGGGAATGAGCGACTCGTCCACAAAGAGCTTGACAATGTCGTGGGCTTGCGAGAACATGGCCGTCCTAATCCAGCATCCTCTTACATATTATCAAATATGCAGCGGCCACGCACGGATCGTCGTTGATCGTGAGCGTGCGGATGAGGTCGCCAATGTGCTTGGTGTCGGTCGTCGCTTTCCGCGTCTCGAGGAGCGACATGAGGAAGCGAATCCCGGCTGGGTTGAGATGCTTCTTGTTGCTCTCGTGCTTGGCGCAAATGGTTTTGAGCGCGGCAAGAGCGGCGTTCTGGACCGGCGTTGCGGTCGTCGGCGCAGCCAGCGCCTGCAACTGCAGAATACCGTCGACGCCGACAAAGTCTTGGTTGTCCTTGACGCCGTTGACCATCGCGTGAAGCACAACAAGCGTCTGCATCTGCATGCTATGGTCGGCGCTGACCTGCAAGAGATGCAGAAGCAGAGTCGTGCCGTCGTTGCGGCCGGCCATCTCTTTGGCGCTGGTCGCCGTCGCCGCGTCGGGCGCGCGAAAGTGCGCGAGGAGAACCGTGTAGTGAGGCGACGCTTGGTCCAGCGTGACGACCGTAGCATCGGCGGCGAGCGCGCGCAACGATTCGAGGGCGACGACGACCGGATGCACGACTGACGTGGTCAGCGCCTTGACGATCGAGCTCAAGTCGACGCCTTGGGATTCAAACTGCTTGATGGCGTCGGCGACAGCTTCGTCTTCGTCCATCTCGAACTCCTCCATGTTCTCGCGCACGCAGTCGTTGAACGTCTCCTGCGTGATCTGCTTCTTCGCCTGCTTCGTCGCCATCGCTCGTCAAGGAAGGAAATCCTTCTGCGTGTGGTCGACTAAAACGCGCCTTTAGACGCGTTTTTCTCACCACCCCAAACAGTGTTTCAGAAAAACAGTGTTTGTAGGCCGCGTCCAGCACTTTGATGAAACAGTGTTTTCAAACGATTCCATCACAGATCTTATCGTAAATGTAGTCAACGAACTCCTCCTGCAGGATATGCATTGGATTCCTACCGGTATGAACCCGACACTAGACGTGGCTGCTGCGATAACAAGCCGCGGCCAGTCGTCGAGGTTTAATTGCTGCAGAGAGCCTGCTGTCAACGATGCTGGTATCCTGGATGCTTCTTATCTCCGGAAAAAGTTCTGGGCCATGGACGAGGCGCGGCTACTGGACAAGGATGCTGCGCGACCAACTCAGCCCAACGTTGAGCGTAGCGAGGCGCGTCAACAAGCTCTGGGGCAATCTGGATGCAGCATTTGCAGCCAGGTTCGTTTTCTCTGGAATCTGGGTCGCGAATCTGGACCGACTGAAAACCAGGCGGCTCTACGCCTGCTCTATGCGCTGGGTCAGCGCGTGGAGATTACACGAACCAGGTCAATTGCTAACGCTGCACGCAAAAAGACACTTTGGCCGAATAAAAGAAACGCATTGGCGAATAAAAGACGCGCGGTTCATAAACCCGACACCTTTCCTCGCGCCCCGGAGCGCGTGTTGCCGAAGCGTCGCGTAGACTTAGGCGTCATCCTAATTCGTGGCATGAATAGTGGTAAAGACGCTACGTTAGTTAATTAATTCGTACTACTTAAAATTGACAGAGAGGAGGTCCAGTCGCTTCGACTGCGATCATGGGAGGGGCTGGCGGCTTGTGGCATGCAAGGGCAGCGTCTTGGGCGGAATACATAAGAGGTCGTATGGTACAGGATGGCGGGGCGCGCGCTTAACGGAGCTTGAGCACATACGGGTGCTGTAAGACGTCCTGGAGCGTGCAGCGCTTGGCCGGGTTGATGCAGAGCATCTTCTCGAGGAGGTCGCGGGCTTCCTCAGGCACAAAGTCGTCGAGGTCCCAGACGTAGATGAGGCGTCGCAGGCCGTGGCGCTTCATGTACGCGTAGCTCTCGTCGAGCTTGGAGGGCACATTGAAGAGGGGCACGCCGGTGAGGAGCAAGAAGAGGACGACGCCGAGCGACCAGATGTCGGCCTTGACCGGGTCGTACGGCGCAATGTTGTCAAACACTTCGGGCGCAATGTAGTAGGGCTTGCCGACGCGCTCGTTCGGGCGCGCGTTGATGTCGACCGCGAGGCCAAAGTCGCAGATCTTGGCCACGTTGTCTTTGTCGACGAGGATGTTTTCGAGCGAGAGGTCGCGGTGCGCAAAGCCGGCGGCGTGGATGAACTTGAGGCCGGCGAGGACTTGGGCAAAGTACGTCTCGGCTTCGTGGCGCGTAAACGTCTTGGCGGGCACGCTCTCCATGACGTCGAAGAGCGCGCCTTGGCTGCAGTAGTCAAAGACGAAGTGGTCGTAGCCGTCTTCGACAAACTCGTCGCGCAGAATGAGCACGTTGCGGTGGCCGCCTTCGTGGCGCAGCACCTGGTTCACGTGCTTCTCAAAGTGTGCGTTCTCGAGCACGTGGCGGCTCCGGACAAGCGTCCGGTGGCTCGCGGCCGCGCGCTGGTCCATCTTCTTGATGACGACCTGCTCCTTGGCGCGGAGGTCGCTGCAGAGGAGGATGTCGCCGTAGAGCGCGGGCGCGAGGACCGAGTCGACTACGTAGTCGTCCATGGTCATGCTGTGGAGGTGGCTGATGCAGATGTGGGAAATCCCGATATGGCAATCTGGCTTCGAGATGGGCCGAAATCTGAAACCGGCACACGAATTTTCGTGCGCACCTGCCCTGGCTACACAATTCAATCCATTCGTTTTATTCTCTCTTCTACTTTGTATGGGCATACACGCAATATAAAAAACATCCGTGCGCCGCCGCTGCTTCTGCGACTGATGGCGCATCGGTGATTGGCTAAAAAGGAGCCAATCATATGGCTTGAAAAGCGAGATGCGGCCCAATTTGGTTCTCGCCCAAACTTCGTAGTTCTCGAACGTGCACATTGCGGCAGCTTTCCAGCGGGTAGTGTGAGTTACGCGAAGTTCGAAGTTGACGCACGGGCACTCGCAGATTCGCGTCTGCCGACATCGAAGCATCACAAGAAGATTCAGGTCGCGGAGCCAGCGCCGCACTTATTACTGCGCTCACCTGGGCTTCGTTGACAACCGCCAGCGTCGCAGACACGTCGTAGAGGCACGCGCTGGCCAATCAACGGCGGCGCAGCGACCCAATCACACCGTGCAAAGTGGATCTTCAGCGGGTGCGTTGGCGGGTCGTGGCGGCCCGCGTGCTACTCGCGCGTCAACGGACGGGCAACGTGTTATGGACATGGTCTTCTGCCGTTGCAACCGGTGCTACCGAACGCTTTCTGCGGCGGTCGTCACGCTGTCCACAGCGTCGTATTTATGATCGTGCTTGGTCGTCGCGTGGGACAAAGGCCGGAATGCACCAGAGCCACGGCGCTGCCACGTACACGTAATTTTCAACATTTTTGAGCAGCGTCAACAACGCAGCGATGGCCGTGTCCTACGCGCGCGGGCCGCGGGCCGCGACACAGTGGCCCACAAGAATCATTCTGCGGTGGCCCCTCGCACGCCCGCCGTTCGATTGCGCACGTCTGAGCTGACGCCGAGATTTTTGGATTCAAAATGCTGCTTTCGCAATCACTTGTTCTCGACATGCCATCCGGTATGAGGCACGGCGACTCCGGCGCCCTCGCACGTTCATCCTCAGCTCTACCCTCTCTATCAGTACATAGGAGAGACAAGCGGCTACTAATAGTACAGTTTACATCGAGTGGCTACTAGTAGAGTTTACATCGAGTCGCGCTCGTCCCCCTTGGTCCCTCGTGGCGCCTCTGCTTGCGATCACTCCTTTTACACTATTGCCGTGTACGATGAACACTATTTCAAGTATTCGCCAACCGACGGTCTCTGCCCCGGGGTCCGGCGAATTTATTTTGCGTGTTTAATGTAAACAACATCTTTGTATGGAAAGCGATGAAAACAATAAATAGCTGCGAGTCGCCGACTCGGAGCGCAACAGAAACGACAAACCTCATTGCATACGATGGAAGCCGCGGTCCTCGGGAGCATGAGCCGCCTCAGCGACTCGGTCTCTCTGTACGTCAAGGACGCCTTCTGGGTCTTCGTCGTCTTCATGGTCTGCTGCCTCGGCGAGCTCAGCATCCCGATATTGCTCGTCATCGTATACGTCTTCCATCGACACGTCATCCATCAGCGCCACCGCCGGTGGCTCGACCTGCCCGAAGGCTGCCGTGACGAGATTCTCGCCATCACCGCCACGGTCTCGCCGCGTCCGCCCGACATGACCAACGACCTCGAGTGGTTCGGCCAAAGCGAGCACTTTACGGCGAGCCTCCACGCGACAATGGCCAACCTCCGGGCCAACAACCCGCGCATGCCCTTTGCCCGCGACTTCTTCTCGGCCTTTGATAGCGCCGTCTCGGCAGAGACGATGGCGTACGCACAATGGAACCTCCTCCGGACCACCGACCGCTATCTCGGGTTCCAGGACACCAAGGTCAAGGTCGAGGTGATGGTGCAGCATTACCAGAGTCAGAAGCAGGCGTTCGAAGAGCAGGTTCAGGCCAAGCGGGAAGCACTGCGCCTTCGCCTGCGCCGCGAGCTCAAGTGGAAGCGCCTGCCCGAGGACGACTGGGAAGAAGACAAAGGCAGCTGGTTCAAGAAGGTCTGGAAGCTCTGGGCACCGCCCAAGCCGCCCAAGGCCGAGCCCAGTCACGCACCCGTCGTTGCCAGCGACGACGACGCGTGCTGCATCTGCCTTGAAGAGTACGATGGCTCCAAGGAGCTCATCCAAGCCAAATGCGCCCACATCTTCCACGAAGACTGCCTCCTCGAGTGGCTGCGTCAAAACTCGACCAACAAATGCCCATATTGCCGCGCCCCCATTCTCAAGCCCACCTTTCTCCAGCAGTTCTTCCAGTAGCTGCTTCATACGAGATTGTAGCCGCATTTCTAACTTATCAAACTTGTATATCTTTTCTCGCAGCCTTTCCTGCACGCGACAAGAGTTAACAGGTGCGAGCTCCCTTGCATGTAGGTTGACAGTCCAGTCCGCCGTCGCCACTGTCAGGTACATCTAGATAGATACCAGCTCTGGCTCGATCCTTATCTTCTACTAGTAGCCATCAAGGACTTTAGTGCGAGAGTTCACTGTCAGCCGACCAGAATGCTTGCTTCTTCAGTGCGATGAGGCTTTGCGAGAAGACCCGTGAAAGCCCGTTATTCGTCACAAGGCCAGCGTTCTCAAGATGCCCGTTTGCTGGCTGCCTTCCGCACACAGCTGAAGGCTAGGACGCTCCTCTCACGGGGTGTAAAGACCCAGACGTGCGACCAAATGCAGTAGTACTGGAATGATATGCACTCTACCACCCGAGGCACTGTGACCTCAATCGCTCTGATGCAGGAACTCGCGAGCCATCGCTAGTACTTGCTTGGTCGTCCACTGGGAAAGGACGAGCTGTTCCTGAAGACCGTCACTCCTGTCCATTCGTGAGTGGTGGTCGTATCCGAGAGGCTTGGGACACGCGAACGTTCGGCGAAAGCGCGCGCCGGTGGCCGGTCGATCTTGCATACATGTAATACGATGTCATTCCTCAATTCACCACCAAGAACCATGACCGCCCCAGCCCCGTGGAGTGCGATCGCATCGCCGCCCGCCCGCCCGCTCAAGGACATCATGGACGAGACGCTTGCGCACGAGCTCGCGGCCGAGCCCGCGCCACCGACGCCGCCCACGACGCCAATCGAGAGCGTCCTCGAGAGCGCCATCTCGACGGACGCCGACTTTGCTCTGGCGCTGGCGCTGCAAAATGAAGAGCAGCAGAGTCCTTACACGGTCGATTATGAACGCCTCTTGCATGTCGGCTCGGCGTCGGTCGAGAATAATGATGATGGCGAGGAGGAGGTGCGTCTCCACCTCAAGGAGCGCACCAAGCGCAAGGACGTCCGCCTCGCCAAGCAGAGCACCAAACACGCGGCGAAGAAGACGACCAAGGCGCCAACGGCTGCCGATGCCTTTGGGAGCGCGCTCCAATCGCAGCAGCTGCTGCTCGTGACCGGGTCGGCCGAAGACATTGCAGCCTTGAAGGCCTTTGCAGCCGAGAAGGCGCCGTCGCTTCAGTGTGCCCTTGTGCTTGATGCGCGCACAGGCCCAGAGAGTCAAGATCTCTTGGTGCACTACGAGACGGGCGTCGACGGCAGCGATGGGACGTGGACGCCGCTGTCGGTGCTCGTACCATCGTCGGCCTAATGCCCCACTTAATCTAGCTAATACATTGCGGTACTTCCAACGACGACTGTGGTTCTTTCATAGCACCCGCACTGCATATAGCATGCGACCGCTAGCTCCGCTGATCGGACGATCGTCACCGATGGGCTAGGTTAGCGACGCAGATTTGCGAAGGAGTCGGAAGAGGCGCACACAAGCTCGATGACCATACTGTCTCTTGTCTGAAAGTGGTAGTGGAAGGCGCTATGTGGGAGGTCGCGATATGACGATGTACAATAATTCGCACTGCTCGCTCGCGATCCCGTAGTATCGTCGAGGACATGAACCATCTTCTAGCGACATCAAGGGGCTTCTCGTTCCCAACTTGCTTATGCCACTGATAGTCATCTCGTGTATCTTCTCTGCCTACTGGACAGCGCATGGAACATCTAGGTTTCGACACGCATAGGAATGGAGCGGGACCCAGTAGACGAGTAAGAAAGGCTTCCAATGACCTTGGCGAAGCTCCAGCATTTGATGAATACTCCTCGAAGCGTCGTGGCGCAGTGCCAACGCTCCAAGGGATCAACCTTGTCGTCGATCAGGACGTCTTCAGTCCCACAAGCTCTGCTCGTTCGAAGCGATCCATGACAAGGCCATTCCGTGTCGCATTGAAGGAATAGAGCATCTTCGATTGTCTATCAGTTTGTTCCATGCAAGTTTGGTGCCTGGACGCACCAGCCAACGGCGGCGCAGTTCGCCAGTGGCCATGGCGCGCGGCCAGCTGCACGAGATGACGGCCACCTTGGCGGCCTCGACCAGCGGGGCGCATGAGCCACCTGGCACCTCGACCATGACGCCCAGCACTACACACCAGCGGAAGTCGAGAAGCAGTGTCCAAGCGTGCTGCCGCCAACGGCGGCCACGTCAAGCTTGGACATCACTTGCAGCCCCGATCCGGATCCTCCGGAAATCGAAACATCCGGATACAGGGTTTACATCCGGAAGATCGCATCCGGTTTTCGTTCTCGCGGACAAATCTGTTTTCGGCGCGAACCTCCCTCCAGCAAGCATGGACCAAGCTCAAGACGAAGCCCCCGGCCAAGTCGTGGACCTAGCCCACGACGACGACGACAACGACGACGACGACGACGACGACGTCGTCTTCCTCTGGGTGCTCCCGCCGGACGTCGCCCAACGCCATCAGCTTCTGGTGCCAGAGGTGCAGGACGTCTTGACGCTCGTGGGCGACCTCATGCGGGATCTCGTGCAGCGAGGCTTGACCAGCTCTTTCGAGATGCACGTTTTCTACTTGTAGCGACGACGCCACATCTAACTAATTGGTTCTCTTATCCCTCTCTCTTCTATACCACGAAGAAGCTCTCTCAAAGACAAGAGTCGAGTGGGTGTATATAGTAATATTAGATCATGATGGCTTCGTCCGAAATGAGTTCTTCGCCGTCGTCGTCGTCGTCGTCGTCGCCCGCCGAGAGCGCAAAGGGCGCCGGCAGCGGCTTGGTTGCAACCGTCTTGGTTGCATCGCACACAATGTCATCGAGGCCAGCGCAGAGCGTCTGGAAGACGTCCCGGAACGCAAAGACGTCGCCGGCGCGGCGGCGCAGCTCGGCCATCCACACGCTCGCGTCGTCCGTCGGGTGCAGCACGAGCGCGGCCTCGACACGGTCCCCGGCGTCGGTTGTGCACTGGAACTTGGCCTTGGCCTCGCCCGCCTTCCACGTCGCAGGGACGAACGCCGACGTCTTCTCGCACGCGGCGCGGAACCGCCGGAGGAGGTCGTCCGAGGACGGCGCGACGCAGCGCAGCGTCGTGTAGGCCGTGACGCCGGACGCTTCGATCGTCGGCAAGAAGAGCGTCGGCGGCGCCGGTGCAAACGACCGGTGCACGCTGCGGTCAAACGGGTTGAAGGTCCCCGAGGTCGGCGCGGCCGCTTCCTTTTGCTTTTGGAGGCGCATCTTCTCGGCCTGCACCTTCTCGGTGCGCGTCTTCATCTCGAGCGTGAGCTCGTCGTCCGGCAAGACGGGCTCGTGCATCCACGGGTGCGCCCAGATCTCGGGCAGCGTGATGCGCGTCGCGGCCGACGTGTCAAAGATGCGCGTGAGGAGGTCCATGGCCATGGGCGAGAAGACGGCCGTGCGCGCGTGGGCGGCCCAGAACGCCTGGTACTGCTTCATGGCGCAGGCGCGGAACCACCAATCTTGGCGCGTCGCAATCTGGAACGGCGGGAACCCGGCGAGGAGAATGAAGAGGACAACGCCGGCGCTCCACACGTCCGCGGGCGCGCCTTCGTACGGGTTGCCCGAGAGCACTTCGGGGCTCATGTACGAGCGCGTCCCGCATTGCGTCAGGAGCTCACTGGATTGGTCGCCGAGCGCCGAGAGGCCAAAGTCGGCAATGCGCAACAGATAGCTGTGGTCCATGAGGAGGTTCTCGGGCTTGATGTCGCGATGGAAGACGTTGTTGCTGTGGCACGCGTGCAGACCGGCGACGAGCTGGCGAAAGTACGTGCGTGCAATCTCTTCCGAGAAGCTGCCCGTGTACATCATAAAGTCAAAGAGCTCGCCGCCCGACGCGAGCTCGAGCACGACGAGCACAACCTTCTGGCTGCCGCCCTTCTTCTTCGGGTACTCGACGTCCTTCTTTACGGCGAGGAGGCGCAGCACGTTCGGGTGCTGCACGCGCTTCATGGCCTCGATCTCGCGGAAGAGGTTGTGGCATGCCTTGTTGCTCAGCGACTCGGCCTTGATGAGCTTGAGCGCGACGGCCTCGCCCGTCTTGATGTCGACGCCGAGCTTGACCTTGCCCTGGAGGCCGCTCCCGAGCGTGTGCTTGACTTCGTACTGGTCGAGGAGGACACGCATGTGGGCGAAATCGAATTATGGCGTCTGGAACTGTCGACTTGTCGATATAGAAATTCGGAGGTCAAACATTCACTCTCTCGGAGTGCGGGTCTTTGAAAGTTTTCAAAATAATACATACGGTGACCAACGCATTTTTTACAGAACGCGAGTGATGGTGGCCGGCGTCCCAGACGACGCGCCAAGCGCCAAGCGACAAGGTTAGCCATCAAGGAGGGTCCGCCCACGATGTCGAGAAGGCGTCTCGTGGGATAATGAAGGGCTCGTCAAGGCGTCATCCTCGTAGCGCAAGAAATGGGGCGGCAGTTGAGGTTTCAAAGGCCGACTTTGCTGGAGTCGATCGACGTGCTCTCGTTTTCCAGTGTGTAGAGCAGCTCTACTGCGTACGAGTTCGTGGAGCTCAACTAGAGCTCCTCGAACTCGTACGCGTTGTATCGTAGTAGACAAAGTATTCCCAAGTAGCGTGCTATTGTAGTAAAACATAGAGAGATTGCCTGTGCCACCGGTTCTGCCATGATGAAATAGCTTGCACTGTCGTGCGCTGGCAAATGCAACGATGGAGCATGAGTCAACTAGCGCTCGAGTGCGAGGAATGAAGTAATAGAAACATCTTTCGCGCAACCTTTGCTTTGCGCTCAAACAGACTTGATATTCATTGAGACCACCAGTCGCTTCACGCCCAGAACACAGCCCGCACCGGACTGCAACTGCGCAGGTGGCGGCACGGCGCTCGCCACCCTCTTTTGTTGTTACCTGAAGGAGCTTGCAACTCTGGATGAGGCCAATGACAACACGTTTCGCAAGTTTTGGTTGTGAACATGGGCGAAGCTACACAGCCTCTTGAGGTCCGTAAGGAACGCCAGTGACGAAAGCGGCATCCGCGATGGGAGATTCCGAAACACGTTCGTCTCCAACCTGAGCTTCACACGGCCTCAAACCAGGGCTGCTTTTATGAAATGAGAAATGCTTCCGCGGTGGCGTTGGCAGCGACATCGTCCGCGAGGCGTCCGTGGCGTCGGACGTAAGCCTCGTTACACTGCAGTTCTGGCTGAAATCGGTGCGTGGACGGTGAGTGGTCTACCCATGTGCATAAAGTAGTGCGTAAGCGCGCAAGCACCGATAACTTGCTGGCTAGCACCCGCAAAGGCTCCACGCTCGGCGCGCAGGGCCTTCTCGGTCTCATGGCGAGGTTGGTACGTGCCAACGATGATGGGCGTCGAATCGGCAGAGCTCGCTGGCTTGCTGAGGCTTTTGCACGCGGAGCTACCTCTGGAACGAGGCCATCGTTGTGGTCCTTTGCAACGCTCGAGTTCCAAGGCTCTTTGGCATTTGCTCGCCCCTCTTAGAGCTATATTCGATAGCAGACACACACGCACCACTCGTGCGATCAAACAAATCGTTCGATCGTAGACGTGTCCCCCACCCCAAGGTTTCTCGAAGGATGCCAACGTCTCGTCGTGCGAGGCAGGACACTGCCTGTTGAAGTCTCATCGCCGACGGAACATCAGACTACAGACAACGACGACGTGCAGGAACGTGCATATTGACACGATGAGAGTCGCGAGGCTGGGAGTCTGAATGCAGTGGGCTACGCATTCGATGGAGAAGCGCGTCGCTTGTTGAGTAGTCGGGAATGCGACCAGGCTCGTGTCGGTGGCACCGCTTAGGGTTGAGGGTCCGCCGGCTCGTTGGGCAATGCCATCCAAAACTGGGTGCGCGTTGTCCGCGTCGTGTCGTCGGATGTACTCGCGCACGAGGAAGATGCGGTGGATGAATCTCCGAGGGGCTGAATCCGCCTGTCTACAGTGCCCATCCTAAGCTACTTGGCTCGTCTCGCGGTCACTTGACGCAACGGCAAGCAACACGAGTCGTTCCTCCCACAACCAACAACGCGTGCGGAAGGAGGCAAAGATTCCTGGGTGGCATTGGCTTCAATGCGACGCGGCTGATTGCTTGGTCGCTGGACAAGCGCAGAGCTTAGTGTAGTACGGAAGTCGTGGATTGGGTGGTTTGTTTATAATACTGCAGCCGTCCAGGCTCCCGTCACACTCAAGTATCCGAGACTGTCGTCCGAGACAACCAACTGCAATGTTGCCACCGGTGTCGTCATCGCTCGAGATGTGACGGGACTCGGCCCACATTGCAAACCTATCAACGGGCTTCAATTCTCGAGCCCGTCGTCTTGCAGTCTTGCAGTCTTGTAGTACAAGTGCATGGGCAGTTCCCATCATCGGGGTAACATACATGGGATGCCTCATCCAGCTGACCACTATCTTCCGAGGGCTCGTGATGCATCGCTGGAACGCCGTCAAGCTGCGAACAAAAGTCTTTACGAGTCGGCACTTGAAGTCGTCCGTGGAGCACTCGCATCCACTCGTATGCACGACCGATTCCTCTCGAGGGCTCGAATGACTCATCCATGACACCACGGAGTCACTCCGCACCCGCACACCGATCAAAGCGAGGACTTCCAATGGATTGCTTGCTTGGCGTGAAGCACTGCCTCGATGTTAGGTGGGTTTGTTAGCGACGACGGCGAACGGAAGTGCAGCCCATAACCTAGCTGACGCGGACGATTCGCTGAGTACACCGAATTGCACAATCCACACTTGTTCGGAAGCCTCAAATGGATGCTGGCGACACCGGCCTGCGAGATTCGTTACGTTCCAGGGCTTCCGTCTGCGTCGTCTGCTGACCAGAGACAGATCTTTGGAGACTCGGTGTTGCTTGCAATGGCTTTGCCATATCAAGCTCCTTTCATCCTCCCGTCACATCCCAGCATTGAGGCAGGGGAAGCGATCCTTTACGTAAAGAATCCAAAGATGGGGTGCGGGTCGAATCTGGGCAACTGGACGCGTCGTCTTTTTGTTGCTGTAGGTACGTGAATTACGTCAACGGACCAGATTGGATCTGGGGCTTCGTCCAGAGTGGTTCATCGATGACGTCGATGGAATAAGCTAGTGCGACGATGGCATGCAACACGGCGCAGTCGTCGCCCGTCGTGTCAACGCATGCAGCAACTCAGATCGCTGGAACCAAACCTGCTTCAGATTCACAAGCAAAATAAGGCTCTGTCCAGATATTGAATCTCGAATCCTAGGACGCGTCGTCCTTGTGACCCACTCTGTCCGACGTCAGCGCTTCTTCGCACACAGGCGACCAAGGGTGACCGGATGTGCATCGCCCGCGCAGAAACACGACCAACACTCGTCTGCAGTCCTACTGCTCGGATTCCATTTTGATGGCGTTGCAGCCGCGAGTTACTAACGACACGGGCAACCAGCTCGGTTCGCACGACGGCCTGTGGGCATCGCCATGAAGAGAAGGAAGCAAGGAAGATCGCCTTGTACTATAAATCTTAGATAATAGGAACGCTACAACATAGATAGGTGGGATGGCTCGGCGCGTCTACTATAACTCGCACGCCGCTGCGTTGTGACCGACTGGAAAGTACGAGAGGAAGATGGCCTTGAGGTCCTCGGGCAGCTCTTCGGGCTGGTTGAGCTGTGCGGTATAGTGCTCGTGGCTGTAGTGGCCGTCGGCGCCGGGCGCTTGCATCGGCTGCATCTCCTCGAGCATGCAGCGCAGCTGGTGGTTGCGCTGCTTGATCGCGCGGAGGAGCTCGAGCTGCGACTGCATATCGCTCGGGAGGTACGCGTCGGCCGAGCTGCGCTTGTGATGCAGCGGGCTCTGGTTGCTATCGGTCGAGTACGAGCGCTGGAGCGTCGGCGGGGCGTGGGGCGACTGGACGTAGTACGTCATGTAGAGTTTGCTTGTGGCTTGGCCGGGGATTTCGAAAATGGACACAGGCGGCGTTGGCGCCCGCGCCACTCTCAGCGAGTCATCCCACCTGGTGGCAGTGCACCGTGGGCCTGGGGCTGTGAAATCAACTGGTCACGATAGCCAATCCACGCGCGCCACTTCACAGAACATCTTGTGATTGGTGCATCGATATTTTATCGACCAATCGCATCGCGTGCAGCGCCGATCATTGGGTTCGACGCCGCGTGACCCACCGCGGATCGAGGAAGCGATTCGTCGACAGATTTCGACCCCTGATACAGTGCAATTTGCTAATCAGGCGGTGTACCAGAGCCAGCAGACTGGCGTAGCTCCCTCGCCAGTAGCAGCGTCCTGATCGACTGCGACACGAGACCGAAAGGCGTGGATGGCTGGCTGGGTGACGAGGCCGTTGCAGCTGTCCATCTCGTGCGGCTCTGCGTACCGCGAACGCCAAATGGAGGCGTGCCCCGGGGTATCCCGTCGTCGTTCTGTGTGACGGGGCAATAGAGCCGCGAATGGGTCCAGTGACCGCGGAAGGGCGACCGAGGAATAGGTGGTTTCAGGAAGGGACGTGGACCATGTGGCGCCAGCTGGAAGCGTGTGACGCGCAAGATGCAATCTCAAGCTGCAGTTGACGGACGCAGTCGGATGTCGACGCAGCCTACTAACATTCTGAGTTGATCCAACGCCTCTCTCTAAGAGGACGTTGATAAGACTGAAGGAATAAAACTTATATAAAACCAGAAACGTTCGTCCGTCGTGACATTGTTGACGTGTGTATCTGCGAAGAGCATCACCGCGGCTACTCGTTCTCTCGACCGTGGCAGAGTTGGATTGTTCGCCGTGGACTGTAGTACTTTGTGCAGAATCGACGCCACAAACACAAATTTGGTCGACCGCGTGCTTCCCGATAGAAACGCAGAGTGGCCCGCGATGCGATCTCATCCATCAGCATCGTGGCAAGCGATCGCCCTGGGCCACATCCCACGTGATGACTAGACGCGTTGAATTTTGAGTCTGCCGTTGGTGTCTAGCGAATACACTTGCTACTATTGACTTGCGTGGTAAAGAGGTAGAAGAGCTCAGTTGTTGGCAAATCTTGTAGTGAGTGCCGGAGGCACTCAAGACTTTTCCCTTCGAACAACATCACCGCTCACATGCATTCAATACAGGTCTAGAAACTTCTGGAAGCCGAACACTTCTGAAGCACACGCCCACAGGCAATTGGCCCCTAGCCGTTCCTTCAAATTGGCCAATCGCCTTCACTGGCGCCTTTGTGCTCGAAGTTCGATCTTCGATCATCCGCTTGTACGGTGACATGCATACACTGTATGCATAGCAGCCATACACTGTATTGTGCTTTCCTTTCTGTAGACACCTTGTCGGTTGTCTACTGCCTTATAGATTGTTCCTTCACTGACCAATGCACATACACAGTAGCCAAACTAATGACAATGTGTACAGCCTAGAAAACCCATGTTCAACACTCCCACTCAGTGGTCTGTGAAGAACGCTAGTCCTCTTGGTCTAGATCAAGAACTCCCATCCTTTCCCTTAGTTGTTGGAACTGTCCTGGTGACAGCGCCTTCGTGAGAAGATCCGCAACCATGTCCTTCGTTGGACAGTACTCAACATGGATCCTTTCCTTTTCGACCAAGTCTCGTACAAAGAGATGTCTAGTCTCGATGTGTTTGGTGGACTTGTGGTTCGTAGGGTTGCTGACAACGTCAATGGCAGCCTTGCTGTCGCACCAAAGTTGGATAGGCGCCCCCATGGTGAACCCTAGTTCTGACAGTAGCTGCCAGAACCATTCGCTCTCCTTTACCCCTTCACTCAGTGCCACTAGTTCGGACTCAGTTGTAGACAGCGCCACACAGGCCTGCTTACTACTGCTCCAGGACACGCAAGTGCCAGCGAGCATGGCAACATACCCGCTAACGGATTTACGTTCTTTCTCTCGACACGCGAAAGAGGCGTCCGTGTAGACCTCGTAGACCATAGACCTTTGAGATCCATCTAGTCGCAGTCCATAGTTGGACGTCCCTTTCAAGTACTTGAGTACTCGTAGTGCCGCCTGCCAATGCGTCTTATTGTAGCATGACAGGAAAGTGCTCAATTCCCGAACCGCATTCGCAATGTCGGGCCGCGTACCTCTCACAAGGTATTGCAGTGAGCCCACCAAGCCCCTATAATCAAACGGCTGGGCCGCGATTTGCTGTGGTGTCATATTCCTTTCAGCCTTAAGCTCAACTCCCACTGCTTGGGGAGTCGGAGCGCTAATGCAATCCTGCATTCCGTACTTTTCCAGTAGATCCTGGACGTACTTCCTTTGCGATATGGTCATCGTTTTGTTGTCCATATCCCTTTGAACCTCCATCTTCAGAAGATAGTTGATATCTCCCAAATCCTTCATTTTGAACCGACGATTCAGTTCTTCCTTAATGGCATTCACGACCTCACGTCGCTTGGCCATGATAGTCGAGTCATCGACATAAACGACGATAATGACCATCTCATCTCCCACCCGTCTGACATACAGACAGTACTCTTTATGGCAACGCACGAAACCAAGTTGCGTGAGGAATTCGTGAAGAACCAAATACCAAATCCGAGGCGCCTGCTTGAGACCATAGAGACTCTTTCGCAGTTCACACACCAAGTGCTCGGAGCCCTTCACGACGAAGCCGTGAGGCTGACGCATGTAGATCTTCATTCCCTTCGGTAGCCAGCCGTTGAGAAACGCTGTCGAAACGTCCATCTGGACGACGACGAAGTCGTTAATGACAGCGATAGCCAACACGAGGCGTAGGGATTCAAATCGCGCGACAGGGGCATAGCAGTCGTCACAGTCGACGCCAAACTCCTGGTGGTTGCCTTGGGCTACCAAGCGGGCCTTATACCGCTCGATATTCCCATCAGAGTGGTACTTGATGTTAAATACCCAGTGGCAGGGCAAAGCCTTGCGCCCCTTAGGTAGTTTCACAAGTTTCCATGTGCCATTGTCCATGAGAGAGTCATACTCGCTTTGTAGCGCCTCAACCCATCGCATCTTATCGGGCCTAGATAGTGCCTCGTTGATGCTCCGCGGACTCTTTCCTATCTTACGAGGAGTCGCGGGTTTCCTTTCCTTGCCTTAATACGACTGGGAGGACGTGTAGGTCTGCGTGTAGGGCTTGGAGCCCCAGCATTCGCATGACTACAGCTCTGACCTTCGTCAGCTCCCACCACTTCAGTGGTCCGTCGCGCTTTCTTAGCTCCCACCGCCCCTTGAGACTCGCTCTCAAGTGGTCGCTTGCGGTTGGCATCAGAAAGTAAGTCCTTAATGTCCATCTTTTCCTTCTCGGACAGTTCCTTAACAGCGTGGTCGAACGACCTCGACACGACTTCTTTCGTGAAGGTGCTGTCAAAGACCACATCTCTGGACACAATGACCTTGTCGTTGTAGATGTCCAAGAGACGGTACCCTTTATAATCCTCTGCAATGCCGAGGAGACGACACTTTGTGCCGCGAGCAGATAGCTTCTTATCAGCTCGGACCTCAGTAGGGATGTTAGCGTAGCACACACTTCCCCAAATGTGAACATTGGATAAGTCTGGCTTCTTCCCATACAAAACCTCGAAAGGTGTCTTATTGCCTAAGCGACGCATAGGTGTTCGATTTTGCACATACGTCATGTAGTGGAAGGCCTCAGGCCACCACTTAGCTTTGAGGTTGGCATCCATAAGAGCGCATCGAACCTTTGCAAACTTCGTTTGAAAGTCGCGCTCCGCACTGCCATTCTCTTCCTTGTAGTACGGGTTGGATTTCTCGTACTTGATCCCTTTTCCTTTGTAGAAGGTCTCGAGCTCCTTATTGTCGAACTCGAGTCCACCATCAGAACGAATCTTCTGGATTTTCCTTTAGTCTCGCATTCGATAGAAGCGATCTTGTCCTTGACGACCTTTGGAACATCGCTTTTCTTCCGCAGGATAGAGCTCCATCGATGAGACGAGTGATCGTCTATCATCGTGAGTCCGTACTTCCATTGATGCGAGTTTCCATAACGGCCATCCTGCTTCATGGGACCACACAAATCCATGTGTAGTGTCCCCAGGTTGACCTCAGATCGAGAGCCTTTCAAGTTCCTAAAGCTCATTCTTCTGTGTTTCATGGCAGCGCATGTATGGCAGAAGAAATTAAGCGAGGTCAGCACCTTAGAAGGTAGCTGTGGCATTCCATCCACCTTCCTTTGCTCATCATGTCTATGAGAGACTCTTTGTGGATGTGTCCGAGACGGACATGCCATTCGTAGAACAATGCAGTTGCTTGTGCACGCGTGATCGCCGTAGGTTGCACTGGTGCCAACTTGGCTGCATTGCATGCCTGCTGCCTTTCGCCCATATCGTACCCTTTGATATAGTAGGCTCCCTTAATGCATACTCCAACAAACTGCAAAGTACCATCCCGAAGGACATACTTGTACTTAGCGCAGTTGCTCGTGACGATTTGGTACCCATCATGTTTGAGACCGTTCTCGCTCACGATATTGGACTTTGCGCCTGGCACATAGGCCACGTTGTGGATTCGGAAAGTGCGAATGCCATCAACAGAGTCAAAGCCAACATGGACAGTTCCTATGTGGTTGCTAGACAACTTGGACCCTTGACCGAATGTAAAAACAATTCGTGTTGAGTCCTTAAGTAACGAGAACAAATCCCTTCTTCCCGTTAGATGTTGTCCACATCCGCTGTCTAAAACCCATTCATGGTTAGACATAGTCCTTTCAGATAGAAGCCATGGATAGTGTTGACGTAACGTCGAGTCCATGTCCTCAATGATCTCTTGGAGAGACGAAGAGATCGCCTTAAGATCGGGTTCCCCCGAGTTGGAGACTAGAGCATCGACTTGCATCTCTGCGTTGTCGACGTCCATGTCTTCCAAGTCTTCCATGACCTCGAAGGTCAGTGGAGCTGCGCCGTTGTCCTCAGTCTTAGTCGCATCGACGTTGGACTCAGACCCCTTGCGCACCTTCTTGGACTTGCCACCTTTATTGGTGCCACCCTTACTGGGCTCCTCAATGAAGCGCCCCTTCTGGGTAAAGTCCGATCGGAAAAGCTTCATTTGCTTCCGATCAAAATCCTTCAGAGGACATTCGTCCTTTTTGTGCGGGCCACCCCGGTTGTAGGCACCGCGACAGTAGTGACACTCCTCAGAGTCCGACTCATGGTCAGATTCGTAAGGACGCTTGCGGTTGCCCACGAGGGCTTTCCCCTTTCCCTTTCCCTGGCTCTGACCCTGACCAGAGTTCTTGTTGACCGTGCCCCTTTTAGACTTAGCCGACTGGACAGAGTCCACGTGACGTTCGTCATTGGCGTTGGTCGAACTCATGGCAGTGATCTCCTTCTTCGAGCGGTCGCCGAATATGGAGATGAGCCGAGGTTCAAGACGATCGAGCGTGAACTTTGATTTCTCGAAAGCCACTTGTGCGCCGTAGTACTCAGCCGGAAGTTCCGCGAGCAACAAGCACAACATGAGGTTTTCCGAGATCAAGTCACACCCGAGGCCTTTCTGCGCGAGGCTGTTAACCTCATTGCGCTGGACCTTCATCGTCGAGATTGCAGTCTCGAGATTCTTGAAGTTCTCCCGCGGAGTGCGGAAAAGCTTCCGGAGCCGATCAAGCAAGGTTGCCACGGTGGACATACCATACTTGCGTTCGAGCTTGGACCAGATTTCGTGCACGGGCATCGTCGCAAAGTCGTCGCCGTACTGCTGGACGAACTGCTCGGGCAAGATGTTGGCCAGCATCGAGCGGATCTCGGCAGGCTTGCGCTTGAACTCGAAAGTCTGGTAGGCCTTCTCATCCTTCTGCTCGTCCGTCAACGGCGTCTCGTCCGGGACTTGCTTCAGCCACGCCGAGTACTTCGTGAAAGGCTTGCACTTGCGGCGACCTTCGAGATGATCTTCTTCTTCCTTGTACGACCGGACCTCGAGGTGCTGCGTGACGCGCTGCTTCCAACCGGTGAAGCTGGAGGGCTTGCCGTTGAACACGAGTAGCTGCTCGTCCGACTTCAGCTTCTTGGCAGGGCTCATACGAGTACTTGAAACTTGAAATATTGACTTGCGTGGTAAAGAGGTAGAAGAGCTCAGTTGTTGGCAAATCTTGTAGTGAGTGCCGGAGGCACTCAAGACTTTTCCCTTCGAACAACATCACCGCTCACATGCATTCAATACAGGTCTAGAAACTTCTGGAAGCCGAACACTTCTGAAGCACACGCCCACAGGCAATTGGCCCCTAGCCGTTCCTTCAAATTGGCCAATCGCCTTCACTGGCGCCTTTGTGCTCGAAGTTCGATCTTCGATCATCCGCTTGTACGGTGACATGCATACACTGTATGCATAGCAGCCATACACTGTATTGTGCTTTCCTTTCTGTAGACACCTTGTCGGTTGTCTACTGCCTTATAGATTGTTCCTTCACTGACCAATGCACATACACAGTAGCCAAACTAATGACAATGTGTACAGCCTAGAAAACCCATGTTCAACAGCTACAAATCGCTGCATTGACGACGGCAGACAGACAGGCCAAGGTCCGTAAACGGACGCTTCTACTGCGTGGCAAAGAAACAGAAACGAGCGTGTCGAGGCAACGGCCGCAGCTGTCGCGTCATGCCTCCAGGTGATCGGGTGATCCGGTTTTGTTGGGCATGGTGCCGAAAATAAGCGCAAGATCTATGTGGTGCGAACCCCGTCTACTACACCCGTTGCTTCCATTGTAAACATGTATTCCAAGTAGCAGAATGCACTACATGTATAAGCACCTTGGATGATCATGCATCAAGCAGCGTTGGCGCATGCGAGTCTGGCTGGTCTCGAGAGGTCGTCCTCATACAGGTCCAGTGTGCCACCGATTCTTCCGTGGCTGGAGCTGTCGTGTACTGTCTACTACGTCGAAGCATGTAAGCGGACACCTACACATCGCCAACTGCATCTGCGTCATCTTGAGGTTGGATACATTTGTACCAAAATCGACACGGAGCTCGGCAAACCAAGATGATTGGTGGCGCCAGCCTCCAGGACGGTGTCGTCGCTGGTCTTCAAGATCTCGCGCAAGTGAGAAACAGTCCACGGATAGAAAGGGACGCACGTTGAAATGGCCAGCGGTAATCCCTGCGCTTACGGCGGCTCGGCACAGATGCTTACTAGCAGATGTGCTTGCACCGGATCAACCTTCCGAAACGATGCCAGTGCTTGTCCTTGGGCTTCTTGATGACGTGGGGTGCACGCTGTTAGGATGCCACATTTAGAAATTAAATTCGGCATCCATACCTGTGAAAAATGATTGAGCTTGCCGTATGTATTGCTAGAGGTTTCCAGAAAATGCCGGAGTTTTCCCGGAGCCGACGGCAGATCTCGAAAAGTTAGCCCACGGACTCCACGATGGACACGGAGGCCCTGAAGCAGCAGTTCCAGGAGCTCTACGCTGAAGCCGTAGCCCATGGCCTTGACCCGAACGACGCTGTAGCCCAAGCCCTCACGCGCATGCATGAGAAATCGTCGGTGCAGGAGCCCGCGACGGTGCACGACCACGACATGACGGACAGCGGGAACCAAGTGCAGCCGCCGCCCGCGCCAATGGCACCCGCGCCAGCTTCAGTGCTAACACTCGAGATGCTCCAGAGTGGGTCGCTCTCCATGTCGGCGCTGCAAAAGGTCGTGTACGAAGTCTTCTCGCAGTCCGAGACGCTCAACACCGCCTGCTTCCCACACCACTCGCGGGCCGAGATCCAGGAAGGTCTTGCCTGGCTCGTCGGGCAGCCGTCGCTCGCCAACACGCTGGGCAACGCGCTGAACGCCTGGGTGACGCAGCCCTGGACCAACAGCAAAAAATGGACGTCCGTCGAGAGCTTGCACCAGTTCTTCGTCATGCTCGAGCACCCGCTGCTCTTCGACCCGGACTACCGGTCGATCGTAGGCGGCATGGTCAAGCTCATGTACTACTTGAATGACGATATGAAGGCCGCGATGGCGGCGCACTGGCGCAGCCTCGGCGCGGACGACCTGCACCGGCTCCTCGACGTCTTCCAGCAGTACATCACGCTCTCGCTGGTCGGCGCCGAGCTCAAGATGGACACGATCTTTGCGGCTTGCGACATGATCCGGCTCCTCGTCGAGATCAACGCTGCGTCGCCTTTTGCAAGCTACGATGCCTTTTACAACGACGCCGCCAACACGGAGCTCAACTTGCTCCAGGACTATGTCAAGTCGGCCATCTACCTCACGCACAAGCACGGACGCATCTCGAGCCGCGAGCTGAGCGACTTGAGTTTCTGCGACTTTGCCTTCATTCTGGACGCTGCGTCCAAGAGCAAGATCCTGCAGTTTGACGCCGAGTACCAGCAGAACGTCCGCGTCCACGACAGCATTCGGTCGTCGCTGGCCGAGGCCGACCAGCACGTGCACCCGTACCTTGTGCTCCGTGTGCGCCGCGAGCGCGTGATCGAAGACGCGCTGCAGCAGCTCGTCCAAGTCGCGACCTCGGAGCAGCTCAAGAAGCCCCTCAAAGTCAAGTTTATCGGTGCGACGTTCCTTATCTTTACAAGTGTACCCACTTCGTTTGCTACTAGGCGAAGAAGGCGTCGACGAAGGCGGCGTCCAGAAAGAGTTCTTTCAGGCATACAAACACAAGGATACGACGATATTGACCATCGATTGTAGATTATCACACGGCAGCTCTTGGACCCGAACTTTGGCATGTTCACCGCCGACGACGAGACGCGGACGCTCTGGTTCAACTGCGACTCGTACGAGAGCACGACCGAGTTCGAGCTCATTGGTGTGCTTCTCGGTCTCGCCATCTATAACGGCGTCATCCTCGAGCTCCACTTTCCATCGCTTGTCTACAAGAAGCTCATGGGGCTTCCCGTGACGCTGGCCGACCTCGAAGCGTCGCAGCCGGCGCTCGGCAAGGGCTTGCGACAGCTCCTCGCATTTGAGGGTGATGTCGAGAGTGTCTTCCAGCGGTCGTTTGAGCTTTCGTACGAAGTGTTTGGCCAAGTCAAGACGATCGAGCTCGTTCCTGGCGGTCGCCTTCCGTCCTCCAAAAGTCGTATCTCAAACTCAGAATTAGGCAAAGACATGGCCGTGACCACCGCCAACCGCCACGAGTACGTCGCCAAGTACGTCGAGTACGTGACGACGACCTCGGTCGCGCAGCAGTACGGGGCGTTCCATCGCGGCTTCCACTTTGTCTGCGGCGGCCATGCGCTCGAGCTTTTTCGACCGGAGGAGCTCGAGCTCCTCATTTGCGGCAGCCCGGAATTGGACTTTGAAGCGCTCGAGGAAGTCGCCCACTACGACGATGGCTTCTCGGCCGAGAGTCAATGCATTCAGTACGCATGCGTTGTCACGGTGTTGGATGCCACCCTGCGACTAGGTACTTTTGGAGCGTCGTGCACGCGTTCAGCCTCGACGAGAAGAAGGCGCTGCTTAAATTTTGCACCGGCAGTGACCGCGCGCCGATCCGCGGCCTCTCCAACATGGTGTTTGTCATCTCGCGGAATGGCCCCGACTCGGACAGGTAGCCTCCGCTCCAATACCCGAGTTCTTATTGTTGTGTGTTTCTAGACTGCCCACCGCGCACACTTGGTACGATTGATCGCAGACAAGTTGTCTCATTTGTGTGTAGCTTCAACCACCTCTTGCTGCCCGAGTACGCGACGCGCGAGAAAATGAAGGACCGCTTGGAGCTTGCGATCACGCAATCCGAAGGCTTTGGGCTGCTTTAATGAAAAAAGTAGATGATTGTACACGAGTGTTTGTATCGAGTGAAGTATCAAGTTGATAGTCGATCGAGTGCAGATCACGACTGCAACAATTAGATGGCCTTGGTCTTGTCGGGCAGCGCGTCGTCGGTCGCGTGTACGTCCGCCTCACTGAGCATCGGTGGCATCTCGGCCACGGGTTTGATCAGAAGCGTGTCCTTGTACCTTGCGCGCGAGAGGAGCCGCAGCGCGTAGATACCGAGCCCGACGAACGCCAAGCCCAGCACGAGTTCCCAGATGGCCACCTTCTCCGGGGCCATGGGTCCTGGCGCCGTGAGATCCCGGTACAGGCTCGCGGACGCCGATGGGATCGCTTGCTCCTGGAGGACCCACGTCAGTGGCACGTACGCTGGCTGCACGCCTTGGTGCCACAGCCACGTTGGGCCTGTCGCGATGCTGAGCATCCACGCGTCGCGTCGGTGCAGCGTCGTGCCGGAGATTGGCTCGATGTCCAGTAGCATCGTGTGCATCTTGGCGTTTGGCGCCAACCCCGTCGCAAAGGGAACGGTTGGAGTCACGTTGTGGAGGTGGGGAGATGAGCTCAGCAATGGCAGGTCGTCGTAGAGGTGCGAGACGTTGGTGAGCGCCGGAGTGGCCTCCACGTACCGCCGCGTGGGTACGCCGATCCACGGGATCTGTGCGGTATACTTGAAATCGACGTCCCGGGCTTGCGACTGCGATCGCAACGTCAGCGTCGACGGCGTCGCCCCTCGCGCAAAGACCGAGCCGTCCGATGTTGTGCAGTTGTTGGCGTCAAGCTCGCCGTTGGTTGCGACGAGGCAGCCGTAGAACCCGGCGCGAGTGTCCGTGTTGAAGGTGTACGTCTGCACCGCCTTGCTCGTCGGTGCGTCCGAGACGTTGGCTGTGATGGCCGTCGTGAGCACATCGCCGGTGCCGAAACCAAGGTTGGCGAGCGTGATCGTCGCTGTCGGGCGGAGGCGTCGGGCGGCCGAGTTCTGCCACAGGAGTGAATCCACCGACGTCTGCACATAGAGTCCCCCACTCGCCGCGTAGCCAAACGTCGTGGCCGTGTATTTGAGGTACGCCTGCAAATCGAGGATCGGCGCCACCGCCGTCAGCTCGAGCGGCGCGACGCCGGGCAGGATCAAGAGGTAGCTTGGACCGACGCTACTGCAGCGAGCAGCCGTCGAAGCGACAAGCGTCGGGAAGATGGAGGTGATGCGGGATGCCGCCGCCGCGCACGCGTCCGGCGACTCGAATGGCTGCGCCAAGAACGCGTCGAGGACGACGACGCCGCGAGCGACCGAGACTCCGTTGATACGAACGATGGTCATGTCGTTGAAGGCATGCAGGAGACCATGGGCGGTTAGGTGGTCGAGTGTGTAGCTTTGGTGGAGTGCGCAGCTGGGTGCGACGCCAAAGACGCTTGGCGCGCGGGCGCAGTAGACGCTCAGCTCGGGAATGCCGGCCAGCGCGGGCTGCGTCGCGTTGAAAAACTCATGGCTCGTCGCGTTCCACTGAACGTACGTGGAGGCATCGAACTGGCTGACGACGCCCACGTCGGTTGCACTCGCGTTGATCGACAGAACCGACGCGTTCACGAACTGCTGCATGGGCAGCGCCAGCAGACTCGGTGCGCCGCCCGTCGCCGCCAAGGCGTAGCTCACGAACCCGGGATTGTCGAGCAACTGAAGCAGCCATACCTACGCAAGAGGTTCGAGCCGTGTACAGTGGCAAGTCGCTGTACTTGGCCAATGAGGTAGACGCAAGTGCGAACGTCGCTGACGGACACGCCGAGCGCCGAGGCAAGCTGGCCCACGAGGTACGAGCTCGCTGACGCCGGCGCCAACTAGAAAGTACATCGTCACAAGGGAGATGCCGTGCAGGTAACCTACGGTCGCGGGTGCACACGTGCCGTTGGCAAAGGTCGACCCGCAAGGACCGAGGAGGAGCGTCTTCCAGAGAAGACCGCCAGTAGGGTGCAAGAACGAAAGCGGCGACTGCGCGTCCCAGACCACGGCGGCGATGCTACCGAGCGTCGGGAGCGTCGTCGGCGACGGAAGACTGGTTGGCAGCGCCAGTTCAAACCCGCGCTCGCATCCAAAAAGCGACTGCGTACAGGGCAGCGGCGTGCTGTACCTAGAACAACAGCGCGCAGGCATCAATCGACGAGCTAACGTCGCCGACGCACCACGAATACTCGGTCAACTGCCGCAGGAACGGGTGGCCCTGCCACGAGAGCAGCCAGTTGGTCACCTGGGTCTTCTGGCACGCAGCGAGACCTGGCACGACGATGGTACCGCTCAGCCACGCAGAGAGACCGGCGCTGTGAAGAAACGACGTGGTTGACGCCGGCTGCCACAGTTGCGCGGCGACGACGGCGTCAATTGGGGCGCATGGCGTTGGAGTGTTGGGCACAAGGAGCGCCGACGTTGCGTTGCGGGGTGTTGTGGCCGTGAGGTTGAAGATGAACGCGAGCTCGTACCCTGCATTCCTACATGATCCCATTTCGCAAGTGTCGCAAGCACGACGAGCCTACTTTGGATAGAGTGGCAGCCCTGCGGTCGCCCACTGCGACTGGAGTAAGAACTGATAAAACGACGATTGGGGGGTCTGGAACAGCCAGAGCGATACGGTCGTGACATCGGCGGGCGTGAGACCCGTCGCGAGTGAGACAAACGTCTGGGCGAGCGCAGCGGTGGGCGCACTGCTCATTTGGAACCCCGGCGCGAGACTCGCGAATCGAGTGAGAGCCGACGCCGCCGACGCATTTGCCGTCGCTGGGAGCTGCCCCGTGGCATCCGAGAGGTGCGGGCACGCTGCCGTGATCTGCGGGTGGCAAAAGCACCACAGAACCAGCACATTGGGGTTGAGAAAGGACGTTGCGTTGGCAACATTCCAGAGCTGCCGCGCTTGCGCGAACGTCACGCTTGTTGGCGTCGCGAGTTCAAACCCTGTCAGGGACGTCATCGCGCCCGAGGCATCGAGTGCCGCAAGGTTGAGCGTCGACGGCGTCGATGCAAACACGGTTGTCTTCGACACCCACTGGCTTAAAAGGACACCCCAGAGAAACGGGTGGTTGGCCCAATTGACGAGCCTACTGGGTTGTCAGAAGGCGACTGCAGATTTGCAGTCGCACTTACCATTTCGAGATTGTTTGTATCTGGGCCGCCGAGAGCCCAGTGGCACTCTGGAGCGTTGCTATCGCCGATGCACTGGCCGTTTGTGTCGTTCTCGTCGTCGTTGGCGCCCGTGCGAGCGGATCGACAAGGGCTTCCGACGCCGGAAGCGGCCCAGCGTACGCCTGGACCCACGTTGGAAACCCCGTCGCGGTGTTCAAGAACGAGTAGGCGCTCGCTGAGGACCAGAGGTACTGCGCCTGCACCAGTGACGGGTACGTACTCGCCTCTGTGGACGTGAACCGCAGCTCGAAACCGGTTTGGATCGTCGCACCGCTCGGATCGAGGTTGAAGGGCGGCAGAGACGTCGACGGGTTGATCCACTGCGTCTGGGCAAAGAGCGACATGAGCTGGTTGGTGCGCCACGCGCGCAGCCATTGGACAATCGTAGTGACGTCGGCCAGTGACGCGCCGGGAAGGAGCGCGGCGAGAGCGGCCACCTTGGTCGCGTTGGTGGCCGCCGGCACCCAGAGCGTGTTGAGCGCCGTCATGTTGAGAAAGCTCGCCGGGTTCGCCGGGTTCCAGAGGAATTGCTGCACCAAAGTCATCGTGATCGTCGACGTTACCGCGCCGAGTTCAAAGCCATGCTGAAGCAAAGGGAGGCCGGGCGTGACGTCCGAATGGAGGCAAATCGGCCCATTCGTCACCGTCGTCGTCGTTGCTGTGGTCGTCGTCGTCGTCGACGTGCACGTGACGACGGTCGTTGCTGTCGAGATCGCAACGGTGGGCGTATCGGTGTAGCTCGTTTCGGCAAAGTTGGAGACGAAGTACGTCGTGGGCCGCCCACCGACAACCAAGTTGGTGTACTGCACCGCATCGGACGTGGTCGTTGTCGACGGAACGCAGGACGCTGTCGCCGTCGTCGTCGTCACCGGCGTCTGCGAAACCTGTGTCGGAGCCGTGCACGCTGCCTTCAACCAGAGACCGAGAACATCCCGGTTCGTGTAGTCGAGTGTCGCCCACGACGCCAGCCACTGCGAGATGACCTAAACACAGCAGACAAGTTGTCCATCATGTGACATGTTGTAAACAAAGCGTACATCCATCCACGGTAGCCACGACGCCTGCCCAAGCCCCGCCACGATCGTTGCCTTGGCGGGCGCTGCAATTGCGGCGTCCGACGACTGTGCGGCCAGCCACGTCGTCTGGTACCTACACCATAAAAATCTCATCCCAGATCTGGTAATGCCAGCATCACAGTACACGGCGGGATTGAGGAACGAGAGGGCGTTGGCGGCGTCCCACAAGCTCGCGGCGGCGGATGGTACGGCGCAGGTCGTGCCGTTGACCAGCGACAGGTTGCACGAGCTATTGCGGCAGAGCTCCCACCCGATTTGGAGCCCCGACCGGTACGGCTCGAGGTTCCAATGGGCGATACCACAGCGCCATTGATCGCGCAGCGCCTGCAGCATATACGCGTCGGTTCGCTGACTCTGGACGTAGGTTTGGAGTGCGGTCATGTCGGCGGTGGTCAGATCGCTACACGAGGTGAGAAGCGGCGTCGCAAACAAGGCCGAATTGGCGCCACCGAGCAGCTGCGCGCAAAACACGGGCAGCTGCGCGTTGATGGACGCGAGCATCGCGCTGACTTGAGCACTTGACGGCGAGCGCATCCACGCGGCGTACCCCGCACTGTTGATGGCCGCGTAGGCGCTGCTCGGGCTGTTCAAGTACGCGGCAGCGGCGGCCGACAGCGCCGGACGGTTGACATGATACGTCGTGAGCGAGGCAAGCGTCGTCGACGGCAAGAACGGGTACGTTGCTGGGTCACGCCACGTCTGGTCCATGGCTTGTGCAAGCAGCGGGTGGTGCGACCAGCTCTGGAGCCATATCGCCACCTACAGAGCCCTCTAAACGGTCTGGAAAAGCAGCAAATCGTAAATCGTGGAGGGGTACCAGGCGCACGTGGTCTTCCGAGACCGTGCCGAGGTTGAGAGCCGTGAGCGACGCTGTGAGACTACTCAGGCCCGTCGGCAAGAGGAGGACGTTGACCCAGCTATTGTAGCCCGACGCAAGGTGAAGAAACGAGAATAGCTGCGTCGCATCCCAGAGGTACGCGGCGAGGGCCTCTGAAAACACCAGATTGGCCGTGTTGGGGAGCTCCCAGCCAGATACGGATGTCACCAGAGTTGGCTCGAGCTGGTACGTCGCGCAGCTCGAGACGTTGTTGAACGGCGTTGGGCACGTGCCACCGAGGCCCCAGTGGCGAATCGCTTTCGTCTTCACACTGGCGTTGGACGTGAGGGCTTGGATCCACGCGAGCACGCCGTCGAGCTACCATATACAAGAGCTGATGGTCGACATGTATGCCAAGCAAATCAAGGCACCTGTGATGACGAGAGGCCAAACGTGGATCGAAGCGTGGTCGCAGCGGCGCTGTCGGACGCTGCGGCGGATGTCCACGTCACATACCCCGTCGGCGTCAAGAACGAGGGCGCCAACGTCGCGTCCCACAGCTTGGCGCACTGAGCGTCCGAGAGACCGAGATTGGTCGATGGCAGCGTAAAGCCGGGTTGGACGCCGGGCGTGACCCAATCGACATCGACGCTCGGCTCGTTGGCGCTGCCCGCTGTGCGCTGCGCGTACGTCGTCGCCCAGTACCTAGCCCATCGCTTCTTAGAGAAAGCGCGGAACAGAGAAATTATGCACCGCTGACGGTCGCGGTGCAGCATCGCGCCTTTGCTCCACGACAGAATGTAGGCGCGGACGCCAAGCACTTGCGACCGTGTGATATAGTTGGCCGGGAGCGCGACCTCGTTGTTGACGCCGGCGATGAGCGCGGTGATGGCCGCTTCGTCCATCGCGACGACCTGTTTCCATAGCCCGAACCCATGGGTGGGGTCCGTGGCTGAATACTCCAAGAGCGAAAAGTCGAGGTTGGTCGTCGCTCCCAAGAGCAAGTTACCGACGTCGGTGCTCAGCGCCATGTTACCGAGCGACGGACTAGATCATAATGAAAGTCGTCCAACCAACAACTTGGGATTCTCGTACTCGGTCGTCGACCGAAGCTCAAAGCCGTAGCGGGGCTGCCCCGTCGGGTTGCCGCCGACCATCGCATCGAGATTCGTCCACGGACCGGCCGCCGAGAGCCACTGCAGCACGGTGTTTTGCTGCGCGGTGGCCGAGGACGCGCCTTGGTCGATGTACGCTTGCACCACGCCGGCCTTGAGGGTGCTCAGCATCGACGGCACGGCTTCCAAGCACGCTATTCCGCAAGCATAAGTCGCCCATGATTACAGTCAAAAGTGAACCTTCTTCCATCATGTCCCGGGCAAAGTACGGGAACGCAATGTACGTCGGCAGGCGGTCGAGGATTCTCGAGAGCACGACCGGCACCGCGGTCGACCGCAGCTGCGCTTGACGGTGGGCCAATATCGTCGGCACCGCCTCGACCGCGAGGCGCGCCTGGACGTTGGAGAGAACGCGCGGCACCGACTGCACTTGGAGCGTCGCGACGTGGCTCGACAGCGTCGTCGGCACATAGTTGACGAGGAAGGCCTCGTACATGGGTCGAAGGAGCGTCGGGATGTACGCCTGCCGCGTCGTTGCAATCAGCCGCAACAGATTCTGCGGCAGTGTCTGCGACGCCACTTGGGCCTGGAACTTTGTCAGCGCAGAGGGCAGAGCGTTGGTGCGAACGGTCTGCGCCATGGTTGCGAGGTACGGCAGCGCGAGCCGCTGCTTGGTGAACGCGAGCATCGGGCCTTCGAGGTAGGCGACGTACGCCGACAGCTGCGTCTGCGCATGCGCCGCGACGAGGAGACGCTCCGAGAAGCCTGCGTTTTCGAGCTTGGCGAGCGTTCGCGCATACGACGTGTTGACCTATAGCATGGATCACTCCTCGAGCTTGGACTCGTCGCGCACCGTGTACACAAAGTCGCTGGACGAGCCGTTGGACCGCGATGGAACCTCGACAAAGGTCGTCCCAACGCTGTACGAGACAGTTGAACCGTTGAAGCGCACGCTGTTTTTGGTAGAGGTCTGGTTGTAGACGTACGGACCGACTTGCTGAACGTGTGGCACTGCGGTTCCCGCCACGACGGCGTCGATGTTGGTGATGTTGAAGACATAATAGCTGCGCGTCTGCGGCTCGAGGCCTTGGACACCCAGCGTCGGCGACTACGGTTCGGTTAGACATCCAGATGGTGGTGGCCACTTCTCGGTGGTTACAGCGAGAAAGGCCGCGTAGCCGGCCGGGTTGGCGGCGGCGTTGGGTACGAAGCGCAAGCCCGCGACGTTCTCCATCCGCTGCGCATGGTACGAGACGTAGATGGCGCCGTAGGCGACGAGCACGACGCCCGAGATGAGCAACGCCGCGCTGGCCAGGAGGCACATGCTGCAAGTGACCGCCTGTCCCGTGTGAAACCGGCAAAGCCGTTTCAGGATCGGCCTTGCTCGGTACTAATTAGGACATCCGAGTGAGATTCGGACAATGCCGAAAGGAGCAGGCTGTGCATTGCGCAACCATGGCGGAGACGACCAAGGTCCTTGCGCTCGGCCAGCAAAGCATCGCCGAGGTGCTCGCCAAGGACGCGAACGAAGACCCACGCACGACGTGGGGCGAGGCTAAGCTGTCGCATGGCGTCCTAGTCTCGCGGGGCGTCGTCGCGGGCAATGCGTGGAACTGCATCAAGGCGACGGCGACGATCGGCTGCGCGGCCGAGGTCTTGGCCGCCAAGCTCGCCGACGCCGACGAGATGAGCACGTTTGACGAGATGACTGACAACTGCCGCGTGCTCAGAGACCTCGGTGCAACGTCGGTCCGGTACGTGCAGGCCAAGCCCGTATTCCCAACCACCGCGCGCGACTTCCTCGTCGTGACCTGCAAGCAGGTCGTCGGCGACGCGATCGTCATTGGCACCAAGTCGATCGAGCTCCCAAGCATGCCCGAGAACCCGTCGTTCGTTCGCGCCCACACGCACATCTCGGGCTACATCCTCCGACCCATCACTGCGCACTCGTGCCAGGTGACACTCATCGTGCACATGGACCTCGGCGGTCACATGCCACCCGCGGTCATCAACCTTCTCTCCTCGACGTCGCCCGTGAAGCTACTCAACCACCTTCAGCACCTCTACGGCCAAGCAGTGTAGGCGTTGATGCGCTTTCAACCAGACGGTGGTGTGTCGACGGTTCTTCAATCTCAGCGAAGCAGAGAGTATCAATGCGAGGCTGGGAGGACCTGGAAGGGCTTGGTCTGTCGTCAATTGTTTCCTTCTCTTGAGGGGCTATCTGCATAGACGCCATGAGGTCATCTTCTTGTTGACGCAGGTGTCCATATTGTTGGATGCGAATCAACATAAGAACTTATATACGAGGTAATAGCTAGTTATACAAGAGTTAAAGTTGTCTCCTCATCGTCTACTCAAAGGCGACGCCGTTCTCCGTGAGCTTCTGGAACGCCTTGGCAAAGTCGGCAAAGAAGACGTCTTCGTCCTTGGCGTAGAGCTCGACGTACTTCTTGAACTCGGGGTCCCAGAGGAACGCCATGTCGGACGGCAGCATCATGAGGTCGCCCGTCGGGTCCTCGTACTGCTCGGGGCCCTTCCACTTCTTGATCGTCCACTTGTTCTCGATGAGCTCGCGAAAGTACTCGTTCGAGAACGTCGTCTCTGCGCGGGTCCACGGGCCCGTGTAGCCGCTGCGGCTGGGGTAGCAGCGGCCGACCGCGTGGGCGCCGACGAGCGCAACGATCTCGCGGTCGTTGAAGCCCATGCGGTAAAAGACGTCGCGGATGTGGCTGATCGTCGACGGCTTGGAGCCCTTGTCGGCGTTCGGAAGACGATCATCGGGCGTCACGAGCTCGCCGGCCTGGACGTCTTTGCGGCCGATGCGGAACCCAACGTCCGGACCACCCATCTCAGCAATCGCGGCAATACCAGAAAAGATGATGAGGTCCGCGAAGGTTATCTCGGGGTGGCGGGCCTTGATGGCTTCGAGCCGCGCCACGGCAATGTCGAGGCCGGCGTTGCCGCCATGGGCACTCTCGGGCTTGTGGCGGATGGTGCCGCCCTTGGAGCCGCCCGAGTGGTCGTGCTTGCTGTAGCTGCCCGACGAGTGCCACGCGAGCCGCACAAAGGTCGGGCCAATCAACGCGTCGTCGTCCATGAGGTCGACAATCTCCTTGCGGATCTGGTCGAGGTCGGGCTTCTTGGCCTCCTTGGCATGCAAGAGCGAGATGGACGCGGCGGTCGTCACGAAGAAGGCGCCGACGAGCGCCGTGCTCGGCGACGCGAACGCTGGCCGCCGGGCCGACGACACGCTGAGCGACCGGGCAAAGGCACGCGGCGCAGCGCGGGTGGCGCGGGCAAAAGCAGTGCGGAACATGATGCTACTGGTTGTTGGCGAAATGCAGAATGGACCAAGTGCTCGGCGGCGCACGATCAAGATCGCGAGCGATCCGACGGCCCTCGGAACAACCCTGGATTTGGAGGCGCTTGTCCACCGATGGATCGAATGATGGTCGTGCGCTCTATGCGCGCGCACTGGTGCCTCGTGCTACATACAAATAGCATGATTTTCTTTGAAGCGAATTGGAGGTGCGCGAACCGTGCGACATGTACGACTTTGCCCCAGACGGCAAGCTCATCCATGGCTGACACGGCGAACCATCGCGACGTTGCCCCGGAAGGTTCGCGATGCGGCTCTGACGTGATAGCGATGCATGACGTCAAGCAAGCTCGCCATCTGTGCACCGGTGCTACGATCGTTGCATCTTGCGCACATCGTCTGGCGATGCGATAACCACATGGGCACCAAGACGAGCGAGGTCTTGATGCATGCCATGCATCAAGAAGAAGAGCTTGGTACGTTGATAAGCGAGGTAGGTAGACATACCTTTATGCGCATGAAGCGTAGTATGCAGGTAGACGCCATGAGGTGCCGGAGCCGTTGCCTTCAACGTCCCGATCCTTCGCTCGGGCAGAAAGCCTGACCAGGTTGCACTTGGGTGCGAGGTGCTCTTTCATAAAAAGAGCACCTGATTCAACAATGGGAACCAAATCTAGAGTATGTGGAAAGGGTGCACGAACGCACGGCGGCGCGATCTAGGTGCGCCTTGCAATAAGATCGTACTGACGCCACATTTGCCAATTCGCCTTCGCCTGCACCATGTTCCGCACCGCCGCGTCCCGCGCCACCCGCGTCGCCGCCCGCGCCGGCGCGCCCCGGCTCCTCGCCCGCTCGATGAGCGTTGCCGCCCGCCAGAGCTCGACCTCCAAGGCCACGGCCATGGCCGGCGCCTTCCTCGTCACGACCGGCGTCACGGCCTCGCTCCTCCAGGCGCAAGAAGCCAAGGTCAACCTCGAGAAGATCCGCAAGGAGATTGTCGACCTCATTGACGACGAGCCGGCCATGGGCCCGACTTTTGTGCGGCTCGCGTGGCACTCGTCGGGCAGCTACAGCAAGCACGACCACTCGGGCGGCTCCAAGGGCGGCACCATCCGCAACGAGCCCGAGATCAGCCATGGTGGCAACGCCGGCCTCAACCTCGCGATCGCCCGCCTCGAGTCGGTCAAGGCCCGCCACCCCGAGATCTCGTACGCCGATCTCTTTATCTACTCGGGTGTCGTTGCGATCGCCGAGATGGGCGGCCCTGAGGTGCCGTTTCACCTTGGCCGCAAGGATGCCAAGGTCGGCGAGCAGGTCACGCCCGATGATCGTCTCCCGAACGCCGACATGGGCTCCAAGCCGTCGACGATCAGCCACATCCGCGACGTCTTTACCGCATGGGCTTCAACGACCGCGAGATCGTTGCGCTCGTCGGCGCCCACGCGGTCGGCCGCTGCTACCCCAGCCGCAGCGGCTACTCGGGCCCGTGGACCCGCGCAGAGACGACGTTCTCGAACGAGTACTTTCGCGAGCTCATCGAGAACAAGTGGACGATCAAGAAGTGGAAGGGCCCCGAGCAGTACGAGGACCCGACGGGTGACCTCATGATGCTGCCGGCCGACATGGCGTTCCTCTGGGACCCCGAGTTCAAGAAGTACGTCGAGCTCTACGCCAAGGACGAGGACCTCTGGCACAAGGACTTTGCCAAGGCCTTCCAGAAGCTCACGGAGAACGGCTGCGACTTTGCCAAGTCGGGCTGGCGCCGCTACATCTTCTTCGGCCCGCGCAGCGACTAGAGTATCCATCGTCCCAGCAGCAGCTGCATGTCATCCCGACGACACTAATACCATTCGTGTGTCCTTGCGATTCCACACTATAATAGAGCGTCTTTGTGCTTATATGCACGCCGATGGAGACCCCAGTCGCTGTCTCTCGACCCGATATTGTCTGTTTCATGCAATATTTTCCGCAAAAATAGGACTGTTGTCATGCGACTTCTATACAATATTGTAGATTTTACTAGAGCCAATAGCCTTTGATTCCAACTGCTATCTGGTCATTCTGCTGTGCCAATGGTATGACCTTCCATGCATGCGACGCGTGGAGGAACAAGGTATCGCATTGCATTCTCATCGCTGCTGCTGCTTGTCGCGGAACCCGTTGCGGACGACAACGTACTCGGAGAAGGCCTGTGTCGAGATGAACGACGTCCGGAACGGCCGCATGGAGAGCGGCGAGAGCGCAAGGTAGCCGGCTTCGTCAAAGAAGACGACTTTCTCCTGGTACTGGTCGTCCCAGAGATAGCGGAACCGACCAAAGTGTACGTCAGCGCCCTCGTCGTTGTCGCCTGTGCCAATGAGCATCTCGACGGCCTCTTTGAACGCCAGCCGGATGCGCACGTCGGGGAACGGCGCCACTTGGCGCGGAAACGAGCTCCCAAACACATGATCGCTCTGCGTCACGTGGGCCTTGAGGCAGCTCCGCAGCGTCCTACTCAGCATCATTTGCATCGGCTTTTTTTCATTTCCTCTGCACGAGGGCGTACGAGTGGAGTCGTTTCCAGACGGGCGTCGGGAGACCGACGGGGATCTCGCCTTGCACGACCATGCTCGTGTCGAGATCGACGCAGAGCACTTCGTCACCGAGCTCGCCTATTGGACAACGGATACTACTATCAAGTTGATAGTTGAGAAGCACAGGACGTACTTAGAAGGCTGGCGTCGAGGAGGTCCTTCTGCACACCAAACAAGAACGGCGTCGGGCACTGGAGGTAGTCGAGCATGCGTCCTGGGAGCACGGGCACATACACGTGCGGCCAGTTGAGCGGCGCAATGAGTGTTCGGAGCGTCTCCGCCACGAGGGCGAGCACAGTGTACTGCGACGAGATGAGGAGCACGCGGCACTCGAGGAGGACGGCGGTGAAGACCGTGAGGACGTTCGAGACGTCGAGCGTGTCAAAGAGAAGGTGCATCGAAAAGCCCAGCGGCGGCAACGACGCCAGTAACGACGGCGGGACGTCGACGACCGGCCGCGAGATGGCAGAGACGACCGCTTCGTCCAAATGAAACGACGCGGCTGACGTTAACGGCGCAATGCTCTTGTACGCTTCGCCCAGACGATCGCGGAGGGTATCAAAGAGCGGGTACATGGAGAAGACGGCGACACCTACACCAGAGAGCGTTATACAAACGGACAGTTGCGACCTAGTATGTAGACCAAAGGGAATGTAGTACGACGCGCCTTTTGCGTCGTCTCGAAACGGCTTGAACAGCGTGAGGACGGCGCCAAAGAGCTCGGTCTCGCCCGTGAGCGCGCGCGTGTTGAACGCGATCGGTTCTGGCGTCGAGTGACTGAGCATGACGCACTGATTTGCGTCCTTGCACCTAGTCGGTGGATTTTCGATGTCAGATTTCGATGCCAGATTCCAGATTTCAGAATCGGGATGTGTACCACGGCACTAGAAACGACTCGATCGTCTGGTCGAGGTCCATGTGCTCGTCGTACGAGATCCATTGCAGCTCAAACGTGTGGCCGTCAGCGCGGAAGACCGACTCGAAGCTCACGATCGAGTAGACCCACGACTTGGGCATCTCGAGCAGCGACGGCCGCGGCCGCTCGGGAGCCATGACGGGCGGGTGGGCGCGGAGACCGTAGTGCAAAAGAAGCTCCGAGAGCCGATGGATGCTGTCGTCCGAGTTGCTGCGCGGGTACAAGGCAAATTCTGCGTACGCCGGGCTTGCGATGAACCTACAATAGTATCATTGTATCAACATACATGTCCACCTCGATACCCAACGTACCGAAAGTAGAGCTCTTCGTAGTTGTCGTCGAGTTTTTCAAAAATGAGTTCTTGCTCTTTGTGGAGTCGCGTGTGTGCGGCCGAGACGGAGGCTTCGAGGTCGTTGAACTCGTCGTTCCCATCAAAGTACTTTTGCCGAATGTACTGCAGCATCGCTACCGCGTCCGACCCGAGCTGCATGCGCGTCTTGCGCGGCAGCTTCGAGTCGGCGTACTGCCGATAGAGTCGCTTAAAGTCGTACTGGATCTCCATGTACAACGCGACTTCGTTGTGGTACTGGTGCTGGAAGAGGAAGAGCCAGAAAAAGTTGCACAGCAGCCGGTTGAGCAGAATCGCGTCCAGCGGCAAGAGAGTGCGTTCGACGCTCGCCAGCATGTCCGCGTACAAGTCGGTGGTCCGGAACGACGGAAACGTCCGCATGAGGTGCTGCTTGACGTTGCGTGCGATCTGGTCGAACGCATGCAGCGCGGCCTCGCCACCGTGGTGAATGTCGGCTTGCACAGCGGGTAGATGGACCACCATGTCGTCGCCGACGTAAAACTGTGAGCCTGATGTGACGTACTTGAGCAAGAGCTTCTGGCCGTACGTCTGGAGAAGACTCTTGTTCTCGTCGCTCATGGCGAGGAGCGACTTGGACGATGCAGTCATGTCGGGTTGCTGCACCACCATGCGCCAAAAAACGCTACCGCAGCATCAATTTGAGGATGAGCATGATGAGGTGCGATAGGCGCACCGGTACTCGTCGAGGCTGCAGAGGAAGAAGAGCTTGCACTGGTCTTGCTCGGTCTGGAGCCACGATGCGTAGTAGCGCATCATCTTGGGCGTGTTGACGACCTCTTCCAGCGCGACAAGACTGAGCGGCTCGATCGGATGGGACGTTTGAGGGTCCTAACACCGTGAGATAGAAGGGATGACGGCCTCGAGTGGAGTGAACCTCGCGGTTCCACTTGGCGATCGTGTTGGGCAGCTGCAGCACCTTGCCCCATGACGTGGGCACGCTCTTGACGTTGGTGCTGTAGTGGTCATAAAGCCATCGGTTCCATTTTTGAAGTGTCGAGCCTTCGGGGTGCATGGACGCTGCTGCAATCGCTGCCTATGATCCTTGTCAAGACACGCCATCCGAACGAGGTAGAGGAGGAGGATGTACATCGAGGGACGACCCCTTCTTGAACGAGCTCGAGTGGTTCGCGGCGAGCTGCGCCTTGGAGGCCTCCAGGAACCGCGTCGCCTTGAGCTTAACTTGCTGCGCCCAGCGGGACTTGGCCTGTCGCTGCTTGAACTCGTTGTCTTCCGACATGATCGAGTTGGACCGCTTCTCGTGCATGATGGTTTCTTCGTCTTCCTCGTCGAGGACCGCCGAGAGGTCCGTCTCGGAGATCTCTTCGAGCATCATGCTTTCGCGCGCCGAGTTGGACGCTCGGTACATGCGGTTGGTCAGCGTCGAGCGCGACGTGGCAAACTCGTGGAGCGACCGCGACGACGCGGCAAAGTCTAGCAACGACCGCGACGACGCGCTAAAGTCGTGCATCGACCGCGACGACATGGCAAAGTCCGTGAGCGACCGCGACGACGAGAACTCCCAGCCGTTCGTGTCGTAGTCGCTCGTGTAGCTCTCGAACGACTCGCGGAAGATGTCTTCGGCGTGGATCATGCCATCGGTCGGCAGCTCCTCAATGGGCGGGCACAAGAGCGACGCCGCCGGCCCGGACCGCAGCGACGCCGGCAGCGGGATCATGTCATGGGCCACCGACGAGGTCGACGTTCGCGCGTTGCTGCGCGAGCGCGATGGCCCCGACGAGAGGTCGCTCGACAGGCGGTCCCGGGGCATGGCGAGGGGCGGCTTGCGCAAGATCGACGACTCTGTCGTCAACCTCTACAAAGCGATAGGACCTCCCAGAATGCATCGTTAAAGGTGGCATGTTTCTTGTTTTCGGCATTCTAGACGTGGCATTGGCCGCGAACATGAGCATGGCGCTGCGAAAAGTGGACCTGCTCCGGCGCAACCTGCAGCTCCTCGGGTACGATGGCGGGCTACAGCTGACGGCGCCGACGGAGACGGACGTGCTCTGCGCGCTTCACTTCCTCTGCGTGCAGTGCGACGCCAGCTTTGAGGCCACAGCTCGCACGCTCTTCCCGCTCACGCCCAGCACCAAGACGACGTTGAAGAAGCTGCTCCAGCAGCAGCTCGAGCCACTCGTGCTCGCCAAGCGACTGCCCATCGGCAGCAGCAACATGTCTCGGTGCGCTTGGCGCCTTGATGAAACAAGTCATGACCATTGCGTAGGCTGGCGGCGATCGCGACGCAACCGACGCGCGCCGTCGATCTCTTGTGGCGACTCTCCACCATCGCCATGCAGTCGCTCGTCGGGGGTCCATTGCTGCATAGTCCGACGCTTCAAAGCGCGCAGCAGCTGCAGACGCTTCAGGCAAAGATCGCGATGAAGACGCGCCAGATTGAAGCCGCGGCCCACCGTCGACGGCGCCTTCAAGCCGCGTGGAAACGCAAAGCGAACGAGCTCACACGCGACGCGGCCGCGATCCAAGACAAGGAGGTACATGCATGTGCATGCACGAGGCCGGATCCAAGCGTGTACGTAGCGACATCGTCTCGCCGAGTACACTGCGTGGAAGGACCGCGTGCCGCCTGGCGTGCTCACCGAATCGGGTCATCGCGACCGGCAAGAGACGTTCGAGAAGCTACTGCAGCAGTGGCGCGACGTCGATAGCGCCTTGGCCCAGTGCCCCGTCCATGACTTTGCCAGCGTCCTCCAAACCGTCGAGGCGCATGCACGGGCACCGCCCGTGCTGCAGTCCAAGCACGCTGGTGGCATCCTCGGTGCGCTTGAGGCCACCAACCGTGCGATCCAAGCGCTACATAACGCGCTTCGGGGCCTTGGCGGTGCCACGTCGCTCTCGCCCACGGCGACGTCGACGCTGGCGTCGGCTGTGGAGCAGAGCCACTTGCATGTTCTCGCAGGGTCCGCACTGTGCGACAACATTGCGAGGTTAACGGCCGAGTTGGCGCGCGACCCGACACAAGCATCTGCGGCGCATGACGAAGCTGGGCCGCTCTGCCCACCGACACCGATGCTGCAGTACGACTTGACGAGCTCGGCGCGGCCGACGACACCACCGAGCTCGACGTCGTCGGACGCGCGGCTGTGCCAAGTCACGAGCTCGATCGAGCGACTGAGCTGGCATCCGCGCCCGGAACTACAGCGCGTACCGGCAGACGACGACGAGCCAGAGGTGCCAACCCAACGCGCGCTGCGGTTCTAGCCTAGGGACAGTGTGATGCTCGCAAGGATGACTTTATCTGTTGTGCTACGTGACGAAAGCAACACACGGTGGCAGCTGACGACCTCTATGGTCGACGCAACCATTCCACGGTGGAGGATACTCTGTGAACAAGCGTTCTTGAACGAGTGATGCGCTGGTTGCTCGTTCCTGCCGTCTTCGAGTAAGACTACCTGCGGCTAGATGGCCATGCCACACGAGTCACGACGCACTTATCGTCACCGGTGCGCGATGGTGCTGCATACTCGTCGTTAGCCGTGCCACGTCATATCCGGATACCTTTATCCGGATAACTGGCCAAATTGGTGGCGTTGCGCAATCAGCTTGGCGGTCCATCCTCCGAGACTGCGCAATCCCGAATATCCCGAATGGTCGACTCCAAGGCCGTCGTCGCCGGTCTCCAGGCGTGGCTAAGCAGCCACGGCGTCTCACTGCAGGACTTCAACATCGTCTACTACGGCGCTAGCGAAGGCCATGGCGTCGTCGCCGCCAAGGACTTTGCCCAAGGTCCAGTGCCGCCTACGTTCGCCTCGGTGCTAATGATGCGCTCGCTACTATTAGGCGAACACACAATCGACATCCCGTTCAAGCTCACGATGAACGTGCAGTCGGCGCGGACGTCGGACCTGGCGCCGATCTTCGAGCAAGAGCACATTTCGAGCCTCCCGCCGGACGAGATTCTCGCGCTGCATCTCATGTACGAGCGGCAGAAGGGCGACGCGTCGTTCTGGGCGCCGTTCATTCGGTACGCACGCATCGTCATCCGTTGTCCAATACCATCTTGACGCCTTGGGCAGGAGCATGCCGCAGACGTTCGACACGCCCATCTTCTGGCCCGACGCCATCTTCAACGAGCTCCGAGGCACGAACGTCGCGCTGCTCGGCAGCATGATGCGCCAGCAGATCATCGCCGACTACACATCGATCCACCGCCCTATCTTCCAGCGGTACCCGTCGCTCTTCAAGAGCGAAACACTCTCGGTCGCCGACTACAAGTGGGCGCTCAGCGTCATTTGGAGCCGCGCGTTCGGCGTCGTCAAGGACGGCGAGTACCTCCATGTGCTCTGCCCGGCCATGGACATGTTCAACCACGACGTGCACATCAAGGAGCCGCTCGACGCCTTTGTCAACTACGACGACAAGACGCAGGTCCGTCCTCCTCCTCGTTCTTGACCGCTGCTATCCATCATGCTCACAAGAGATGCCATGCTAGCTCATGAGCCACCGCGTGCACCAAGCCTGCCGCGCCGGCACACCGCTCAACATTAGCTACGGCCCGTACTCGAACGCCAAGCTGCTCTACTCGTACGGCTTTGTCGTGCCCGGGAATCCCAACCGTGGCATCGATTTCTGGCTCAACATTCCGCCGTCGGACCCATATTACAAGCTCAAAAATCACTTTTGGACGCAAGCGCGCTCACGGCGTCGCAGACGTACGACTTTGAAGGCACCTTGCTTGGCAACGGCGTCTCGGAGCGACTCCTCGCGACGCTTCGGATCATCCTCATGCAAGAGACCGAGATCGCCCACCGCAACAACGTATGGACATGCGATTTTTGGAGTGCAGTAGGCTCATTTACATGCGCGTAGGCCTTTCAAGGACGCATGATTTCGCGTCGCAACGAACTTGCCGTGTACGATAATTTGATCTTGTCGTGCCGCCGCAAGCTGCAGTCCTTTACGACCACGTACTACGATCTCGCGGAAAAAAAGTATCAATGTATCAATTCATTTTGTGCAATTAGGTTCAAGCAAGACGAAGAGTTGCTGGCCGCGGGCACCAACAATAATGTGTACCTCAACTTTGCACTGCAAGTGCGCATTGAAGACAAGCGCACGCTTCAAGACACGATTGGGACGCTCTCCAAGTGGAAGGAGTTTCTGGTCGGCCAAGACGAGACGTCGACCGCGTACCCGCCCTCGGTCGTCGTTGGTTAGGGTTCTCAGGACAACTTCATTCGCGCCTTGACAATCAGTTGACAGTGTTATTAGTAAATATCCTTAAATCGTTGTTGAAACATTCACGTACAAAAATATGATATTGTTCGCTCGTGGATCGCACGCTACTTCGAGTTCCAGTCAGTACGGCAGTCGCGTCAGCGAGGGCTTTGCTGGTCCTCCTTTGATAGAATATCATCGTCCACTGGTTTACATGCATCTTTCATATTATTGATCTTAGTGGGGCGTCGACGTCTACATTCTACTGGTACTGGGATTGAGGAGGGTACCGCCCCCACTGACAAGATCAGCGGGGTCGGATAAATACGGCGGCTAGAGAGCCATGGTCACGTCGTGGGGCGGGTACACGAGCGTGTCCGAGTCTTGCTTGACCATGAGGTAGTCGCTCCACTGGGTAAGCGTCTCGATCGTCTCGACCAGCACGCGCTTCTCTTCCATGCGCACTTGGAGCGCCATCTGCAGCCGGTGGCCCATCGAGATCCCCGACGCCACGAGCGCTTCGTCTTGCTTGAGCCTGCGCGCGCCACGTCATTCTCGCTTCAATGTATCAAGAGGACGTACGTGCACGTGTACGACTGGAGCTTTTGGCGACAGGCCGCAATGAGGCTGTCGTAGACCAGCATCTCGTTGGTGCGAGAAATCATTTGGCTCTTGAACGCCTACAACTCCACGTTGGAACAACGTCTCGGACAAGAGAGAGATCGGCGTACGTTGTTGTGGGCGTCGATCTCGGTCTCGTGCATGCGGATGATGCGAACGGTCGCGAGGAGCCGCTCCGAGACTGCGTGGCCGAGCAACGTGCCTTCAAAGTCGTACGTTTGTGCGGCCGTGAGCGCGTTCGAGTCGAGCAGCGCCTTCTTGAGGCGAAAGTACCGGTCCGAGCGCGGAATGTCGAGCCAAAAGTCAATACCGCAGTTGAGATTGCCTGCGCCGTGTTGTTGTTTCGGGTTGAGATTCAAATTTCAAGAGAGGTACCTGGCACGACAAAGCCATATGCGCAGAGTAGCTTGGCGTTCGAGTACGGGCCGTAGCTGATCGTGAGCGGTGCACCGGCGGCGACGGCGTCGTGCACTCGGTGTTCCAGCGTCTAATACAATGGAGTATGACTCATCATCGATCCGTCAATCAAGTTGCCAAAGCGCACCTGCGTCGACGCGTCAAACACAATGACTTCGTCGAGGGGCACGTGCAGGTTGACGTCGTGCGTGAGCTGGTCGAGACCCGGGCAGAGCACTTGGAGGTACTCGCCGTCCTTGGTGATGCCAAACGCCCGCGACGAGAGCACGCTGAGCGCCCACTTGAAGTCGCCGATCGAGACGCGGTCACGCGGAAACATGTGCGGGTAACGGAGGCAGATCCGGTGGTAGATGGTCGTGTAGTCGGCCACGAGCTGCTGCCGAAGCACGTTTGTGAGCATCGCGACGTTGGTGCCTTGAAGTTCGTGGAACTCGGCGTGCGACCAGTAGATCGGCGTGTCGAAGCTCGACGGGAGACTCCTACGCCATCGCAATAGTACGCTCCATCAGCATCATCCTGCGACGTCGGCGGTCGAGTTGGTTACCGTAAGAAGGGCGCCCAAAACGACGCGTCGCCCTTGAGCCGCTCGTAGACGAGATGCAAGACCAGCACTTCGTTGTCGAGGAGCGTCGACTCGCGCTGTAGCAGCGGCGCGAGGTCCGACGCCCGCGCCGAGTGCACGTTCATGGTCAGTGCAAACGGCACGGCAAGTGAGGTCGCGCCTACGTGTATGCACTCAAGCCTACTGCGCCATCCATCCGAGCACGCGGCTACCTTTGGCCAAGGCAGTTTGGGCGACGGCGCCAGCGCTAAAGGCCACGCGGTCGAGGTCGACCTGGTGGTGCAGGAGCCAGTTTCGGAGATCGGCCGCCGCCGCCGCCGTCGGCGTGTGCAGTAGCGAGGGCGGTAGTCGCGGCGGCGCCGATAGCAGCGGCGGTAGAAGCGTCGCCGACGTCGGCGTCGAGGCCAAGGTCAGCGGTACAAGGCGCGGGCAGTGGTCGCCGAGCGGTGGCATGGGGCAAGGACGGGATCTGAACTGCACGCAGATGACCAGGCGTAACTTCATACGTCGTTTTGATTGGCTGTTTTTCCATCGGGGGTAGGGGTCCTAGGTGATTGCGCTTTCACTCGGCCCAGAAGAATCGTGGAAGCTCGCGATGGATCCGTGGCCATCAACCGTCGCCGAGCGGCGCTTCGTGTCGCAAGCCGCGTGCCGGTGCATGTACCAGCGACGTCCTTCGCATAACAAGGATGGCCTTGCGACGCCATGGCGGCGAAGGCTGCCCATCATCTTCCATGCGCCTTGCAGCAGATGATGCTGCATGGCGTCCAGCCGTTGATGGCGCATTCCCTGATGGCAGAACAAGCAGGTCGCGATACGCAGCCGCGACCTCTCACGTGCGCGGCTCGCGAGCAGGCCAAGGCGTCGGCCGTCATGTATTAGTATGTAGGCGCTCGAGGCTATGGGGATCGGTAGACGGTGGTATGATATAGATTAGTACTAGTACGAGCGACAATCGTGTCTCTACGCCCCACCAATGGTCTTGGGCTTCTTGCCCTTAAGAAAGCTGAGGATGATGGGCTTGGCGCCGGCGCGGAGCTGCGTGAGGAGGCTCTCGTACGGCACGTCGCGGATGCTTTGGTGGTTGACCTTGACGAGCTTGTCGCCGCGCGAGACCTTGAGGCCGAGCGGCGACCGCTTGGCGTTGAAACGACCGACCACCGAGTCGCCAGCCTGGACCTTGGCCACGTACGGGAATGGGCCTTTCGTGACCGCGTTCTTCTTGAGCGCAACGCCGAGGCGGCCGCCGTCCCAGATGACGTGGAAGAGCACGGCGCCTTGGAGCAGCGTTACCGACGACGTGTGATACGCCCGGACACTCGACTCGAAGCTCAGCACGAGCGGTCGCGCGGCTTGGGCGAGGAGGTCACAGACGACGGGAAACTCCATTTGGGCCACGTCGTTGCCGTTGATGGCAAGCAGCACGTCTTGCTCGTGCACGTTGACCATACCGGGATTATGGTAGGCCGAGATCTTGGTCACGATAGAGCGCGCCGTCGTCGGGTCCTGGCGCAGCGCGAGCCCGAGACTCTTGTCCTCGAGCCAGAGCACGTCGTAGCACTTGGCCGACGAGCTGGTAGTCGACGCGACGCGGACGAGGCCGGACGCGGCCTTTTCAAACTCAAAGAGCGTTGGCTGCGCCGAGGGAGGAAACAGAAAGCACCGGCGACCGCCGCCGACGGAGATCGGCAGCGTCGTCGGGACCACCGGTGGGCGGCCGTCGATCGACACGAGCGTATCGCCGGCTGTGATCTGCAACACGTCGGCGGTCGTGCTCAGAGTCGGGTGCACGCGGTACACGATCGCAGCGCCGTTGCTGACGTCCAGCGTGACACCGAGGCTGCCACCGGCTTCGACGATGACCACATACGCGCTCGAGGACGCGACCAGCGAGAGGCGCGTGCTGCGACGGTCCACAAACGAGATCGACTCGTCGTCGTCCGAGTCCGACTCGCTAAACTCTTCCACAAAGACGCTTCGCACCGGGCGTGCGCGCGTTGCAAGCACCGGCATGGCCGCAAGCGCCGCTGCCTCGGCCGCCCGCTTGGCCTCGCGCGCCGCGAGCAAGAGCGGGCGGATTCGCAGGCGCACTTGGTGCATGCGAACGATCGACTGGAGGCGAAGGGTCGCGGCCAGCGCGCGCTTGGCCTGAAGTTGCTTGCGGGCGAGATGACAGCGGTACGCGCACTGGAGCGTGAGCACGGCGCGCTGCACCGTTTGGTACCGGCGGCGCGCAAGGAAGCGGCGAACGGCGGCTTGGGCGATGATCACACTGGTGCGCAGGCGCTGGTAGTGACGCGCTTGGCGTCGCGCCCGAAACGTGGCTTGCAGACGGAGGATACCAGCGCGCATGCGGCGGTACACGACGCGGGCCAGAAACCCCCGCACGACGCGCTGCATGGCGATGACAGCCTTCCCAAAGAGCTCTTCGCGCACGGTGTTGAGCTGCGTATAGGCGCCGAGCAGCAGAAAAACCTTGGTGAGACCGACCTGGAAGTTGTCGCGGCCTTCGTCAGCAAACGTAATCGGCGGCGCGTTCGGCGGCTGCAGAAAGGCGCCGGCGCGAAGGGCCGCAACGATCGCCGTCGCCGTGCCCCGGAGGTTCTCCTTCTCAAATGGCACAGAAGGCGTCAAGCAAAGGTACGAGTGCACAAACGACGCATGCGGAAAGCGGATCGGATACCCCGTGCGCGAGATCTTGGCGGCTTCGAGGACACCGGAGCACCGGAGCTGCTCGGCGACGCGGTCGACGGTAAACTCCGTCGACGACGCGTCGTCATTGGGCTTGATGCACCGGATAAAGTGCGGCGCGGTCGTGTGCAGCAGCGAGAGCAAGCTCGCGAGCTGCGACTTGAACTTGGCGACAACCGTCGACGGCTGCTTGGTGCCGGCCGTCGACGACGACGAGGCAGGAGGTGCGGTGAAGAGCGTCTGGAGCAGCGGCGTCGAGGAGGACGCGAGGTATCCGAGCGCCTCGGTGTGCGCGTGGTCTTTGTTCTTGTCGCAGAAGCCCGCGGCTGCGTACGGCACGGCGCCGGCGTAGTGCGCAATGACAAAGAGCTGGACGCCGCGCTGGAGCTTGGAGACGTGGAGATGCGGCGTCGCCGCAAAGCTGTCAAAGTACGTGTTGAACAAGCTCACGTCGTTGCCGTTCGGGAGCTTGCACTGCTCGTCGAGGAGCGCAAAGAGGCCCATGGGTCGCACCGACTCGAACATCGTGACCACCTCGTCGTTGTTGGGGTACGACACAAACGTCCATGGAATCGCCTCCTTGATATACTCCTTCTGCTCCATCTCAAAGACGAACTGCGAGAAGAGCTGCTGGAGCTTCTCGTTGGCGTAGTTGATGCAGAGCTGCTCGAGCGAGTTGGTCGCGAAGATCTCGAACCCAAAGATATCGACGACGCCAATGAACCGCTCGTCCGCCGGCGGACTATACCCGATCGAGACGTTGATGCGGTCGACGAGCCAGTGAAAGAGGCGGGCGTAGATGGTCTTGGCCATGACGTCCCGCGTCACCTCGGCCTTCTCGGGCGAGAGTAGCACGGTGACCGTGTCGCCACCGGCGTTGATGTCGCGGCTGCACAAGTTCTTCTGCAGTGTGTCCTTGTCAACACCGAGGAGGTGGCTCGCCGACGCCAGCGCGCTCTCGTTCGTGATGCGGCAGCCGTCGTTCTCGCCGTCGAGCGTGACAAAGGTGATGTTGCCGAGATGCAGCACCGCGGCCACGAGCTCGAGCACGCTCCACTGCTCGTCATCCGACATGCCGATCGTGGTCATGGCGTGGCGCGTCTTGGCGTACTGGTCGCCGTCGTCGACGCCGTCCTTGCGGTCCACACACTGCGTCTGGTTGAGGTACTTGTAGTCCTCGACGTGCGTGAGACACAGCGCAGTCAGCTCGTCGGGCGTTGCGCCACGTAAGAGCTCGTAAAAGATGTGGTAGTTGCGCTCGCCGATCGACTGCGAGACGAGCCGGACGCGCTCGAGGAGGTACGTCGAGATGGACGCGCCAAGAAGCGACCCGTCCTTTGCAAAGCCGAGGCGAATAAACTTACCAAAGCGCGACGAGTTGTTGTTGCGGTTGGTACGGGCGTTGCCAAAGGCTTCGAGGATCGGGTTGGACTCGAGCACGCGGTTGCGCACGTTCTCGCGCTCGGCGGCGTGGCCGTTTGTCGTCGTCGCCGACGAGACGGACGCGAGGTAGTTCATGAGGATCTTGGTCGTCTCGGTCTTGCCCGCGCCCGACTCGCCGCTCACGAGGATGCTTTGGTTTTGCACGGCAACGGGCGCTGCTTCGGCGCGCAGCGCATCGAGCACGTTCGAGTTGGCGAGCGACGCGTCGACCCACGTGTCCTTGTTCATATCGCGGAACGCCGTGTCGGCGACGGCGTAAACGTGGGGTGGCAGCTTGGGCAGCTTCTCGCCGGTGACCCTTCGGTTGCCGTGCTCGATGTACACGCCCTTGGTGTGCTCGTCGTAGATGTGGGGCATGGGCGCGAACGGGTTGATGGCGACGAGGATCGCGCCTGTGCTCGTGTAGATCTCGTCGTGTTCGAAGCGCCGCTGCAGCGCATGGAGGATCGTGGCCTCATCGAGCGTCACGAGCAGCGTGAGGTCGTCGACGGTCGCCGACGCCTTCTTGGAGCGGCCGCGGCTGAGCATCGTCGACGCTGGTCTTGTCTTTTTCTGCCCCTCACCGGCTGCGTGGCGAGAGGTATTATTTTGCCCCTGGTTGTGATTGCATACAATGATCAAGATCTTTTCGAGCGCATCAAATATTTGAATTCTACGCAATGAATTTCGAATCGCGCAAGGCCATTGGCGGATTATCGGACCACGACGCGATGCCATTGGCCAAAATCTCGTAGCGGGTCGACCTCGTTGCTCGATTGTAAAATTTCCTCAAACGAGTTGCCGTCAACATCGGATGCCATCGAGTGGTGCACAAGTTGTCGCTCAATACTATGACAAATTTGTACCTGTAGTGTCCGATGCGTGCCTTGTCGACACAGTTACAGCCCTTAGAGACCTCCTAGGTGCCAGAAAACCTTTTTGAGTGTATGACGCGCTGGACAACTCAAGTGACATGGTCCATGTTGAAGTGATATACTAGGACTCCAGTACATATCAGCAAGGTCATGGAGGTACAATGAACGACGTGCAGCGTGGTGCGACAACCGGCGGCAGTGGATCTTGCCGTTGTGGAAGCGAGGCGTGTGCATGGCGCAGGCTGGAATGCTGGGATTGCGGTCCATGTCATCGAGGCTAGCCACACAGCATTTGTAGCTCCTTGGTGGCATCGTTGTAAGTCATTTGCACATGATCATTTCGTTGACGAGGGGTATCGTCAGAGCTCTGACACTGCCATACCGTGACGACATCGCCACAAGCTGCCTCGCTACCGGTCTCACGCACTCACGACGCCTCAACACTGCGCGGACAACCTCTATCAAATGGTTATTGATATATCGACTTTGCAGAGGTCAACCTACGTGGCAGTCGGATTGAGAGGCCTGGAACATCTGAGCAATCGCGGGCTTGCGACCAAGATCGCCAGCCTTGGCGCCTTGGTGCGATGGGACCATTGAGCGCCAATAGAAATGCATTGGTGTCGAGATGCGCACGTAGCTTCGTGGAACCATGCGCCGTGTTGGCGACCTCTGAAGTGGAAGCATTGAGAACGGATCGTAAATTGACACCCGTATGCCCAGTTCTTGTAGCTCTCTCCATCGAGGAGGCTCAGCAGACCTTAGCCCACCATGTCCCATGGACGAAGCGTCGCGTACAGTACGCGCACTATCGCGAGCATCGAGTACTAGAGTAGCTAAATTTTCTATGCACGCGACGACGCGAATAAATCCAGGAAACGCTGGCTTCCCCAACCGACGTTTCGATTTTTGATTCGCGCCAAAACCAACTCCGTCTTCACTAGCACTCCGTTGGTACAATGTGTTCATTTGCAGCTCTTCACATGGGCGCAACCAAATCGATTGGCGAAGAAGAGAAGGATATCCCACGCGAGTCGGTCCGCCGTCAGACACGGAGCTGCACTCACTGTCTCTTGCAAGACCGTCGTCGGAATGGGAAGCACCCATCGGTCTCTGTGCTACTGCTGCAGCAGCAACAGGGTTGAGGCGCAGCACGTTGCGGCTCTGGGAATTCAGCGGCGGCGCCGGCGTAAAAACTACGCAAGTGCACTGCGTTACAGCCTGGATAAGGTGATTGCCCGTATATGCGTTGTGGGAGGTCGAAGGACGTCACCAACTTCGATTCCTTCGGTCCATGAAACCAGGCGCGCTCGGATCAGAGCGCCACCGCACCGTGTGTCTCTTCCGTCGACTCCTCTCAGCGACGCGAGGAATCCAGCTGCAATCATCCCCAGTCATTGACCACAAGCATGGAAGCTCTTGCTTCGACCGGCCGGTGCCCCGGACAATGGAAAAGCTACTACATGGTAACGTATACTAGGAAGAAGAGACCGATGACCACTGTACCACCTCTGCAGTCGACGTTGTCGATTGGTGACCAACGGGCAAGAAGGGTCCAAGCGTCAGCTGGGCACGGGTCCTGCACAAAAAACGTCGTGCGACTGCTGAAATGGGCCCGTCTCCAAGGCTCCGAACAAGTGCATGCTCGTACCGCGCAGCCTTGAATTCAGCGCGAGGCACGTGCAGCATCTTTGGCTGTCGCCTGACATCTCTTCGGTCGCTGGTCGCTGGAAGCTGGTCGGACGTCTCCAATCGAAGTACAAATCGAAGTTGTAGGGTTGCTGAACTTATTCTGGGAGGTTTTGGCAGCGCGAGTGTCTTTTCCTGCCAGCCACCGTCATCCCATTTGCAGGAGCAGCATGTTGGCGGGCGCGGTCGAGGACCTCACGTCGCTCGTGCAGCTGGACGAGGCTTCGATCCTCGCCACGCTGCGCGCGCGCTTTGACGCGCAGGCCATCTACACCAGCACCGGCGCCGTGCTCATTGCCTTGAACCCGTTCACGCCGCTGCCGCTCTACGGCCACGAGGTCAAGGCGCGCTACATGCAGCACGGCCGCAAGCGCGCCCGCGGCGAGCGCATGGACTCGACGTTGCCGCCTCATATTTATGCGATCGCCGACCGGGCATACCGCGAGATGCACACCGTGCCGGGGCGCGACCAGAGTATCCTCGTGAGCGGCGAGTCGGGCGCCGGCAAGACCGAGACCACTAAGTGCATACTCAACTACGTGACGGCGCTCACGTCCGAGTCGTCGAGCGATCTCGCCCAGCGCGTGCTCGAGTCCAACCCGATCCTCGAAGCCTTTGGCAACGCCCGGACCAACCGCAACAACAACTCGTCGCGCTTTGGCAAGTTTATTCGGCTCGAGTTTGAGTCGACCGGGTCGCTTCTCGGCGCGTCCATCTCGACGTACCTTCTCGAGCGCGTCCGGCTCGTCTCGCAGGCCAAAGGCGAGCGCAACTACCACATCTTTTACGAGCTCTTACGTGGCGCAACGCCCGACGAGCTCCAATCTCTAGGCTTGACGCACATCGAGGACTATGCGTACCTCAGCAGCAGCCAGTGCTACGACCGACAAGACGGCGTCGACGACAGCGACCAGTACGCCAAGACGCGCCACGCCATGACCGCTATCGGCATGGACGCCTCCGAGCAACAGGACGTTTTCCAGCTCATCGCGGCAGTCCTGCACCTCGGTAACGTGACGTTTGCAAGGAAGGACGGCGAGGCGAGTGCACTGCATCGCGACGCTGACGTCGCGGCCGCCACGGCGCTGCTGGGTGTCGACACGGGCGTCATCGAGCATGGCCTTACGACCAAGCTCATCAAGGCCGGCGGCGACCACATCACGACGTCGCTGAGTGTGCTCGAAGCGGCGACGACCCGGGACGCGGTCGCCAAAGCCATCTACGCGCGCGTCTTTGAGTGGCTCGTCGAGCGCATCAACGAGTCGATGCGGTACAGCAGCTCGACGCGGCGCACCGTGACGGCGCCCCGCTTCATCGGCGTGGTGGACATTTTTGGGTTTGAGATTTTCGCGACCAACTCGCTCGAGCAGCTCTGCATCAACTTTGCCAACGAGAAGCTCCAGCAGCTCTTCGCCAAGTACGTGTTCGAGATGGAGCAGAAGGAGTATGCGGCCGAAGCGATTCCGTGGACGTTTGTCCAGTACCCGAATAATGACGCGTGCGTCGTCATGTTTGAGGCGCGGCCAACCGGTCTCTTTTGCCTCTTGGACGAGCAGTGCGTCATTCCCAGAGGCAACGACGCGCAACTCGCGGCCAAGTACGCCGACGTTGTCGCCAAGCGCCATACGCACCTCGCGACGACCAAGCTGCAGCAAGCACGCGCCCAGTTTACGATCGCGCACTACGCTGGCGCCGTCGTCTACTCGGCCGACGGCTTCTGCGACAAGAACAAAGACCACGTGCACTCGGACGTCCTCGCCTTCCTGCGCACCTCGAGCAACCCGTTTCTCGTGTCGCTGTTCCCCGTCGTCGCCGCCGAGTCGAGTCGCCCGACGTCGTTGACGGCCAAGTTTCAGGTCCAACTCGCGTCGCTCCTGACGGTCCTCAACGCCACCGCGCCCCACTTTGTACGCTGCATCAAGCCCAACGACGAGCTGCGCCCGACAGTCCTCGACGCGCCCCGAGTAGCCGAGCAATTGCGGTGCTCCGGCATTCTCGAAGCGGCGACGATCGCGCGGTCCGGGTACCCGATCCGCATGCCGCACGCGACGTTTGTGCACACGTACGAGTGCCTCGCGCCCCGGGGCGCCCGGGACAGTGTCGCCGCCATGGTCGCGCATTTCGTGCGCCTCCTGCCGCCGACGACGCCGCCCCACGCCCAAGTGGGCCGTACCAAGGTCTTTCTCCTCGACGGACTCTACCGTCTGCTCGTCGGGCTGCGCCGGCTCCGGGCAACCGTGGCCGAGCGGTTGATCCACAAGTCCTTGGCACAGTACGTGGTCCGGAGGCGCCGACAGCGCGAGCGTGTTGCCGCCGCGCT